CTCTCTCTCTCTCCCCCTTTTTGAGAAAAAACTACAGGACCAAATTACGCCCCCAACCCCCCCCCCCATCCCCCCATCCCCCCTCCCCCAAAAAAACGGTTTCTACCTCTCGTTTCTTTGGAGGGATCGCGGTTTGCGTTGTGAGTATCGTTTCAATCGGAGAGGTCTGGGGGCAGTTTCGCTCCCGTCAATGGAAGGAGGGAAGGAGGGAGAGAGAGGGAGGGAGGAGAGAGGGAGAGGGAGGGAGAGAGGGAGGAGGGAGGGAGAGAAGGAAAAAGATGAGCTCAGCGAAAACTAACCGCCAATATCTAGTTAACTGCTTAAGTTGTGTTCGAATGGAAACCCCAGAAAGTTTTTTTTTTCTTCTTCTTTCTTTTTGTTGTTGAACCGTTTCAACGACTGCACTTTTTATTGGGGGGGTTTGGAAACCCGCGTATTAAAACGCCGATGGAAGTAACGTCCCCCCCACTCCCCCCTCCCACTCCCCCCCCAGAGAGGTCATGTTGTTTGGTGAGCAAATCTGGTATATAAGTACACACACACACACACACAACTGCGCTGTGGTCCTGGTTTCCGCGGGACACGGCCGCGTGTGGTTTATTGTTTCAAACGCTTTCCAAGAGTTTCGGAGGGGAACGCGCACCACAAAAAACACACACACACACACACACACACACACACACACTTGGAAGTTTTAAATTTTTTTTAAAAAAAAACCAGCGTCTGGAAAAAGGGCAAAGAGAACCGATTGATTTTTGGGGAGTACCGCATTTCTCTCCTCTCTCTCCCTCTCTCTCTCTCTCTCTCCCCCAAAAAAATAAGGGATTTTAATGTAATCTCTAGTTTTCTTTTCACACACACACACACACACTTCACACACACACACACACACGAAGGAGAGTTACAATAACTGGTTTATTTAATTGGGGAATTGTTTTGGCCGCTTCTAACGTTGGGTCCTTGTAAACCAAACCGTTTGTCCTTTCCCCAATGACCCGGTGGGATCGAATTTCTATGGTGGTGGTGGTGTGTTTTTTTTCCCCCCCTTTTGTTGAATCGTGACCCAGTTGCAATTTTTGGATCGGTTTCCATGTTTGTTTTAAGAGCAAAGTGATACTGTACCGTTAAAAGAATTAACAACCCCCGAACTCTTTCCTAACGCTCGGCTTTTAAAGCAAGTTTCTAAAATCGTGCTGTGCTGTGCGGTGCTGTGCTGTGCTCCTGTCCATGTTAGGGAGTGAGGGTAGATTTTTGCTCCACGTTTAGTCATTCCAAAGTAAGTGCAGCCCTGTGGGAGTCCTGTAGCTCAGTGGTTAGACCGCTCGCCTCGCAAGCGAGAAGACCGGGATTCGATTCCCGCGCAGGGCGAGAAACATCAGGCGAGTTTCCTTAATCCACGCGCCTCTGGCTACCCGGCAGTGATCAGGAACCCGGTTGTTAGCCCATTGGCGGATGGCTTTTCCGAGGCTAGTAATCCCTTCAAAAAAAAAATAACAATAATAATTTGCTCGCTCAATCTATTGACTGTTTGTGGGGACGCTGCTGGTCGCAATGGGCCGCCGTGTTCCGCCCACAAAATACACAGGTCAATTCACTTTACAATATAGCCTGTGAAGCGCTTGAGGCGTCTCGAAGGCGCGATAAGGCGCCTTATCAAATGTAAGGATTATTATTAATATTATTTCTAGCTAGAGTCATGTTGTTGTAATCTCAGTACTTGAGTCTCTAGATAGCGATCAGCAGTGGGAAGGAACTCTTGTATCAGTCGCTTCCCTCTGCTCCCTGCCCTCCAGGGGATTGAGGCTTCCTCCCTGTTGGGAACAACTCACCCAGAAAGGGCACGGATTCTGGGATCTTTCCATTCGCTCCAGTTTCAAATCTTAAGCTACCGAGCCTGTGATTGAGAGAAGCTGGGATGTGATTGATTTTAGTCACAGACGCATTTTACACTGGCTTTTCTTTTTTTTTACACACACACTGGCCTTTTCGTAACCGCAGTTTTGTGTTCCACTCTGATTACATGTTTCTGTGGCTTGTATCTACAGTCAGTAAATCACCCATTTTCTGTATATTTATGTGTGTGTGTGTGTGTGTGTGGTGGGGGTGGGGTGTTGTAAGGCCCTGTTGTATTTTACTCACCAACTTTCTCCCTTGACTCCTGTTTCCTTGTACTGGGGTTACTTTCCCACTAGCCATTATTCATTCCCATGTGGACTTTGTCACTGTGTTAGTGCTAGGTGAGTGAGGCCTATAGCGTAGGAGAGGGTTTACTGCTGTTAGCAAATTCTTGTCAGTGGACTGACGGTGAGAAGCATAGGGAACATAGGAACAGGAGGAAGCCATTCAGCCCCTCGAGTCTGTTTTGCCATTCTATGGTTGATCTGTACCTCAACTCCATTTACCTGCCTTTGCCCCGTATCCTGGATACCCCGACCTAACAAACATTTATCCACCTCAGTCTTGAAACTGTAAATGGATCCAGCTATAATCCACAGCCCTTTGGAGGAGGGAACGAGTTTCAGATTCCCACTAGGCTTCGTGTGTGTGTGTGTGTGTGAAAAAGTGCTTCCTGATTTCACCGCTAAATGGCCTAGCTCTGACTTCAAGATAAAAAAAAAGGGAAAAAATGTACCCTCGCGAGGCGCTTAATAACGGGGCTGGCCAGTGTCTCTGGCTAACTTATTGGGGGAGTATTTTTGTAATGAAATAGCACTGAAAGAGGAGGATCCGCCGGGGAGACCAACTGTTACTCCAGCGACAGCTGTGGTGTGTGTGTGGGTGTGTGGGTGTGGATGCAGAGCTGCTCTCTGAAGAAACTGTAAGGAAGGGTCATTGGATCATCTTTACCCTTTCAAAGTACTGTATGTTGTTGCTTCCGAGTGTCAAAAGTACAATTGCCGCACAAGTGGCCCTGATTTAGCTGGGGAACGGAGTGGAATGAGTGTGGAATGTTCTTGCAAAGAGTTTGTCAATAGGACTCGGAGGTACATTGCTCGACGACGAAAACAACAACAACAACAACATGCCCTTTTATAGCGCCCTTCACACAGGCCTGTGTCTCAGATTAGACTCCCGGTCTGTTCATTCGAACCTGTGATCTTCAGCCTTTATGGCCTCAATGATGTAAACGGTGTGTGGAATCCTGTAGCTCGGTGGTTAGAGCACTCGCCTTCGCAAGCGAGAGGACCAGTGTGGAACTCTGGAGTTGTGTGTGGGTGTGAATGTCTGTCTTCTCTCTGAGGACTTCTGTCTAATGGGGGACGCCAGCGTCATATCAAATGTGATCATTTGGATTCCTTTGGTGACGGAATTCTCCTCATCCTTCTTTCTCCCTGTTTCACCCACAAAATATACAGTCAATTCACTTCGCGGTATATTCCGTGAAGCGCTTTGAGACGTCTCGAAGACGTGATAAGGCGCTACATCAAATGTAAGGATTATTATTATTATTATTAAGGAGAAAAAGCACAAGTGAAGCCCAGAGCCTAGAGGGAGGAGATAAGTAACTGATGTGACTTGCGCTGTACACCAAATAAATATTCCAACAACAAGACATAAATGCAAGTTGTTGTTATGACTTTCCAGCAAACCGGGGTTGCTAAGGTTCACCTTCTAAGGACATAATTCTACATGAACCCTAGCGAGACTGCGCCAAGTGGTGACTAATGGTTTAATGGCTTAACCCGTACCTTGGTGAATGATCACAAGCTCTACACTCTTGGCACAGCAAACAACTTGCAATTGGATTAACCCTTACACTGCTGGATAAACGTGAACTCCATTGCTGGAGCGTGTCTCTGTAGATACGACCATATTGCTGCCAGCGGCAACTCCCTCCGTTCTCTCACCTGTTGGCCACAGCCTCTGTGACCGAGCCTATATGATGAATTTTACAAGCTTCTCCAACCATAGGGTATTGTATCATAACTAGCGTCTTGGGACGTCCTCCTGATGTGAAAGGCGCTATACAAATGTAATTTGTTGTTATTGTTAATACTGTCTTCACGAGAGACTGACCCATCACTGGATAGTGAGCGAGAACAAGGATGCAGGCTCTTTCTCTTCTCCAACCCCACACCAGCACAGGATAAGTTGAGACAGTTGGAGCCGCTGGTCAGATAAGTTCCACGAACAGCACAGAGCCTCGCACAAGGTGCAGCCTTCAGCTTTGGCTACACTGGGCGGGCAGGCAGATGGGACCTTTAACCTGTTAGCCTTGAGAGGAGGCTGAGCCAAACTCTTTATGACTAGATGAGTGGCACCTCAGATGAGCACGGTTTGCTGGAGTCAGACCAGACTCCTGTGTAAGGTTGGCCAGGAACATGAATACTTTATTTATGGATATGACAGAATCGCTCCACACAATAGCGGGAGGGGCAATGTTGACACTGTCAGAAACTCCAAAGTCCTACCATTATCATCTCAAAAGAGGAAATCGGTAAAAACAAAGGTAGCTTTGACGTAGGCAGCTGCTGAGTCGGAAGAAGGAGCCAGTGCCTTCAGGAGAGATGGGCTGGACTTAAAGGGAGGGTGGAGGAAAACTGGAAAGCCGCCATTGCTTATTTGGGGAGACCTGGAGTGGTGGTGCTTCTATCTGAAGCTGCTCTGCAATTTAAACATGACATTATTGTGCAGTTAATAATAGATACAGTGCGTTCGATATAGAGCCTTATCACATCTTCAAGACATCTCAAAGCGCTTCAAAGGATATACTGTGATGTGAATTGACTATACTTCAAGGGTGAAACGTTGATACTGGATCGAGACATCCATATTCAAATACCGGAATGTACTATATACATTAATAATAATCCTTGCATTTTTGATGTAGCACCTTATCGAGTGTACCCACAAAGTATTGTTACACACACACACAGTTAAACCTGTCTGCTGCCTTTCCATCTCCCCTGAACCCTTGAGCGAGAGCTCTATTTGTATTGTTTCCTTATTTAAATTGCCAATTCCACTTAATAATGGGTGTGTTCACAAATTCACCTTCCAGGCTGCCCACAAGAGACATCCTCATGTAACATTCAGTGCTCCCCTCCCACGCTCCATTAGTATTGTCATCAACGCATGCCATTGAATAAGGTGGGGCATTCAGAGCCCTGGATGTATCTGTGAGTGAACCTTCCTGAAAATTAGCTTAGTGGAGAGGATCTGGGTTTGATTCCCGGGCAGGGCTAAACCTTAGGCAAGTTTCCTTATGCACATGCCTCTGTTTACTCAGCATGAGCAGGAACCTGGTTGTCAGTCGATTGGTGGATCGCTTTTCTGGGGGTAATAACCCCTTAAAAACGAAGAATTGTTTTAAAAAAATAATAATATTTGTCACTCAATCCACGATTGCTTGTGGGGACACACACTGCTGTGCGCAATTGGCTGCCAAGTTCCTCCCACAGAATACATAGGCAATTCACTTTACAGTATATTCTGTGAAGCGCTTTGAGATATCGTGAAGATAATACGTGATGATGCGCTGTATCAAATAAAGGATTATTATTATATTTAGGCAGAGTGTGCGCATGCGTGCGTGTGTGGAGAGAGGAAGCTGTTGGTGTTCGATCATGAACAATAGTCACTCAAATGCTTCCCTTCTCTCTTTAAATGGTTTCCTGTCTGTGGAAGTTGAGAACGAGATAAGAATCCGAATCTGCTTTGCAGCTGGTCACGGCAAGTTGACCGCGTGAATTCATCCAAACCCCGTCAACTCGAGTCCAGCATCATATCCAATTGATGTAGCTCTTTACCACATCAAAGCATCTCAATGGGCTTTCTTTACTGTCAAGCGTAGTGACTGTGTTTTTGTAGGCAAACACGGCAGCCGTTTCACGCAGAACAATGTCCCACAAACCGCCATGAAGCGAATGACCAATTAATCTGGAGGAATGTCGGCTAGGACACTGGGCGACAGAGAAACTCCCTTTGCTTTCCAGTTTTGTTTCGGGGTTGCTGTAGTGCAAGTGTTTAAGGTGTGGATTTTCACACAGATAGGTTTTATTCCGGTTGTTTTCAGATTGATTTTGATAAACAAAAGCCCGGGGAATGTGGTTGGTGATGGACTGACCCAACGTGTCCTACCTCCGGTGAATGTCTTCCAAGGCAGGGTGCCAACAGTGAACCTGGGCCTCAGTGACTAATGTCTGGGCAGGTACCGGCACTGCACTTTCTCACAGCTGCACATTTCCTAACCATGCATGAATGGGACCTGAGCAAGGCTCTGCGATCAGCCTCTTGAATCTCCCAGTTCCGGGTGAGCACTCGGTGTCACAGAGGAGGGCAATGATGGGAGGAATGAGTGCAGACCGACCTGGGAATGTTCTCACTGGAGAAAGGAACGCGAGTGAGGGTTCAGACTGCAGACTGACCACTTGACGTGAAGCAGATTGTCCAGGGGGCCTTTGGGCCGACCTCCCGATGGGAAAAGAGTTGTGTAAATGTAATTAGTTGTTGGTGTGGCCCTCTCCCCTCTGTTCTCGGAGGATATCCCTTAGTTTGGCGAGATATACAATTCAAAGTCCTCTCAAGAATGTCCCTTTAAGACCCAATCCCAGTAAATTGTTCGCTGTACAATTGAGGGGGAGGGAGAGAGAGAGCGAACGGTGAGCTCAAGATCACAGGATGGATGGATGCACAGGCAGCCCAGAGTGATGTTCTCGGGTCCTGTGCATTCCTATGTAGCCATGTGCTGATTCCTGCTCTCTCCCTCCCTCCCTCTCTCCCCCGCCTCTCTGTGAGAGGGGAGAATGACCTGTTGGAGCAGCTGTCAGATCAGGACTCGCTGGTTGACAGGCCACAGCTCTCCAGTTGTCAGCCTGCTGACAGGCCCCACTTTTCCCTGTGTTCCATTAAGATCCGCAACAGGTGGCAAGGGCCTGGGCCGCAGCTGTTCTCTATGAGCGAGAGATCCTAAAGAAGGACTGACTGCAAAAATAATTTCTTTACAATGCCCTTCAGAACTGTTCAGTGGCTAGCCAACTATAGCCCTGTAGCGCAATGGTTAGAGCACGCGCCTCGCAAGCGAGAGGACCTGGGTTCGATTCCCGGCCACGGTGAAACATTGGGCAAATTTCCTCACTCCACACACACACATACACAGTTTGGCGGAGTGCTTGCCCAATGTTTCGTCCTGCTCGGGGATCCAACCCAGGGCCTCTCCCTTGCGAGGCGAGTGCTCTAACCACAACACTACAGGACTTCACCCTCCCAAACATCCCAAACCCTCTCCTTTTCTCCTGGTTGTTAAAGAGCCATACCTAATTACAAAAACATATTTAACAAAAATATTCAGGCACAAATGCAATCACTCACATCTTAGAAATGACCTTTGCCTATGTGTTTATCTTGCAAGAAATTACCATAAATTTGGATGCTATTTTTTTAAAAAATCAAAGTGGGGTCCTTTCAAAATTCTTCTATGATTCACAATGTGGCAATGAGTCACCCACGTCTTTTGTAGTGTTTCAAATCTCTCTCTCTCTCTTTCCTCATTTACTGAAATATTCATGGCCTCTTAAAGGGTCACTGCCAGGTATTGTAAATGTATTCTGTGCTGGTAATGGGCAGATCTCGACAAGAAAACCAGTGAGAAGTCTCTGTCAGGGATGAAATGGAGTAGAGGAAGCAACCCCCTCACCCTGCGATGTTGTATCTGTGACCAAATATCATCAGGTTGATGCTCAGCGACTAGATTTTTTTAATACTGTATCTCCACATTGGGTAGCAATGATTAATGGGTGACTTGGTGGATAGAAGCTGGCCAGGGCAACACTAAGCCATGCAGGCCATGAGGTGAATGGCAGTTCATAGCCAGTGGAGCACCACAGGGCAGTGCCCTGTCAAAAGTTCATCATAACCTTCGAGAGCAAAGGTTGACTCATGGAGAACAGCCAACAGGAATGAACTGAGCAGCCATCGAGCTGTATGTAGTGCGAGTCAGTGTCCATGAGGAGAGCGAGTGGCCCTGGAGAACGAAATCTCCGTGGGGCACCTTACCCGCGCTGGTTAACACTGGACTTGTGCCTTCAGGACTCGATCCGCAATCCGTTGTGTTCTGGCAGCATGCAGCCTGACCTGTTTTGGGGGTATTCCTATCACCCAGTTCGAGCTGCTTCAGGCTGTAAATTCCACACAGAAGATCGGAATTCTACATGCGGGTGTGTGGAGCAACTGCGCAGGAATGTAAAGGGAACTATTGTCATCTGGAGAAAAATAGGCAGATGTTGACAGTATAAACTGGATATTCTGGAGATTTCAGTCTCGGTGATCTCTTAGCACCCTCCCCCCCCACCCACTGTTCCACTAATGCCCTCACCCTCCCACACCAGCCTTTCATTCGATGCAGCAGCTTATCGCATCCTCAAAACGTCTCAAAGTGCTTCACAGGGTTAACCAGCGAAGTGTAGTAACTGTATTTGTAGGTAGACCTGTTGAACTAGCTTCTAGTGAACAACAATACATGACATTTACACAGTGCCTTTCACGTCAGGAGAATGCCCCAAAGCATGGACAGTCAGGGATGTGGACCCGAGCTGAGGGTTGGGATCAGGAGGGGTGGAGGGCAGTGAAGCTGTCTGTCCGTGTGGGACACAGGGAGCCGCTGTGAAGCACTCAACGCCCTGGGACGACCTTCCGGCGTGAAGGGCGCTGTACGAATGCGTTGTTGTTGTTGCTGGGCTGTTTCCCTGACGGATTTGCTTCCGTTTCTCTCAGCTCCTCTGATCGCCCTCCAAGCAGCAGCTTGGAGACGACCCGGCCACAAAGATTGACACCAACGGCTGGAGCGAGGGCGGGAGCCCCGACCCCGACTCCGAGACCATGAGCGACTCCATCGACAAGAGCCTGGACAGCGACGCCGAAGGGGTGTGGAGCCCCGACATCGAGCAGAGCTTCCAGGAGGCCCTGGCTATCTATCCGCCCTGCGGTCGACGCAAGATCATCCTGTCGGACGAGGGAAAGATGTACGGTAGGTTACTGGTGGTCTCCGCCCCGTGTAGCGCGTCAGCTACGAGCGCAGGCTCGAGTCCCCATCAGTCTGGCCGTGGGGTTTGATTTGCTGACTTCAAGGCTGTTGTACCTGCCATTTTCTCCCCTCCTCTCCTGAACCTGCGGACTTCACTCTCTCTCTCTCTCTCTCTCCTCTTTCTCTCCCCTTTTTCTCCCCTCGCTCTCGCTCCTCCCTCTCTCTCTCTCTCTCGTTGTTAATGTGTGTGAACCTCAGCAGCGAGTAGTAATAATAATAATAATGATAATAGTCCTTGCGTTTGACACGGCGCCTGATCACGTCTTCGAGACGACGCAAAGCGCTTCACAGGATACACCGTGAAGTGAATTGACTGTATTCCATGGGCGATACAGTACACACACACACACTGCACGCTATCCCAGCTTTGGTCAATGAGCAGAAGCAGTGACCCTGACTGATCACTTATTTCCCCCCCACCCCACCCCACCCCACACCACACCGTCGCTGAGTCAGTCGCTGAGTGCCCTTTTGAGCCGGAGATCAATGGAGGGAAAGTCGGGTGAGCCTTGCGCCAATTCTAATGTGAAGCTTCTACAGCGCTCCCAGACTGGGCCCTGGGTGAAGGACCCGATATAAACTCAAGCTGCTGCTGTTGTAACGGCTAATTGTCAGTGTCGAGCTGTGTGTAAGGAAGGGAAAGAATGGGCCTTCCTGATATTAATAACAATCATATTACGGTAATAATCTTTGCATTTGATACAGCGCCTTATCACATCGTTGAGGCGTCGCAAAGCGCTTCACGGGATATACTGCAAAACGTAGTGACTGTATTTTGTGAGCGAAACTACCACCCTCTCGGAAAGAATGCAAAGTGACCGCTGGGGGACAGGACAGATACACTGCGTGGGAGGGGAGGGGAGGCAGAGGAGAGGAGGGGAGGGGTGAGGAGGGGAGGTAGCTTGGAAACAAAGTGCTGTTTTAAACAGGAGCAGCTGCTGGCTGGCCTGAAACCTAAGCGGCAGCTGGTGTGTGTGTAATCGGGAGCATCAGAGACTGAGCTGCCCAGCACTGCCCAGCTCCATCCGAATGGCTCAAATACCGCCGTGATCCTCCGCCTGATTCCAGGGAGCAAATATGTGCCGGATTCAAGTTACCATTTTGACCGCGGAGCAGGGGTTGGCAGAGGACGGGGGGGGGGCAGCGGTGGGGGGGGGGAGGTTTGTGAAGTGGGGGGAGAGGGAGTCAGACACGTTTTACCATTCCCTTGTCCTCTTGTTAAACAGAAAATACATTCACAAAGTCATCCTGTGTTTTGAATTTGTTCCCTGTAAATTTTGTTTTCTGTGTAAAACTTCCTCCTCCTTTCCCAACAACTACCCCCCCCCCCCCGACCCCAGCCAAGGGGTGCAGTCTTGAAGACCTTCCTCTTCGGCCGTGCCTACGGTCACCTCCACCCCCCCCCCCCCCCCCCTGCACGCTCAGCACTGTCAAGCGCTCTAGGAAGCTACCCTGCGTGAGGGGTGCTATGTCGATGCAGATTATTGTTGGTATCCTGCCAGCGGGTGAAGGACAGGGGCTGTTGTTTGTACTGTATTTGGCTCCCCCAGTAATATGACCACCCGAGGGCCATTTCACCCCCTTCAATTTTTCTACGGGAGCGGGGGGGTGGAGGGTGTGCGCGAAGGGCGGGGTGGCCAGATGGGCAATTAGCCACTGTGGGAAGCACCAGTATTTTGCCAAGGCTTGTGAAATACCTCAAAACCCTACACTACTCCCTTGAACTCATTAGCGACGCTGAAAGATGTCAAATTAAAATGTAACCGGGTCCATCACCAGAGAGTGTGTTTGTCATTTACAGAACCTCTGACAACCTGGTTAGGTTTACACAATGGCATGTGGGAGGGAGGGAGGGAGGGAGGGAGAGAGAGTGAGTGGAGTTTGGGATTTGTCCAGCAGTAACTAGGAGTGGGATGGGAAGGGCAGGTGAATTGGGGGGAGAAAGGAAGTGGTTTACACTGAGGAAACGGGGCGCCCAGCCCCTTGGGACGTCCTCCTGACGTGAAAGACGCTTATACAAATGTAATTTGTGGTGCAGTGTAACTTCCTAGCAATTACAGCTGTATCTCTTCCCCCCCCCAGACCCAGACTCACACTCGCTCACACTCAAGGTCATTTGAACATACTGTAGAAAGCTCTCTGGTCACGCAGAGGAAATTTGACCCGTTCTCCAGTACAGCTTTATCGGAGTGGGCTTAAGTGGGGGTGGGGGGGGGGAGTGTGAGGCTATAAGATTCTTAAAGGGATGGTGTCTTCTTTTCGGGAGAAACTGAATCCACTCAAGGTGGTGGGGGGCGGTAAACTGGTCTGTACGAGACTTACAAATGCATAGCAGCCCAACCCACCGCTTCCCTTCTCCATCGCTCAGTGGTTGACAGTCTAGGTTGATGCTCCTAGTGCTGTGGGGGTGGGTGGGGGCTACGCTGTTGGAAGCGCAGTCCATCAGATGAGAGGTTAAACTGAGGTCCTGTCTAGTCTGACCAGGTGGATGTTAAAGATCCCCATCACACAACTGGCCAAAGCCCTGCATTTCACAGCAACTGTCAGTGAGGTGCTTTGAGATGATTTGACTCTGTAAGCACGGGATGCCATGGGGGGATTATTTTACTTCTCAGAGTGCAGAGCAGGGAGAATGGGCAGTGACTGCTGCTTGAAGATCAGTAAGTGGAGGGAGCCAAGGAGAAGCCAGTTAGGTTTGATTTAAACCAGCTGTGAGGAGCTGAGCGAGATTCCGGGAACTGGTACACTAAACCCTGTGTCACACTCCATGACTCAGATTTCCTCTCTTCAGATGTGATGTTTGTCTCTGCCTCTCGGAGATGTGCAACAGGTTAGGAAGGGGCGGGGCAAGAGAGATGCTGAGCGAGCAGAGCAATGTTTTGCGTGGAATGAGGATCGGGTGGGTGGGAGAAATGATCAGGAAGTTTGATGTCCTTGTAGCTGAGTGGTTAGAGCACTCGCAAGCGGGAGGACATGGGTTTGATTCCTGGGCAGGGCGAAATGTTGGACAAGTTTCCTACTTAGCAATAAGTAGGAACCCAGTCGATTGGGGATCACTTCTCCGGGGGGTAATAAACCCTTCAAAGAAATAATTAAAAAATAACATCTGTTTGTGGGGACGCTGCTGTGTGCAATTGGCTGCTGCATTTCACCCCAAAATATACAGTCAATTCACGTTACAGTATATTCTGTGAAGCACTTTGAGACGTCTCGAAGACGTGATAAGGCGCTGTATCAAATGCCAGGATGATTATTATTAGTATTCTGTGAAAAGAGGTTGGTTTTGAAATCTTATCCTGCCCTTCAGCATTGAGCAGTAGGCTTTTCCTGCCTTTGGGAACACTAATCTTACACCTGCATCTAAATGTCTTACTCTAACTGCTCATTATTAACTATCAGGTTTGGGCTGGTATAAACAGTGGCGCTCCCTGACTGTTATTGTTGTCTGGCTCCATGGCTAAATGGTGTGGTCCAACCTTTTGACCCAAAGGCAAAAGTGCAGTCAACTAAGCCAGGCCGACACCTTGTAAACAAACCCAGCGGGGCTCTACCTCTTTCGGAGCCTGGAAATGGATCCTGGGGAGGTGAACTAGGAGGCAACTCTGCAGTGTGGAGCTCTGGAGATTTATTGGATGTGTTCTGTAAAACGCTTTGAGACACCTCGAAGACATAATAAGGCGCTATATCAAATACAAGGCTTATCTTTCTCCCCCCCCACACCCCCACCAATGATTCTTGGTCGAAGAGAAAGAAGGTCTTCAGGTGTGACCTGAAGATGGGGAAGGAAGGGACAGGGCGGAGGGACAGAGTGAGAGTGTTCCAGAGCTTTGGGGTGTCAAGGCTGAATAAATATTCAATAACAGTTCCCTGCTGTCTGGCAGCACTTGTAAAAGATTAACTCACAGGGTTAATGGTGATGAGAGAACCTTCCCACAGTAACTCCTTGGCATTACATTGTGAAACTCGATCAGTTCTCACTGGACTCCTGACTAGGATGAGTCATTTGTGTTCTATCTTTCTTTCCAAAGAAAGAACATGCAGTGTTACAGTGCCCATAATGTCTCAAAAACACTTCATAGGTAATTTCTAGCCAATGTGGTGACCTTTTAATAAGGCAAGTTGGCAGCCATTCTGTGCACAGCGAAGTCCAACAAACAGCCACAAAGTGAACAACAACACAATTACATTTATATACAGAACCAGAGAGGAGACCAGGAGAATTTTTTTTACCCAGAGAGTTGTTACAGTCTGGAATGCACTGCCTGAAAGGGTGGTGGAGGCAGATTCGATAGTGGATTTCAAAAGGGGATTAGAGAGGTACTTCTAAAGGAAAAGTAATGTGCAGGGCTATGGGGTAAAAGTGGGACTGGGGGGTGGGGGGGAAGGGGTCGGGGAAGATGACTGAAACGTGATTGAAGAGGTAGGTATTAAGCCAGGCTTAAGACAGAAAAAAACAATATGGTTCGAGGATTGTTAGGCAGGACACCAGGAGAAACTCACTTCTCTTCTCCAATAATGACAATAATAATAATCCTTGCATTTGATACAGCGCCTCATCACGTCTTCGAGGCGTCCCGAAGCGCTTCACAGAATAGATTGCAAAGTGAATCGACGGCATATTTTGTGAGCAAAATAATGTCACAGGATCTTTAATGTCCACCTGAACAGGGAAAAAGGGGAACTCGGTTTAAGATCTGACTTGAAGGACAGCATCTAATGGCAAGGCAGAACTTTGTCGATGTCTCCCCCCACCCACCCCCACACACCAACCCCCACCCAACCGCCAGCAATTCACCAAGAGAGAGATGCTTACATGGATAGTGTTGCTATACAGGGCACCCGGTCTGCGGTTATTGTGCTGAGCTGTGCTGCTGCTGAATAAAGAGTAGGGAATGTTTGAAAACCTTGTTAACGGAAGTCATTGCAATCAATGAACCCCATTGTAATGTAAACGTGGCTCTTGGCCTCTGTCTCGTGCATGTGTGTGTGTGTGTGTGTGTCTCTCGCTCTCTGTTTATGGTCAAAACATCTTATCAGTCGCCTCCTCTTCCCCAGAGAGTCTGTCTCCATCACCTTGTCACAGTTAGTAGCCTTACCGCCTACTTGCCCAACTCCAGATAATAATAATAATCCTCGCATTTGACACAATGCCTTATCACGTCTTCGAGACGTCTCAAAGCGCTTCACTGTAAAGTGAATTGACTGTATATTTTGTGGGCAAAAAGCGGCAGCCAATCGCGCACAGCAGCGTCCCCACAAACAGTCGTGGATTGAGTGACCGCTCTGTTAAAAAAAAATTGAAGGGATTATTACCCTGGAAAGCGATCCGCAGATCGACTAACAACCGGGTTCCTTCTTACTGCTCGGTAAACCTACAGCGTGTGGAGCGAGGGAAGTTGCCCAATTACCCAGGAATCAAACCCAGGTCCTCTCGCTCGCGAGGTGAGGCGAGTGCTGTAAATAAAGAGGACAGCTAGCAGCGGCTCGCTTAGAAATCACACACCACACAGGCAGCAATAGCAGCCCTGCCTGCGCTCACTCCGCCTGAATCACGCAGAACTCAGAACCGGGGAGAAATAAAAGTCAGGGCAAGGGATACGACAGCGAGAGATGGATTTTCAGTGCCCGGAGGAGCACAAGACTCTTCCAAAAAGGGTTTAAAACCGCTGCAAGAAAAGACACAAGAATAATTCACTCCCTCGATTTAAAAACTCAAAACTAATTCAGAGTTAGTTGAATCTTTCCTGTTCCTAAGCGACTTGACGGGGGCTCAGTCTGTCTCTTTCCCTCTCTCCCCTGCCTCCCCCCTCTCCAATATCCGGTTTGTGGCAGTGCTTCCCATTCACTGCTGAATGCCCACGTGAGGGGCTGAACTAATGGGGGAATCTCGGCCTCGCTGCTGCAGGCACTGGCAGGTGCAGAGTCTTTCAAACTGCTGGGCCTAGCAACCAGACCTTTAACCTTAGGAGCAGCTGCCTGCTCCTTTTTTTTCCCTCTCTCCCTTTCAGCTCCGCAGACCGTTTGCACAAGCCTGATTTAGTTGACAAAAGGCCCCCCGAAAAAGGGTCAGCTGAACTAGCAAGGAAACATTATTCAGCGGAGGTGCTCGCAAGGCGAGGCCCAGGCGAGAGGAAAAAATACGCCTCAATAGTCTCCGCTCAGCCATTTCTGCCGTCACAATAGAGCCACATGTTCGTGTGTCTGCATTCGGCACCTGGTCAGGGCTGAGACATCCCTCCCTTCCTCTCCCTCTCCCCCTCTTTCCCCCCCCCCGCTCTCCTTTGGGAATTTTGAACACAAGGAACGCCGTGAACGAGGGTAAACTTGAACCGTTGGAAGCTTTGAAAGCATTTGGAAAAGTTACACCCTACTAAGGGGCTTCAAGACAATCAAACGACAACAGAAAACAAAAAAACTTTTGCCCTAAACTTCCAAAGCTCCCCCTGCCCACCGTAGCTTAGCCGAGACCTCAATCGGAATTCCCTCTGCTCTTGGCCGCAAGCTTGTACAGCCAATTTTTTAAGCCAAATAAATAAATAATAATAACAATAATTTGATCGTTGAATCCACGACTCTTTGTGGGGACGCTGCCGTGCGCAATTGGCTGCCGCCTTTCGCCGACAAAATATGCAGTCAACTCACTTTACAGTATATTCTGTGAAGCAGATTGACGGTGTATTTTGTTTAGTGGGCAAAACGTGGCAGTCAATTGCACAGCAGTTATCACTATTATATTATTATTATAAGTCTCGAAGATGTGATAAGGCGTCATATCAAATGCCAGGAGTAGTAGTAGTATTATAAGCTGTCCACGTGCCCTCACAGAGTTTCAGTGAGTATTCAGCCCTCCCTCCCTCCCTTTGCTGGGCACATCCTTGGTGTCAGACCAGTTCCTCCAGATCTTGACAATGGCTTTGAGGAAGCGATACTGAGATCAGGAGTCTGTTTGTACACGGTTGCGTGAGGGCCACTGCTGGGAAATGGGTGTGGAGGGCCAGTGATCCGTAACTCAGCACAGGGCGACCAAACCAAATGGCCCAAAGAATGACATTTTAAATACTGTTCAACCATACGTGGAAAAAGCATGTCGAGTGAGAGGTTTAGTGTGTTTCTCATTCCCAAGCCTGTTCCTTACGGAGAGCCAAACCTTTCTTTCAACTTATTTTCCTCTTTGATGGATGAACTGGTTTGCAACAATACTAATTAATAATAATAATCAACGTCCTGGCATCTGACGTAGCGTCTTATCGCGTCTTCAAGGCGTCTCAAAGCGCTTCACAGGATACACTGGAAGTGTAGTGGTTGTGCATTTTGTGGGTGAATTGCACAATAGTGGCGGGCGAGAGGGCGGGGATTTTATTTCTCTGACTGTCATTGAGAGACAGAGAGATGAGATGGGAAAGGTGGTTTCAAAGCAAAAACACCTTTGTTTCCCATATAAAAAAAAGTGAGTTTGGAGTGAGATGCGGGAGAATGAGCAGTGCGCGTGAAAGAGTCCAAGGCACGAGTCACCCTTCAGGAGAGAGTTGGAGGGAAAATATAAAATAAAATCAGCAATCTTTCTTCATATAGTTTTGAACCTGAGCCTGACGTTGCAATGGCATTTCAGCATCCCCTCACTCACTGCCATGTCCCTCTCTTCTATTCCCTCAGGGCGTAACGAGTTGATAGCCAGATACATCAAGCTCCGGACTGGGAAAACGCGGACGAGAAAACAGGTTGGCACTCCCAGATTTTACTTCGACGTGTTCCGAATATAAGTCTTTGTGACCTGATGGTTTTTTTGGCCAAANTTTTTTTTGGGGTGGCATACATCTCCAGAGCACAGAAGAAACATAGAAATATAGGAACGAGAATAGGCCATTCAGCCCCTCGAACCTGTTGAGCCATTCAATAAGATCATGGCTGATCTGTACCGCAACGCCAATTACCTGACCTCGTCCCATATCCCTTGATACCCTGACATAACAAACATCTCTCCACCTCGGTCTTGCAAATATGAACGGATCCAGCCATAATCCACAGCCTTTTAGAAGAGGGAGAGAGTTCCAGATTCCCACTAGCCTTTGTGCCTCCTGTTTTTACTGCTAATTTCAAGATTATGGATGCTTAGGTCTCGTGGACGGTTTGTCAGTGAGGCTGTCAGCGGTCCTTTCCTCACTAGGACTTTGGGGTTTAGATTGAGCCCAGACATGGGGTGGGTGAAGGAGGTTTTACTTCTCTTTGGAATGACTTAAGTGAAGTGAGACAGCACAGGCATTGCAAAACACTTCATGCAAATAATCATCCTCGCATTTCATTTGCATATGACTCAAAGTGCTTTCTATACAATGTAATGACTGTGTGCATGGAGGCAGGAGAAAGTCCCTTCTCTTATATCGTCACCAGATCTCTAACATCCATCTGAACAGGTACAGATGGGACCTCGGTTTAATGTCTCATCTGAAGGACAGCGTCTCCAACAAAAGGGCGCTGTGCACACTGTAGGGATGTCAGCCTGGATGAGACACTCATTTCCAACGTGGGTCTGAAACTTGCTACGTTATGACCTGTAAAGGAGGGAAGCCCATGTCCCTGCGATTGCTGGGGTGTGTTTACGGTAGAACATGGACGGGAAGATGTTTATTCTTGTACATCACTTGGAAACACAGCAAAAACACCAATCCTCATCACTCCCCCCGATGCGCTTGCTCACACACATAATGTACAACACACGGACATATCATCAGATGAATAACCGTAACATTTTATTCCCTCTCACCCCTTCTAGGTATCGAGTCACATACAAGTCCTTGCCCGGAGGAAATCACGTGAGATTCACAGCAAGTTAAAGGTACGGACTTGTTTGCCTGACTGCCACTTAGAGGCTTCTTGAGTCCTTGGGTCCTTGTGTTGGTATCTAAATGTGCCTTTGATGAACACCTCATTGAATAAGCTGCAGTTTTGCTCCTTGTTTGTTGTATAGTATTTCCAACGAGCTCCTGGTCCCTGTTGAGGGGATGGTCGGGTCAGCTACTGTTTGGTGGCCACTGAAATCCAATACCCAACGGGAGTCCCTACTCTTTCCCCCCCCACCACCACCACCACCACCCGCCCTCAGCCCATGTCTCTTCCTGAACTTGATTACCCAGCTGGTAATTACTTGGGGTTCAGGGAGTTGGGGGGAGGATCAAAATGGCCCGAGTTCATGGCGCGATGGGCTCAGGCTTTGAGCCTGACTCCCCTCTCGAGTCTTCACGGTTCTCGGCGCGGAATGAAGTGGCTCCAACTGGCTCCACAGCGCCACCAGCTGAAGCTGGGGGGATACTGCAGCAAGTGTCATAACACACAGGAATTGTGAGGGACGTCCATTTTGCTTTATCGGGTCACTGTGGGCACCAATGAGGTTCAAAGTCCTGGAGGAAACGAGCAGTACAGCCCCGTCAGTCACATCGTTTGCCTGTTTCGCTTAGAGCCTAAGGTCTAGCGTGGACCTGCACTTATTGTTCTTGTTGATATCCTCCCAGACAAGCGTGTCTGCTGCTCTTTCCCACAGCCCAAGAGCTTAGTCCAACTCGGGGGTTTGAATCCCAGTGGGTCCACTCAACCCTTTGGGTAATGGGGGGATGGGGGCGAGGGGGAGAGAGAAAGAAAGAAAGAGAGAGGGTTGGGGAGTCCCTGTGCTTTGACTCATAAGAAGGAGACCCGCCAGTCTGTCTGTCTTGACTATATGAGTGTGTACATAATCCATACTGTTAATTCATTGCCGGGGAGGGAGGGAGGGAGGGAGGGAGAGACGAGGGGGCTTAGATAATGTGGGACTGACAAAAAAATGTATAAATTGTGGAGTTTCTTTTAACATAAATAATTGTTCTTTTTACCGTTTTTATTTTTGAACAACTTTGCCAATTTGGCGACTGCAATGGATGGCAATCTCAATCTCTCATTCTGTCCCAAGGCAATCAATATGGTGAGCTCCAACACACAGAACAACATCCTCCAATACTTTTCTTGCTTGAGAAGCTGATAGCTTGCTACGCCATAGAGCTTGGCATGTTTCCCAGATAAGGCAGAGTGAAACCCTGGTATATGTTTGGATGTAAATGCTTTTCTCTCAATCGTAGAAATCACAGCACCCAAGGAAGCTGTTGATCTGTTGAGCCGCTTGGTGTTGACTCAACTACTTGAATCCTAATTCCTTTCTCTTTCCTCTTATTCTTTGATGTTCCTCTTCAAATGGTTTATCCTCTTCCCTTTTACCCGTTGCGATGGTCTCCACCCCGATAACAAGAATAAATGATATTTACACGGCGCCTTTCACATCGGGAGGACATCCCAAGGCGCTGTACAATCAGGGATTTGGACCCGAGTAGGGGTTTGGGATTAGGAGGGTAAGGTAGGAAGGTGACCAAAGGCACGGTCGAAGAGGAGGGTCTTGAGACGAGCCTTGAAGGAGGCAAGGGAGGGAGCAAGGCGAAGGAACTATGGGATAGAGTTCCAAAGAGTGAGGTTCCAACAGCCTCTCGTGGCAAAGCATTCCCCATTCTAATGAACGTCGAATTTATGTACTTTATGTACTTAAAAAAAAAGCTCCAAATAGCAAGGTTCATTCCTCAAAACAAGCAGCCAATACTGTGGAGGTTCCTAACACAACCAGAGTGTCAGTTTCCCACTGTGATCTCAGGTGTCTGTGCATCGCTGGTACCTGTTACTAACCCCTCACTCTCTTGTCGATGGCTGAGGCATTGATTGGCAGGTGGCTGCTTAACTCTGCGCTGTGCTGGGCCTGGCTGTTACAGGGAGAAACTGTCGCAAGGTGACAGTCATATCACCATCCAAACCTTTTCTCTTTTAACCCAAAAATCCAATGGCTCGGGAGCGGGGGGCAGTGGGGGTATCTGATCAGGATCTTGTACCTTCTTATGTGCTTGGGTATTTTGTGCCGTTGGTTTTTATATATAAGATGGTGAATGGAGTACTGCTGGGAGACAGGGGTGGGCATTGGCCCGAGATAAAGATTTTGGGAGTGAGAGATACAGTCAGTGAACTTCCCCCAAAGCTCAGATATCTCTCGATGCCTTTTGTCGTGTGAGAATGATGTTGGGCAACTGGATTGGCGTAGGAGCCGTTGCTTAATAAAATAACGCAGCTTAGCATTTGATCTCATTCCTCAACGTGTCAAGAGTGGCTGAGCGTTCGTCGAGCAATGAGTTACTTTGAAGCGTAGTGACACCTCGGTCCACCAAACTGATCCGCAACCAGCAGGTCCCCGCGCAACAAGAAATGACATTTACACAAGAGTTCCTTCTTTTTGATGGATTGGGTGAGGGAAGAATAATAGCCAGAGCTTAGTAATGAACCATTAGTGGGGCACCTTGGTGTTGCCCACAAAGCTGAGGATCTGACAGAAATTATTCAGAGTAATTCAGTGGGAAGAACGGCGAGGGATGTAGACTTGCTGTCCCCATGCGGTTGGTTGGTCTGTTTCACCTCCTCTTCTCTTGCCTGTCAGGATCAGTCAGCGAAGGACAAGGCCCTGGCAAGCATGGCTGCCATGTCATCTGCACAGATCGTCTCAGCGACAGCCATTCAGAGCAAGCTGGGCATGCCCAGCCTTTCCCGACCTCCTTTTCCCACTGCAGCTACTGGGGTAGGTGATGCTTTTCCCATGGTTGGGGGTGGGTGGGTGGGGGGGCAAAGAGTAAGCCTTTGTGGAGTCTGTCCAGGTGGAATATTTCCTGAGGCTCGGAATTCCAAAATAGTTTTCATCTGTAAGTCTTCCAATTGCACCTGAGGACTGTCCTGTCACCTCCCCTTCCTCCCTGGCTCGGGGTCAAACTCCGCCATTGTTGAGTGCTCCAAAGACACTACCCAACATTATGAATGCGAGTGATTGTTGGCCTTACCCGCTGAGAACGAGGGCAATTGCCAGCCACAGGCGTGTGAGAGTTTTTGTTTGAATGCTCCCGCGATCAGCTTTGCTAACATGTTCGGGCTGACTCTCAGGTGGGGCATTGACAATCTTCTCCCAATATCCTGGCCAATAATCTTCCCTGATATAAACTCTCTCACGGGGAAGAAGGGAAGAGATCCAACTGGCCCATTCACCTCATTGTCATTTGTGGGTCACTTTGTTTCCCCCGTTTCACTACGCTTCAAAGTAACTCGTTGGGCGAAGCTGTATTTTTGGCTTGAAGTCGTTTGACTGGTCTCATCGGGGCTGGGGCGGGCAAGGTTGAGCGAGGGACAGAGGGGGGGACACAGTGGAGACCAAGTGAGAATACAACCCGATGTAGATCGGAATGTCTGCTGTGGCGTGCGAGGGCCTGCGGTGGCTGAGAGATTCATCCCCTCTTTATTCCTGTTTCTTTTCTCTTTCAACAGACGCCCGAGTTCTTCCAGTTCTGGCCGGGGGCAGTCACGTCGGGACAACCAAGCTCCTCCCAAGAGTAAGTGCAGCCGTCAGTCACGCACGGGGACAGGGGGATTGGTTGTGGGAGGGGCGGCGCACTCACTCACACACGCGCACTCACTCACACACACTCACACACACACAAGGACACTGGATACCCCTCTTCTCTCGTGCGTAACCACCAGCTTCAGCTCTTCACCGTTACCCCATAAAGCACGAGCTCAAAGCTAGGGAACCTGTTCCACACGTTTATTACTCGTTCACTGGATTAGTGTCTCCCCAGATTTGTTCCGAATTTACCCCCCTCTTCGAGGGCGCATTCGGCCATGCTCCTACTCCTACCCTCCCTGCCCTCCGCCCCCTCCTGATCCCAATCCCCAGCTCGGGTCCAAATCCCTGACCGTCCAGCGCCTTGGCGTGAGAGGCGCCGTGTAAATGTCGGGTGGTGCCGAGTTTTAAGGTTGGCCAGTCTGCTTCAGTGTTGTCGGCTTTGCCCTGTGGGTGGCACGGCTCGCGGTTGCAACCTGTGAATGGACTCCCCTCGGCTGTGAACCGCACCCCATCGTCACAGCCCAACAGGACGGCGAAGCTGGCAAAACACCGTCAGTCCGGGAGCAAAAACGAAACCGTTCCCATTGTGTTCCTGTTTTTTTGTTTTGCAGTGTGAAGCCTTTCATCCAACAACCGTTCCCTCTTCAGGCGAGTGTCAGCCACACCCCCGTCTCAGGTAAGGATTATTATTATTATTATTATTATTATTATTATAACGTGGGAAAGGAAGAAGATGGAATTGTGGGGTGAAAGATCTGACCTGATTTATGAAGTGGTGGGAGCTGGCTGGACGGGTTATTACTGCACACTGTGAAGATGTTGCACTGAAGATATTGTGTGTTGCCCTGTTTCAGGTTACGACGGCCCCCCCACGGGCCTTTCCTCGGCCCCCTCCGGACCTGCCTGGCAGGGGCGCTGCATCGGGACACCCAAAATCCGGCTGGTGGAATTCTCGGCTTTTATGGAGCAGCAACGGGATCCGGAATCTGTGAGTGAGAGGAATGTGGGATGGCAATTGTGTGTGGAAGGAATGGCAGTAATCTCCCCCGCCCCCCCCCCCCCACCCCACTTTACTCCGGCACGAATTGCTCATCACCAGGGTCGGACTCGCTGTGTGTTTTACTCTGCCTTATCCGTGCTGCCATCAGCATCCCGAGTTTTTAATTGTACAGCGCTAACCTCTGAAACTCCCTCATCCCTCCCGCCACCCCTCCATCTCCCCCCCCTCCCCCCACCCCGTCTTTATCTGCCTTCGTCATCAGCATCATCATAATAATAATCCTTGCATTTGATATAGAGCTTTATCACTCCTTCGAGACATCTCAGAGCGCTTCACGGGATATACTGTACAGTGTAATTTTTCACCCACAAAATTTGATATTTCGTGTCCTGAAGACCTGCCTCTCGACTGCACCTTTAGTCACACGCCCCCTCTCTCCCCCACCCCCGGTTCCTCTCTCCTCCCCGCTGCCCGTTTCAGCAGTCTGTCCCAAGTGTCCCAGCCACCGCCTTACCTGTGAACCTCTTTTCCAGTACAACAAACACCTTTTTGTGCACATCGGCCAGTCCAGCCCGTCGTACAACGACGCTCTGCTGGAGTCGGTCGACATTCGCCAAATCTACGACAAGTTTCCCGAGAAGAAAGGGGGTCTGAAGGAGCTGTTTGAGAAAGGGACGCCCAACACCTTCTTCCTGGTGAAGTTCTGGGTGCGTACCATTGTCAACGCGCCAATCGTGCTCCGACACCACGGGCCGTCCGCCCGACGTGAAAGGCGCTGTACAAAGGCAGTTTTGTTGTTGTTGTTGAGATCCTCCCCTTGGTGAAGGCAGCTGTATAAATGCAAGTTGTTGCTGCGCCTCCTGTTGATAAGCTGTGACGCCCAATAGGACTCCCCTCTGCGCTGTCCACACTTTGAGCCACTACACCCCGAAACTCTGGAACTCTCTCCCTCAATCCCCTCAATCCCTCCGCCTTGCCTTATCCTTCCCTTTCGACCGTGCCTACGGTCACTTGCCCCCAGCTTGGCGTTGCGCTCCGGGACGCTACCCTGCGTGAGGGTAAACCCAAGTTGTTGGTGGTGGTGGTGGTGTTGTTATCTTTCCCCGTGTGTTGTACCTATTCAGTGGACGATCACAGAGTGCTCCCGCCTTAGAAACGAGGCTTGCGAGACGGAGTCTCCGATATCTAAAAGGGGGGGATACTCCCTCCCCTCCCCTCCCCTCCCCTCCCAGCAGCAGCAGTTTGACTGGGCTCTAACGCTTTGCTGTCTTTGATGTCTCCAGGCCGACCTCAGCATTAATATTCAGGACGATGCGGGGATGTTTTACGGTGTGACCAGCCAGTACGAGAGTGCGGAGAATATGACAGTCACCTGCTCCTCCAAGGTCTGCTCCTTTGGCAAACAAGTGGTAGAGAAAGTGGAAGTAAGTGGTTTGGGCTCAGAGCAGGGAGCCAGGGTCGCTTACCTGGGTTGCTATCTTAGTGACTGACCAAATCTCTTTGTGTTTGTTAGTCCTTCCTTCCTTCCTTCCTTCCCTCCCTCCCTCCCTCCCTCCCTCCCTCCCTCCCTCCCTCCCTCCCTCCCTCCCTCCCTCCCTCCCTCCCCCCCCCCCCCCACATCTTCGGGTCGCGCTTGAAAACCTTCCTCGTCGACCGTGCTACGGTCACCTCCCTCCTTCCTCCTCGGCTTCCTCCAGTGCTCCGCCACTGTCAAACGCTCTGGGGTTGGTGGGGAGCGAGGTGGGGAGGGGTGGTGCTGTGGTAAATTGCAAGTTGTTGTTGTTGCTGCTGCTGCTGCTGAAAACACCCGCTGTCCCCCCTTTTCCCAGACGGAATACGCCCGGTTTGAGAACGGTCGCTTTGTGTACCGGATCCACCGTTCCCCCATGTGCGAGTATCTGATCAACTTCATCCACAAACTCAAACAGCTCCCGGAGAAGTACATGATGAACAGCGTTCTGGAGAACTTCACCATCTTGCAGGTAGCCATGTTACTGTCCTGACTCAGCCCCTCCCCCTCGTCCTTGACCTACTCCGCCTCGCCCCACCTCACCCCGTCTGCCTCACCCCCTCCGCCTCGCACCTCCCCTCTTCAGATCGCACCCAAAGACTTTCCTCTTTGACCTTGCCTATGGTCACTTCCACTTTACTCCCCGGCTCTGCGTCAAACTCCGCCACTATTCCGCTCAAGCGCTATAAATACAACTAGTTGTGGATGTTGGTTGGTTGGTTGTGGTGACACATCACCTGTTACTCGGCTAGTTTGGGGATTGTACTTGTGTGCGCAAGAGTCTCAACTGTTGACAGGAACGGTTGATTCGACTTTGAGATGTTTGGACGTCGGGTGATAGTGCAATGAGGAAGGCAAGCTCCTCTGTGTGTGTGTGTGTGTGTGTGTGTGACTCTCCCTCTCCTCTCGCTCTCTTTCTCTGTATGCGTTACCGTTCTCTGATCTTTTGCACCCCTCCACCCCCCCCCCTCCCAGGTGGTCACAAATCGCGACACCCAAGAGCTGCTCCTATGCGTCGCGTACGTCTTCGAGGTGTCGACCAGTGAGCACGGCGCCCAACACCACATCTATAAACTGGTGAAGGACTAGACCAACACCCGAAACCCTTCACTCACTCAAACACACACACTACTGTCCAAATGAGTGGCCTCTTTGACTCCTCTGACGGGGCCCCTCTGTTGAGGGGGAAGCCCAGCTCTAGACTGAACGAGGCCCAGAAAGTCAGGGCAGACTTTGAAGAGCGTTCAAACCCGTCTGGCAGCTGGGGCTTCGTAACAGGCAGCCATCCGCTGGTACCAGCCTTCAGCCTTGCCGAGTCTCCGAGAGTTAATGCATCCTGGCTGCCCCAAACCTCGGGCCACAATTCAATCGGGGGATAAGGTATATGATACGATACGATACGCGAACGTGCCGGAGAGAGCACCTGGGTTCAACTCGGGGGAATTAGAATTCTTCTCTTGATTTTACTTTCAAAACCTTTTTCTTTTTTAAAAAAAAAGAAAGTTTTCTCCCTTCTGACGCTGACGGTTTTATTCCCCCCCTCCCCCGTCCCCCCACCCCCACTCTCTCCCCTTTCCACTGGGTACAAGTTCCCCCACCCCTACCCCTCCCTCTGGCTTCCCCTCCCACTCCTGTAACCGCCTGCACCATGTGAGGTGAGCTTGGGCGGGTCGGGCTGTTTGACTGAGTCCTCGGCCGACCTCCGTGAGAGCGCGAGCATTTGCCTCAGATAGTCATGAGGACCGGCTGCTGTACTGCCTGATGACCGGCAACACTGAGGCCCCAGATTGAGATTTTACGCAGACCGGGATGGATTGGACATTGCCGACAAGAACCAACGCAACCAGACTGTGCCTTACCCACTCCGCCATCAGGGGGAGCCTTGTATTGACTACGTTGACCACTTCCACGAATGTGTGCGAGTGCGTGCGTGTTTTGGGGGGGGGAGAAGGAGAGAGAGAGCGAGAGAGATTTGGTTTGCAGCTGAAGAGGAAGAGCCAGTGGTCAAGAGTGACGAAGGTTGCTGAGGATCATGACGAGGATTTTATCGGTGTCGCAATAAAGAGCGGGCGGTCATTCGAGGGGGGGGGAGAGAGGAGTGTGGGGGGGTGGGGTGGGGGGGAATTGTGGGGGTGTCGTTGGATTTGAAAGGAGGGACCTGTGGTGAGGATGAACCGATGCACAGTGCCTGAGCTGAGGGTGGTACAACAGAGCCAGCGAACGGGGACTGGTGTCCAGTCAAGCAACGACTTGCCTCAAGTGGACCATTGGACAATCTCCTGCTGTGGTTCTCTGGTGTCCCACTCCCTGAGGGCAATGCCAGCGTGGAAACGAGATGTGTATGTTCCCCCGGGGAGCGCTCGATTAACTATTTACCCGGCACCATTAACCCTTTGAGTACTATGGACAAATCTGAGGAAAGAAGATGAGCAACCCACCCCCGTGTGTGTGTGTGTGTCTGTATGATTTTCTCTATATGTGTGTGTGTGTGATGAAATGTTATTTATTTACACTGTGCTCCTCCCTCTCCTCCCACTCGCCCTCCTCCCCTAAGCCTTGTATGGTTGGCCATGGTGGGGGAGCGGTGGGGGGGGTGTGGGTCCTCATTTTGAGCAGCAGAGGGGGGAGACGGGATGGGGTGGTGGGGGGGGAAAGAAAGAGAGAGAAAAAAAGGAGCGCGGCAGAATGTCTTTTAGTTCGGGGCTGGTGGGGTCGGAGGGGGGTATTGGGGCTGATGTCTTGAGTCATCCTGGATCTCCCCCCCCCCCCCCTCCCCACACACACTTATTTTTAAATTGAATCTGAATATACTGTGAATTCTGTGCGGTGGGAGTTTAGTATGTACTGTATACACTACGTACTGTACACTAGGTACAAAATGGTTCTTCCCCCGACACCCCCCTCTCTCTCTCTCTCTTCTCTCTCTCTGGATGTGCGCAGTGTCCAGAGGTGAAACGGTATGCGGGTCTGTTTTCCCAGGGAATTTCGTAGCTGCTCTGCCCCCGGAACGATGTATTTATTGTCTTAGACGTTTTTAAATTAGATTTACTCACCAGCAAGCCAGATTAACAATGCGAATTGTCAGCCTTATACCCCCTCCCTCCCACCTCTCTCTCTCTCTCTCTCTCTGTGTCTCTTGCTCTCTGTCTCTGTTCGTTCTCACATCCTCCGCACACTGTACGTTAAGTCCACTCGTGCGTCTTGTATTTATTTTCTCTTACTCCCTCCATAATTTTGCGCTCGCACCTACATCTACTCCTAATTTCCCGCAGTATTGTACAATGAGAGAATTATATAAATGTATTTTCTTTTTTCTAAACACGTTTAGCAATGGGACAACCCACCGAAAATAAATAGGCTTCACATCGCCTCTTTTTGTACTGAAAGATTGCGAGACGACCGCTCTTCATTTTAAACCGAAAGGTTACTTTGAAGTGGTTACAGACAGAGCGAAGCACTCGATTTCTTTGCCCCACTTTCACGGCAGCAGGACCTCGCAAAGTGCTTCACAGCGTACACACCGTATGGTGCAGTGACCGTGTGTTTTTGTGTACCAGCGCGGCAATCAATTTCTGTGCTGCGCTCTGGGATGCCATAATAATAATAATAATCCTTGAATTTGATGCAGCGCCTCATCAGGTCTTTGAGACGTCCCAAAGCTCTTCACAGAATATACTGTAAAGTGAATTGACTGTATATTTGTGGGCGAACGCGGCAGCCAATTGCGCACAGCAATGTCCCGCAAACAGCCGTGGATTGAAAATGACCAATTTATTATTGTTTTGTTTTGGAGGGATTATCTTTAGGCTCTGTGTGGAGTAAGGAAACTTGCCCAAGGTTTCGCCCTCTGCCGGGAATTGAACCTGGTGTCTCGCTTGCAAAGCGAGTGCTCTAACCACTGAGCTACAGGACTCCAGCTACCCTGCCTGAGGGGCGCTATATACAGCCAAGTCATTGTAGCGTGAAGCGATCAAAGGGTTTATTTGCACCGGACGATACGGGGTGGGGGGGGGTTTGTGGGGGAAGAGAGAGAGAAACTCCCATCTCGTAGAAATGCCAGCGGAGTTACATACATTGACACAACCGAGCAGTTTATGTTAAAATTATTTTATTTAAGGATTGGCTCAATCCGGTTCTGCGGGGCAGGAACTGAGGCCTCCCGGTCTCATCTTGTTTTTTTTTTTGCCCGCCCCCCGCCCTATGGTAGTCAGCGGAGAGAGGTGTGGATAAAGCGTCGCAAGATGTAAGGTCTCCTGGGGTGGAGGAGCTCGAGTTGTCTCTTCAGGATGTACGGGATCTTGCCTCTGGCCCTGCTCTCCGGGGCTCGCTTCTGCTGTGAGATGGCGGCTGAACGTTCCCTCATCCGCCACAGGAGCATCTGCCGGGGGGGAGAGAGAGAGGGGGGGGGGGGAATGTGGGGGAGACAGTTTAACTGAGGGAAGGGATGATCTGGTCAACACAAGGCTTGGCAACGAACTGGACCTGAGCTGTGTGTTGAATGATCCCTTCTATTTTTTTTTAATCTGAGGGGGGGGGGTAGTCGGTCACCGCCCGCTAGAGAAACTCGCTCCCCTTGCCGTGTAGCGCCCGCGGGAATCCGTAACGTCCACCTGTCCGGGCAGACGGGACCTTGGGTTTAACGTGACAGTGCAAAAGGGAATCGGGTACATACTTGAAAAGAAAACATTAGCGGAGCGGGGACTGACTGGCACGATGGTCGAATGGCTGCATGTCCTGATCTCCCCCCCCCCCCACTCCTCCCCCCCCCCACCCCCCACCCCAGTGGAACCTGTAGCGGGTTCTTTGTCCGGATTTCTCCCGGAGTTTCGGAGCCTGTTTGAGTGCACACCGTCCATCTGTCAGACCCGGGGGCTTCCGTGCCAGCGTCTCGCAAGCGCAGTGCGTTCAGATGCTCCCAGACCACTCTCACCTGTGGGACAAGGACGGCAGAGAGCTGTGGGATGGAATAACTCGTCTGTATGTCAACCCACAGCTAAACATTGTTCAAATCTCCGGTTACTTTTAAATAATAATAATAATCATCCTTTCATTTGATATAGTTTCTCATCGTGTCGTTGAGACGTCTCAAATCGCCGCACGGTGACAGTGAGTACACAGGATATACCGTAAAGTGGAGTGACTGTGTCTTTTGTGGGCGAAACGTGACAGACTCGTAGCGCTTCACAGACTGTCTTGTAAAGTGTTGTGGGCGAAACGAGACAAGAAAAAGCCGGGTTAATCGCTTTCCCTCGGCTCGTGTGCATTTGGCCTTAAGCAGTAATCCCTTCCTCCCCTTATCAGGGTATCAGTCCCTGTCTGTGCTGAGCCAGTGGAAAGGAACTCGCAGCTTTGGGGGGAGTCAATCCCACCCCCATCTGAAACTCTCGCTGAATGCTAAGCCTGGAACTTACCTGGGAGTCTCCACAGTAACTCAGACCCACGGTTGCGGTCGGATGAGCCACTAGAGAGAGAGAGAGAGGAAAAACACAACAAAAGATGAGAGGGCTTGGCTTGTGCTACCGAGATTCATGTCATCGAGCCTGTGTGATGGTGTCACCGAGATAGCCTCGAAACACAACCCGTCTCGACACGCAGAAACCCTTACACCACACTATCCCAACCAGCCAGCCTCCCGAGACTTCCACGTAGGTATGGACACTTGGAGTGCTCCCTCGCTCTCCCCAAGACTCGGAGAATATTTGGCACAAGCCTAGGGTGCTGTCACTTAAACCAGCTGAGACCCCGCAGCTTGTCATTGCAAACGCTGGCACGATTCCCCTCTGCTTGTCCAGCGAGGAACACCGTACCTGCCAGGGCTTTCTCTTGCAGGGTTGAGAGGAACCGAATAGGAAGAATCCCACCCCGACCTCTTTTCCCCCAGTTGGCGAGATGGGCAGCAATGGGACTGACTGAAGACTGCATTTCCCAACTGTTATCCACACCACTGGATATTGCTGTGAATGTCCCAGATGTGGGGCTTGAACCCACAGGTTTCTGATGAGGTTTAGCAGTCGTGAGGAGCAAGGCACTTTACCTGTGATGTCTCCCAGGGCTCCGAAGAACACGATCACGGCCCACAGCTGACACAGTCTCATGACGTAGCGGCTGAGAAACCTATTTGAAAATATCGATCAAAGAGAAGGAAGGGTTTGCAAGTCGCCCGCCTTTTAACAACAATAATAATCCTTGCATTTGTCATGTGGTTGAGACGTCTCAAAGCGCTTCACAGGATATGCCGTAAAGTGAATTGACTGTATTTTGTGGGCGGAACGCAGCAGCCAATTGAGCACAGCAGCGTCCCACAAACAGCCGTGGATTGAGTGACCACATTATTATTTTGATGGGATTATTACCACCGAAAAGCGATCCTGCCAATCGACTAACAACCGGGTTCCTACTTACTGCTTGTGTGAGCGCAGTAAGGAAACTTGCCTCACTGTTTCTTCCTGCCTGGGAATCGAACTCGGGTTCTCTCGCTTGCGAGCGTTCTAACCACGACACTAGATTAACCCTCTCAGGAGAGATGAACACTCTCTCCCCAGCCCCTCATCCCCATTGCAGGCAAGTGAGCAAGCTCACTGTCACCGTGCAGAGATGTGCTTCATGACACTTGTCCAGAAGCCAAACTCTCTACCCTTGAAGGCTTTGGTTCCAAGCCAGATAGACTGGTAGGACGTCCACAGTGCCTTGGATTACTGTGGTCAATCCTTTCTCAAGATATCTCTTCAGCCATAGAAACCTCCCAACCCTCCCTCTCTTATCTCCCTCCCTCCATCCCTTCCATCAATGCTTCTCATCTGTCCGTCCAGATGGCTTATGTGACTCATTCCCGATAACTGGATCATTGGACAGAGAAGCATTGAATCCACTCACTTCCCTCCAGTCAAATGGCAAAAGAATTCTGACCAACATAGGGCTCACTTCATTAACATTTACCTGTTGTCCCAGAGAAGTCCTCGATATCCCTTGGGGGGGGGAGAGAGACGAAGGTCCTTTGCGGAGAGTTGACTTCGTGGGGAGGCGGGGGTGATTTGGGGGTTCCAGTTGACGCTTCCTCCAGTTGAGAGAACTGATTGCCAGTCGCTGGCGTTTGCTCCGCTATTTATTGATGGCGATGAGGTGTCGGGATATGGGAGGATCCCAGCATTATGAAGGGAGGGGAGAGGGCAAAACGATGGGGGGGGGGGGGATGGAGGAAGGAAACGGTCTACATATGTCTCCCAGCCTTGTTCATCAGCTGAACAAAGGACCCAGGAAACATTGCATTAATTCTGCGCTGCATCTCGCCACTCATCTCTCCTCACATCCACGAAATTCCCAGAAATCCACCTAATCTCAGCCTCAAAGCTACAAGTAGCACAAGGAGACGTGGAGAATTGTTTCAAACAAAATAACGCTCTGATTTGAAAAGCTTTTTTTTCCTCCAACTCCTTAAAAAAAACTGCCTGAGGCTTAGTGTATTATCATTATTATTAATTAATAATAATAATAATAAATCTTTGCATTTGACATCGGGTTTTAATCACGTGGTCGAGACGTCTCAAAGCGCCACACAGGATTATACTGTAAAGTGGTGCGACTGTGTGCGCGTGTGGGTGTTTACGAATGAATTTTTAAGATTTAAATGAAGATGTAAGGATTTTACACAAACAAGGGAGGGGAGGGGGGATAACACCCCCCCCCCCCCCCCCACCAAAGGTGGGAGCTTGTGGGGGGTGGGAGGGGGGTAATTTAACATGATGGAGAGTAACACAGCCTGGGGAATATGCGTGCGCGCGTGTGTGTGTGTGTGTGTGGTGGGGGAGGGGGTGTGAGTGAGAGGAAGACGGTCAAAAATGCGAGGATGATTAATCTGAATAAAAGGGGTAATTTACCCCCTCCTCCCGCCCCGACCATCGCACACACCCCCTTCCCCCTCATGACGAGACACTTGGGACAGTCATTGCGTTTTGCTTTGAAGTTCTCAGGAGGTTATTGTCTGAATCACGAGAGGGGAAGACAGCAAAGTGAGTCCTCTCGACAGTGTAACTCGTGCATTGTGTTGTGAGGGAGCTCAGGTGGCTTGTGCTGTACTCAGGGGCTCGAGGAGATGAGAGCTTTGCTTGAGAAAAGGTTCTCGAGCGAAGCCACAAAAGCCTAGGCTGGGCACTCTCCAACTTCAGAGCTGCTGTTCACTCGCTAGTTCACTCACTGGCCTTTTGATGTGAGATTTGATGGCTTAGATGTTTCTGCCTGGCATCGGTTTGCCAGGAAGAAAGGAATATTTGAGTCACCGAGAGAAGGGGAGGGAGGGGGAGGGAGAGAGCACGGCAAACAGTCAGGTCTCGCTAAACTGTGTGTTAATCAGGAAATATATTTGTTTAATTAGTTAACCCCTCTGAAACATCATCCTTCCAATTTGGTGGTCATGTCTGAGTAGGGGGTGGAAGAGAGTGTGTTGATGGAGGCGGTGTGTAGGAGAACGACAAGACTGACCTCCTCCCCCAATGTTGGGATCACAGTCTAAGCCGAGGCTCTGATGCAGCGCTGGGGACGGTGGGGTTGGGGGGTGTTGTATTGTCGGAGGCTCCGTCCTTCGGATCAGGCGTTAACCCTCACTCACTCCCCTCCTCGGCCGCCTGTTCAGGTGGAAATCCCCCAAAACGGGACCCTGCGCCGTGCAAACTGGCCCACAATACACAGTCACCACGCTCGACGGTGTATCCTGCGAAGCGCTTTTTGAGACGTCTCGAGGACTGGCATTTGTCGTTAGACCTCAGCACGAGCCGATGGCTTCCATGACGGGTAAACGAAGGAGCTGAAAAGGCCGAGCCGCCGAGGCTAAGCCGGGTGTGACGAGAGCGCAAGGGCCATTAATTTGTTCATGGCAGTTGGATTGAATCCGCGGCGAAAGCCATCAGAGATGCGCTGGAGAAGGTCACGTGGCTTCCTATTGCTCGCCCCCCCCAGTCCTCGCCCTTTCGGATTATTGACGGGGCGAGAGCCAGCGACGAGGGGCGCTGGTGTGGCTGTCGCACTGCGGGGGCGGGAGCACCGTCGAGTCCCTCTGAGCCAGAGGACGGGGAGGTTCACAGAGCGTTAAGGAGCCTGTTAAAGTGCTGCCACTCGCTCATCTCACGCGGTCTCTTCACCAAGTCTCCCTGACCAATTCGCTCCACTCCAGACTTCAGTGCCAGCTGCTGGCCTGCCTCGCTTAGTCTCCTTGCCTCCCTCCATCCCTCCCTCCCTCCCTCCCTCAAACCCCCCCCGAGTATCGCCAATCCCACAGCATCAGTGTTAAGCGCTCTGAGACGCTAGCCTGCGCGGAGGGCGCTTTGTTTTATCAATGCAAGTTGTGGTGGTGAGATTCTAAAATGTTACGGTCTCACACACACACACGAGTGGAACGTGAGCGGAATCTCTTCCATGAGAAGCGAGGAGCGTTCCGCAAATTAGCAGAGAGTTTCTCTCCTCTCTTGGAAGAGATTCGGATAATTGGGGATCGGGGGTGGGGGGGGGGGGTGCAAAGAGTTAGCAGGTTTGACACGTACGGTAATGAATGCTAATGCTTGCATTTGATACAGCGCCTTTCATGTCATGTCAGGAGGTCGTTTCACAGCATTTTAATGAGTAATAATAATAATAATAATCCTTGCATTTGATCTCGCTGTAGCTCAGTGGTTAGAGCACTTGCTTTGCAAGCGAGAGACCCCTGGGTTCGCTTCCCGGCAGGTCAGGGTGAAACCTTGGGCAAGTTTCCTCACTCCACACACACAGCTGATAATAATCCCTCAAGAAAAAAAAACAATAACAATTTGGTCATTTTCAATCCACCACTGTTTGCGGGGACGCTGCTGTGCGCAATTGGATGCCGCGTTTCGCCCACAAAATATAGGGTCAATTCGCTTTACAGTCTGTTCCGTGAAGCGCTTTGAGACGTCTGGAAGACGTGCAAGGATTATTATTATTATTATTATCGCGCCCCATCGCGTCGTTGGGAAGTCTCAGAGCGCTTCGCAGGATATAGGGTGATGTAAAGTCCTTCGGATGAGACGTTAAACCCAGACCCCGTTTGCCTGTTCAGTGGACGGTGTAAAGATCCCGAACTCAATCCCTCCGTCTTACCCCTCACTCGCTACCTCCCCGTTTTCAAATCCCGCCGAAGGAACCTTGATTTTTGATGGTGCTTACGGTCACCTCTCTCCCCGCCTCTCCCTCTCTCCCCCCGGGTGAAGGGCGCTGTGTAAGTGCAAGTTGCCAAGAGAACAATCCCCCCGTTCACAGCTCCTCCACAGTTTAATACCAAGACGTACAAACACGGATGGACCCGAACAGCATCGGACTATAAAACGAGACATGAAATGGATCTGGGACAGCAAGCGATCGCCAAAAACCTGGTCCTTACTCCGTCCGAGAGAGAATACTCCCCTCCCCCACGTGAGCTACCACTCCACTGTGTAAACCGCCTTCGCTCCTCCCTCCAATCCACTCACGGACATTATTCCACTACTCCCCACCCCCCCACTTCCTTTCCCGCAATAAACCTGCTTACAAAGATCGCAGAGCTAACCGTCTATTTACAAGCCAAGAGAACTAATTTGCCCCCCGGGGGTGGCTGGGTGAACAGACTCGCTACCTCTTCTCCCCCCAACTTGAAAGCTTCAGTGTCTGTGATACTGCCTGCAGCCAGCAGAGGGGGACACTTGGCCTCTTCTCAAAAGTGCTATTGATCGAGGCCATTCGTGCCCCTGTCAAAGTCAGAGGCACGGCTCAGGAAACCCTCTGGTGTCCTGCCAAGTCACAGCACCTGGTAGCCAAAGGCTATCGTTTACCCTATACAGTGCCCGCCCCCCCACCCCATCGCCCACCCTCACAGGGTATAACCTGTCCTGTCCCTCACAGGCACCCACCTCGTTCACCTCGCAAGTTGTATGGACAGAGAGAGAGAGAGGGCTGGTTCTAGCAGGAAACTTCAGGTCGTTCCTGCACTCCCCCACCCCCACCGCCCGCTCTCTCTCCCTCTCCAGTGTACAATGATTCACTGCTTATTGGCAATGGATGAAAATTCCCCCCCCCCCACCCCCAGACAAAGGGCACCCAAGGTACCCCAACGTTTAGATTCAGTCTCTCAGGGTTGAGTTGATATGGGTTGGGAGATGTGATGGGCGATAGTGGGGTTGGGAGTTTGGGGTTGAGATGGGGTAGGATGTAGGGTAGATGGGGGTTAGGGTTGACTTGGAGTTTGGGCTGGAGATGGTCTAGGGATTGGTATAGACTTTGGGGTCGAGATGGGGACGAGGGTCGAGATGGGGGCGAGGATCGAGATGGGGGCGAGGGTCGAGATGGGGGCGATGGGGGAAAAGGAGGGATTTTTTGGGGGGAAGGGGGTGATATTAATTCTGATGCACTACTGCCTGTTGCTGTTTCTGATGTGTCCTCGTCAGTGATATCGGATCAACTTGTTGTAATCCCTGTCAAAATTCCTGAACAGGTACATGGCGAAGACCATCCCCAAAACCTGGAAGCGAAGGACAAACAAAAGGCAGTGAGGAACACATCCGCAGAACATAAATCCCCCCACCACCACCGCCCCACACACAAGGTACCCCTCACACACGGAACACAAGCTCCAATAAGCAAGCAGAGAGCACTCACAGACCTCCGATCACACCCACTCCCCCCCCCCACCCCACTCACCCCATGTCCAATGGGATTTTTTCCAAACCAACCCTTGTGAATGCCGCTTACTTCGACAGGGATTGCCCTAAACCCATCCCATTCCCCTTGGGACGTCCTCCCGATGTGGAAGGCGCTACACAAATGTAATTTTGCATCGTTTACTGTATTCCCGACATTTCTTCCTGCAGTTAACGGGGACAACTCCCCAAACATATTAGGGCTATTTAAGCACTGCGAGATGAAGGGCATTATTTAAATAATAATAATAATAGAGCTTCATAGAATATACCGTAGAGTGAATTGACTGTGTATTTTGTTGGGAGAAAATTGCCAGCCAATTGCGCACAGCAGTGTCCCGCAAACAAGTCGTGGTTTGAATGACCAAATTATTATATATTATTATTATATAAATAATGCAAGCTGTTACTGTAGGATGTGAATGGCTCCTTGGACAGCCCTCTCCCCTCCTCTGCCCTAGCTGTCCGCAGACTTGAGACCTCCCTACCTTTACCAGCAGTGCTTAGTTGAGTGTTGACTGGCTTCCAGATCAGAGTTGGGCTAATTCTGGGATTGCTGTTGTGCGCATTTTTTCCTCGTTGTTGTTGTTCTTTCTAAATAGTTCTCAAACTCCTCCAGTCCTTTCCTCGTTCACGAACGAACAGAACAGAACCCACAATGAACTGAGAGCCAAGCTTTCCTGTTTTGGGCATTTTCTCAATATTTTTATTGGACAAAACTATGTATAAATATATATATATATGTATGGAAAGCTGATAATCTCTCTCTCTCTCTGTGTCTCTCTGCGTCTGCCTGTGTCTTTGACTGTAGGCTGGTCAATGAACACCCATCACATCATCACTGACTCCGGCACCATCATTAACGTGGCTTGGCTGACAGGCTGCTCGTGATTTATAGCGGATTCGTAGCGACGGATCACATTGGTCTGAAACTCATACATCCACAAGATGAAGGAAAAGCCTAGCAGCTCAAGCTAGAGAATAGGCAAAGCAGAAGGTCCTGTGAAGAACCCACTGTCCATCTCAGGGGACAGGGAGCAGTGCTGGAGGGAAGCAAGCTCAACAACGGTAAGAATCCTCACATTTCATAGTTACGTTTCTCATCTGCAGTACCTTATAAGGCGCTTAATTTAATAATAGCTTTGATGATCATTTAATTAAAAAATACTGCAATTCAATATCGTTGTTTAATTATAATAATCCTCGCATTTGATACAGCGCCTTATCACGTCGTCGAGACGTCTCAAAGGGTATACTGCAAAAGTGCAGTGAAACCCGGCAGCCCATTGCGCACAGCAGCGTCCCTACAAAAAGTTGTGGATTCAGTGACCGAATTATTATTACTTGTTTGGAAGGGATTATTACCCCCAGAAAAGCGATCCTGCCAATCGACTAACAACTGGGTTCCTAGTTACTGACGGGTAAACAGAGGCGTGTGTGTGTGTGTGTGTGTGTGTGGAGCAAGGAAACTTGTGCTCTCTCGCTCTTGCCCCCCGCACTGTGTATCTCAAGGAAGCCAGACTCACCTCGATCAGGCTGATCCCGATACAGATTGCCACGATGCTAAAGAGATTCTTCACCAACCAGTTGTAGATTTGTGCCTTACAGCCCTGAGAGGGAGAGAAAGAGAGAGAGTGTTACAGAGAGAGAGAGCAGTGATGTATTTATTATGCTCACTGTCGTCTACTTTATCTTGGTGCAGGGGGGGGGGGGGCGGGGGGGGGTTGGGGAGCAGGTAGGTGCATCCTCCCAGCCCCCACACCCCCGCTTTCACAAAGATCTCCACCGCTTCCCTCAACCCCTCCCAACACCCAACCACTGCCACTCAAGAGATAGATAGATTTCTTATTGTAAAAGGGATTAAGGGATATGGGGATAAGGCAGTGTCAGGTTATTAGCTGGAGTTAGATTGGAAGATCAGCCATGATTGAATGGCGGGGCAGTCTCGAAGGGCCGAATGGCCTCCTCCTGCTCCTACATGTTATGTTAACCTCACCCCACTCTGCTGCCCTCTCACCTCAAGAAATCCCCACCATCAACTTCAACCCCCATGACTATCAACCTAAGCCCCCCTCCCAAACCCCAACCCCATCACCCCCCCATTGCTCACCGTGACCTCGCCGTTCAGTGGATGAGAGTCAGTGGAGACAGAGCAGAAGCCATGGGGCCTGTTGGAGAACCCGGTGAAGTTGCCCTTTAAGGCCAGCGAGCACGAGCAGGGGAAGGTGTGGTTCTTAGTCGACAACTGCAGGTGTTTGTTTTTGAACCACTCTTGGGACGAGTTCCAGCCACAGCAAGCCAACTGCAGTGAAAAGAAGGCAATAAGAATAATCCTGGCGTTTGACCCAGAGCCTTACCACATCGTCAAGACGTCTCAAAGCGCTTTACAGGACACACTGTAAAGATGAGCGCACGTGTATATATTGTGGGCGAAACGTGCCAGCCAGTTGTGCACAGTAGCGTCCCCCAAAACAGCCGTGGATTGAGTGACCCAATTATTATTGATTTGAAGGGATTATTACCTCCGGAAAAGCGATCCGCCAATCGCCTGACAACCGGGTTCCTACTGATAAGTAAACAGAGGCGTGTGCGTGGATTAAGGAAATGGGTTGAGTGCTCTAACCAATGCCCTGCAGGACTTCACAATATTATAATAAATAATAATAATAACCCTTGCATTTAATACAGAGCATTATCATGTCTTCTAGACATCTCAAAGCGCTTTACAGGAATCTACGCTGCGGATCGCAGCGACTTGATTATTTTCGTAGGCGAATGCAGACGGTTTGTGCACGTGGATGTTCCTACAAGTAGCCGTGCAGTGAATGAATGGGTGATTTTATTGGGGGATTGTCGGCCAGGACACCGAGAGAGAGAGAGAGAAAGAAGGAGAGAGAGGGATTATCTTCTTTCTTCTAGCAGTGGAATCCACGACCTGGCAAAGCAGCTGCAGTACCTCAGCTTGGCCTGCAGGCTGCACTGCGGCACTTAGTTCGATTATAGGGTAACAACGGCGCCCCCGGGTAGTGTCCCCGGGAATTACAGCCTGATGTTGTGTGACCGACACACACGGAGAAATTCATCACCGGACGTTTATAAAGAGGCGTCAAACCCGACCGAGAATTCCACTCGTCCCAACTACACGTGGAAATTCTCCGAGACAGACTGTCGGAATGGAATGCCCACTTGCGCTCTCTCTCTCTCTCTCTCTCTCTCTCTCCCTGGAGGGATGCATCCTGTTAACCTAATTCCGGAGAGCGTTAGGCGCAGGTTGGCGGCGAGAGCCAAGGCTTGGGTCCGGGGGGGAGCCCAGAGTGTGTGTTGGCTAAAGCCGTTCCTCGGCAAACTACGTGGCTTCCACCGGGTGTCCCTCTTCTCTCGTTTCCCCCTTTCTCACCGTGTTTGGGGGTGGGGGGGGGGGGGGCGGTGGGGGTTGGGCGGGGTGATGGGGGTGGGGTGGGGGTTCAGGCTCACCGTGTATTGGACGAAGTCCCAGCTGTGTTCCAGGTTCTTGCTGCTACTGTCTGTGTCGTTGTATTTCTCAATCACCTTCCTGACTCTGGACTCGAGCTCCTTTGTGAGCTGGGGGGAGACAAGCCGGGGGGGTGGGGGGGGGGGGGGGGTGAGTGCGTGGTGGGGTTAAGACAGCAAGTGGCCTCAAACCTAGTTTCATGTCCCACTTCGACGCCAACTCTCCCTCCCTTCCCCCGCCCCCACCCCCACCCACACACACCCTCACCCCCTCCCAATCAGGAGACTTGGAGGCTTTAGACTCAAACTGTCTCTCGGAGGTGGGTCGATGGGCTGAATGGCCTCCTCTGACTTGCTGGGTCGGCTCGTACCCCCCACTCGCTCACACCGACCATTCCCTCCACACCCCCCTCACACCCCAGATCTCCCTCCCCCCCCACACACACACACAGATAGAGAGAGACTCACTCACCACCTTCCTCTGTGTGACGATCAGAACTCCGATGGTGACTTGGGAAGCCAGGAGGAAAACCAGGAACGCAAAGTACTGCAGGGGGAGGGGAGGGAACGGTTGGCGGGGGGGTGGGGGGCGGGGGGTGCGGGCGGAAAACACCCAAAGGAGAAACAGTCAGAGAAGAAACGTTCGGCCAAACCGTCTCGAATCTGGCTCTGCCCCTTCCTGTCTACGCAGACCTTCCTCAGTTCTGGTCACCACCCCTTGTCCTCAGTCCAGACTCCCCCCACCCCCCCCCCACTTCACGACACCCCCCCCCGCAATAAAAAAATCCCTCGCCAGGCGTCACGGGTTCTGTAACTTTCCGTGGAAGTGGGCTTCTGTGTGAAACTTGTTGCTTGTCTATTGGTTTGTCATGTCAATTCAGGGTCAAAATTTCCCCTCTACCGAGCAAAAGATTCTATATAGAGATATAGATATAAATATAAATTAATATATATATAAACTTCCATCAGACAACTGCAGAGACAAACAACACTGGTGCCTTCACGTATGACCAACCCCCAATCCTCCCCTTGCACCCAAGACAGACACACGCGCGCACACACACACACATATTCACACTCACACAGAGAGAGACACACACAGATAGGGGGAAGCTGGGGGTGGGGGGGGGGTGGGGGGTGGGAGGGAGATTGACGGTCAGGCTATAGGTGACTGAGTAGCCAGACTTACAAATCCCAGCATACAGCGAACCTCCTTCAGTGCCCCCAAACAGCCCAGGAACCCCATCATCATGGTGAAGGTGCCCAGGCCCGAGAGCACATAGGACCACAGGTTCACAGGGATGGACACCGTCTCTGTAACGGGGGCAGCACAGGTCACACACACATACACATACACCTCCCCTAAACACAAACAGTCTGCGTAACCACACACACCTCCCCACTCCCTCAAACACAAGCCGCCCGGGTAACCAGTACACACATACACACACGCACACACCCCTAAACACAAGCCGTCTGCGTAACCAGGTAACCACACACACGTGTGGCTACCCCCTCCCTACACGCTCCGTGAAACGCCACGTGCCAGTGCGCAGTTAAGTGTAGTGACTGTGTCGACAATCCCACCCCAACCCCAAAAAGAAAAAAAAAGAAAATCTCACTGCTTGGCTGTCGCTGGGAGCAAATTTCCCTCCTCGCCCCCCCCCCCACCCTCATGTAGGTTCTTGTAGGTAACGATTTCTAGCCCCCGACACACACAGTCTCCTCTCAGCAGTATTCCCCCCCCACACACACACACACACAAAACACCCCACACCGCCCCCCCCCACACACACACACTCCCCCTGACAGATACTCACTTAACACAGTCATGAAGCTGTTCTCGTCCAGTAGGATCCACAGCCCAAACCCCAGCATCAACCCTCCCAGGAACTGTGGGAGAGACGACAGGACATGGCGGGGGTTAAAACAGGGGCAGTGTGTATATTACCCAAGGGGGTGGGGGGGGTGTTTGTGTGTGTGTGTGGGAGGGGGGGGAGAGAAGGGTTATTTTGTCACTAATACAATTGCAAATACAACTGAGATCCTGAAATACCTCCTGTTTTAGGCTCGCTGTGAGTGTGGGGGGCAGGATATGTGGGGGGGGGGGGATGTGCGGTGTGTGGGTGGGGGGGGAGAGTGTGGGAAAGGGGGTTGGAGAGGCGGGAGAAGGGGAGGGAGGGAGGGAAAGTTCTAAACTTTTGTTTCCGAGACAAAAAAAAAACTTTCCAACAATAGCTGTGAGTAATGAGCCAGAGCTGAGCTGCCAGTCATCAGGTCAGGGGCTGAGACACAAGGAGCCAGTGTTCCTACACACAGACACACACACCCCAGACAGACACACACAGAGACAGATAGTCACACAAACACGGATACACATACACACACACACAGCAGCGAGGCGCTGGGAGAGAAGGGAGGGGGGGAGGAATCCTGGCTGGAGCGGGGGCCACAGAGAGAGGAGCCCAGATTCCTGCTGCTCCAAAGCAGCCTTTCCCATCGCTCCCCACTTCTCTCTCCCCCGCCCCCCACCTACCCTCCGTCCCCCTCTCTCTTCTCCCTCTCTCTCTCCCCCCCCCCCAGGGCTTGTCTGGATTGTCAGCCTTACACAACATTTCATGAAGAAAACAAGTGTCAGTCAGTGTAGTGGGTGTCAGTGACCTTGGGATCATTGACTGTTCACCTTGGGAAATCCTGTCCAATAAATAACTTAAACCAAGTTAATGCTTAGCGAGCAAAGGATTATTCCCCCCCACCCACCCACCCCCTCTCTGATCCCACGCTCAATATTTTTTTGTCCGACTCACACGGAAACCCATCACCGTTGCTTAAAACGAGTCTCCAAACCAAGCTGAGATTTCCATGGAAATCCCAGAGATTGGAGTCCTGTAGCTCAGTGGTTAGAGCACTCGCTTTGCAAGTGAGAGACCTGAGTTCAATTCCAGGCAGAGGGCGAAACCTCGGGCAAGTTTCCTTACTCCACACAGAGCCTAATAATAATCCTCCAAAACCCAAACAATAATAAATTGGTCATTTTCAATCCACGGCTGTTTGTGGGACATTGCTGTGCGCAATTGGCTGCCGCGTTTGCCCACAAATATACAGTCAATTCACTTTGCAGTGTGTTCTGTGAAGCGCTTTGGGACGTCCTCCCGACGTGAAAAGTGTTATATCAAATGCAAGGATTATTATTATTATTATTATTATAGATTGTCGGAATTGTCTCTCTCTCTCTCTCCCTCCCCCTGGAAGGATTACCTAATTCCGGAGAGTATGAGGCACAGGTTGGGCGAGAGCCGAGGCTTGTGGAGGGGGAGCCCAGATGTGCGTTGGGGGTAACTGCTGGAGTCTAACCAGCTAAACCCACATTGGTTGCCATCGATAGAGAGAGAGAGAGAGAAAGAGAGCGCTGCCTGGCCAAGCTTTCCCGCTGCTTGTCCAGCGAGGACCATCCTCCCCGTTAGTTAATTAGTTAGTTCGATAGTTCGTTAGTTAGTTAGCGCTTTGGTTTACGGGGTTAACAGGAGCCGGGTTGGAGGATTCATTGTACATGTTGTGTTATTGATGTGACTCTCCCAAGCGCTTACAACGTAGCACAGGGAGACAGAATTGGGGGGAGGTGGGAGGGTGAGGGAAGGTGAAGGAGGGGGTGTCATATTAAGCCCTGACCCACAATGCTAGTTAGTGCCCCCCACCCCAACCCCACCCCCCCCTCCCCAAGGCTTGTCCCACCTCGTCTCTGATACTTACAAAGAAGATAAGGTTGAAGACAAAGAGCAGGTACTTTGTGACCACAATACAGCCTTTAGACACCATCCTGAGGGGCTTTAGTCTTCGGGGAGAGAGAGAGAGAGAGAGAGGAAAGTCATCACATAGTAATAATAATTTGGTCACTTCAACCCACGACTGTTTGTGGGACGTCGCTGGGCGCAATCGGCTGCCGGGTTTGGCCCACAATACATACAGTCAATTTATCCTGCGCTTTGCGACGTCTCACAGACATGATGAGGCGCTGTGTCAAATGCAAGGATTATTATTATTATTATTATTGTATAAGGTGCTCACTTTGTAGCCGTTTGCCGAAACCTCGCTGAGCGCAAACTGACTGCTGGGTTTGCGTGTGTGCGGTGGGGGAGGGAAGTGGGGAAGAGAGAGGAAATGCCTTTCAGTAAAGTTGATAGTGATTATTAACTTTGTGATATACAGACACGGACGCACACACACACACACACACACACACACACACACAGGCACTTACAGGCACAGACACAAGCACAGGCACACACAGATACAGGCACACACAGGCACACAAACACTCACACACAAGATACACACACGCGCGCTCACACACACACACGCGCGCGCGCGCGCGAGCAGTTGAGCTACAGGCTGACACTGCAATTTTCTGCACCGCAAAGCCAGCGACCGACAGAGCTTAGTTGCAAAGCTTTGCGATATTCCACCGTGATAGGCTGATCTCGTCACCTCCTGGTCACACAGGTCAACTGCTGATCACTGAGGGTAACCAGTCCACCCAGATAACACACCGACACTACACTTTACAATACGCTGCTGTGCGCAATTGGCCGCCGCGTTTCGCCCACAAATATACAGTCAATTCACTTTACAGTGTGTTCTGTGAAGCGCTTTGGGACGTCCTCCCGACGTGAAAAGCGCTATATCAAATGCGAGGATTATTATCATTATTCTGTGAAGCGCTTTGAGACGTGATAAGGCGCTGTGCCAAATGCCAGGATTTTCCTTGTGATAGTAATGACAGTAAAACTTGCATAAGTCTGATCTGTACACATCGTTTAATCTCCTTATGACCGTGTAATGTCTCTTAATTAAGAGGGGGGGGGGGGGGCAGAGTCAGAGAGGAAGGGTGAAGAGAGAGAGAGAGAGAGAAAGGAAGTGAGCTGACATTCTATGAAAGAGGAACTACTTCACAGCGAGGGGCAGAAAATTACGGAACTTGATTAACCGAAGCGGGGGCAGAAATAAAGCATTGATGCATTTAAGAGGAAGCGAGACCTTTAAACGAGAGAGAGAGAGAGAGAAAGAGAGAGAGAAAGGAGCAACAGTAATAATAATAATAATCCTTACGTTTGATGCAGTGCCTGATTGTGTCATTGAGACGCCTCAAAGCGCTTCACAAGATGTACTGTGTAATGTAGTGTAGTGACCATGTGTTTGTGAGGGAATGGTCGAGGCGTGTAGTGTGTTTGCGTGCTGTACAGTCTGTGTACATATATGTAGTATGGCGTCCAGCATGGCAGGAAATCACACGTAGCAACCAGCACCGTGTGCTAACATGTGCCCTGAGACACGGGACAGTAATTGTGTACTTTTCTGGGAGGAGGTGAGCGGTGGGAGGGGGCTTTTGGAAATGAATCAGATTGAGGGGAAATTGCCCCTCTTCCTTCCCCTCGCACAGTCAGGCAGTGAATTCCCGTAACCTACACTCTCTCTGAATCCAAGTCACATCTTATGACTTGTTCTTGAACATGTGCAAACACACACAAACACACACACACAGACGCACCGACACACGCTGTTTATGTGTTTATCAATCCCCCAAAGGACTAAAAAACAACAATTTACATTCATTCGCACCGCACCTGCTCGCCTCGGGAACAAGTCTGAAACTATTCCCACAGTTTTTTTTAAAAAAAAGAGAGATCAGAGGAGGAGGAGCAGAGGGAGAGAGATGGTGTGTGCGCGCGAGTGTGTGAGAAAAACACAGAGATAATAATCCTTAATAATAAACCTTGCATTTGATACACGTCTTTGAAACGTCTCAAAGAGCTTCACAGGATATACTATAAAGTGAATGGACTGTATATTTTCAGGCGAAACAACAAAATCTGACAAAACATAGCAAAAACACACACTATTACACCCAGAACCCCCCCCCCCTCCTCCATCCCCGCAGTCGGGAGTGAAATGCTGAACTCAGCGAATTTGCCAGAAGTCTGCAAAGTCTTGAGAGAAACTGACCTCTCAAGTCCAATTCCTGACCAACCGATCCTTCAGAAAAAAAAAAGATGTTCCTGGTAAAGAAATCGATGCCCCGAGGGAGTGAGAGACAGAGAGAGGGGGAGTGAGAGACAGAGAGAGAGGGAGTGAGAGACACAGAGAGAGGGAGTGAGAGACACAGAGAGAGGGAGTGAGAGACAGAGAGAGGGAGTGAGAGACAGAGAGAGAGGGAGTGAGAGACACAGAGAGAGGGAGTGAGAGACACAGAGAGAGGGAGTGAGAGACACAGAGAGAGGGAGTGAGAGACACAGAGAGAGGGAGTGAGAGACAGAGAGGGAGAGAGAGGAGGAATGAAAGCTTTGCCAAAGTGTGAGACAATCTTTTCCATTGTTTCCCCACAACTCACCAGAAACTTTTTGTTAAACAAAAGTTAAACGACAAAAGAACACTCTCTCTAACTCTCTTAACATAAAAATAGACGGTTTTTTTTTCTTAATTAAAACAATCTGTTGTTTTTCGAAAGCGATTTTGGAAGTGGGGGGAGGGGGAGAGGGGAGGGGGGTGACAGTTCCTTTGGTGTTTTGTGAAGAGGGAGAGAGAGTGAACCACTTAACAACTGCTCAACTAATGAAAGACTACACTCTTCCAAAACTCCTATCAAACACTTTCCCTCTCGGTCTGTCTGAGTAACTCACAACTACACAGACAGGGATTAGGAGAGAGTGGGGGGAGAGAGAAGGGGGGAGAGAGAGGGGGGGGGGTAAGCGGGAGAAGAGGGGAGAAAGAGAGGCAAAGTGTTGAACAGAAAGAGAGAGAGAGAGACAAAGAGTTTAACAGAAAGAGAGAGAAAGAGAAATGATTCCCCATTTAAAAAAATCATCCAAAAATCCAACAAACAGTGAAACGAGTTGAGAGACACTGAAAGGCACTTACTTCAAAGTGGAGAATGATTGACTTTACCCCTCTCTCTCTCTCTCTCTCTCTCTCTCTCCCCCTTCCCCCCACCCCAACAGCAGTGGGGTCGGTGGTGGAGAACTTTGGGTGAGAGCCTCTGACTGCACTTCACAAGTTGTGCTGTTGAGTGAGAGGGGAAAACATTCTGTGGCTAAGGATCATTGTCACTGACTCCTCTCAAAGCTCATTGGCCACTTTACACAATAGGGGACACACACACACCCCCCCACCCCCCCACCCCCACCCTGGCCTCTCTCTCCGTCTGTCTGTCTGTCTGTCTGTCTGTCACTCACCATGTCTCCGTCACTTACGCTTAGACATCAGGAACGCACACCCCTGGCCTCTACGTCTGTCACTGTGTCTGTCTCTGTCTGCACACATCTGTCACTGTCTGTGTCACTGTCCGTGTCTCCCTCTGCGTCTCTCTCTCTCTCTCTCTGTCTCTGCGTCTATTAATAATAATAATCTTCGCGTTGGATACAGGACCTTCTCGCGCCATTGAGACATAGGAAACATAGGTAACGGGAGGAGGCCATTCAGCCCTTCCAGCCTGTTCCGCCATTTAATCAGATCGCGGCTGAGACGTCTCAAAGTGTTTCACAGGATTTTACCGTAAAGTGGAGTGAACATGCGGTGCGTTTTGAGGGCGAAACGTGGCAGCGGTGTCCCACAAACAGCCGTGGATTGAGCGAGCAGAAGTTTTTGGGGTCGGGGGGGGTTATGACTTTCACCTCTCGAGCCAGCAGAGGAGTTTCCGTGTCTCGTTTCCCCTGCAGTTGGTCCCTGACTCAGTGGTGACTAACTTTCCGTGGAGCCACACCACGCCTCCTGCTAAACTTGTTCCAAGTCGTTAATTACCCTCACTTTGAGAGGTGCCAGGCGCCCCTTCGGTGTGTGTTTGTGCGGTTGTTTTCAGTGATTCGCTTGGGCAGAACGTACCTGAAGCGCAGCGTAAAACCGCACATGTTCAAACTGTTTATAACCGACTCTATTTCCGACTGTTTTTCTGCTGTGGAATCCGGCAAACCAATCATTTCTGTCACGTTTCCACTTTCAAACTTCTCGTTTGCTGCTCGAAAATAGAAAGGAGTTTTTCTCCCTCTCTCTCTCTCTCCCTCTCTCTCCCTCTCTCTCTCTTACAGTGTCCTGACAATTCCCAGGTAAAAATGATTCATTCACTTTACTGCTGTTTGCGTGTGCAATTGCTATGTGGGTGGCGACTGTACGCCAGTAACTTCTTTGACGGAGTCCTGTAGGACTCGTGGCTCGTGCGCTCGCCTCGCAAGCGAGAGGATCTATGTTCGATTCCCGGGCGGGACAGGACAGGGCGAAATGTTAAGCAATTTTCCTTACTCCACACACACACGCACACACGCACACACACACACACGCACACACACACACACGCACACACGCGCGCGCCTCTGTTTACCAGCAGTCAGTAGGAACCCGGTTGTTGGTCGATTGGCCGATCGCTTTTCTGGGAGGTAATAATCCCTTCATAAACAAACAATAATAATAATTATTTAGTCACTTCAATCCACGACTGTGTGTGGGACACAGTTGTGCGCAATTGGCTGCCATAGTTGGCCCACAACATATGCAGTCAATTCCCTTCGCAGTATATGCCGTGAAGCGCTTTGAGACTTATTGAAGACGTGATAAGGCGCCGTATTATTATTATTATTATTATTATGCCGTGCGAGATAATTGATCAAACGCTGCCTCCTGCTGGAGGTGAACTGGTGCTACAGGTGTAAAGCCATTAACCTTCAGCATTTCAATACATCACAAGGGTCGGTTCGGAACAAAGAAGACTCATCCGACCTCATCCCTCCAGAACACTCACGTGTCAAAACGCTTCACAAGTGCAAGCTGTTCAGTGTAGTGACTGTGTCCTGTAGCATAGTAATAATAATAATAATCATTGCATTTGATACAGCGCTTTTCACGTCTTCTCGACGTCTCAAAGCGCTTCACAGAATAGACTGTAAAGTGAATTGACTGTGTATTTGTGGGCGAACGCGGCAGCCAATGGCGCACAGCAATGTCCCACAAACAGCCGTGGATTGAAAATGACCAATTTATTATTGTTTTTGGTTTTGGAGGGACTATTATTAGGCTCTGTGTGGAGTAAGGAAACTTGCCCAAGGTTTGGCCCTAATGATAGCGGTTAAGAGCACGTGCCTCGCAAGTGAGAGGGGACCTGGGTTCGAAATCATGGGTCCTCTTGTTCTCGAGGCGAGTGCTCTAAGCACCAGGTTACAGGACTCCAGATAAGGAATGTTAAGTGGAAGCATTAGTTATTTGTGCAGTTAATGAGAGAGGCAGCGGCGGTGGTCGGGGGGGGTGTGGGGGGGAGGGGGTGTGTGGGGGGGGAGGGGGTGTGTGGGGGGGAGGGGGGGGGGTGGGGGGGAGGGGGGGGGGTGGGGGGGGAGGGGGGGGGGTGGGGGGGAGGGGGGGGGGGGGGGGTGGGGGGGAGGGGGTGTGTGGGGGGAGGGGGGGAGGTGGGGGGGAGGGGGGGGGGGAGGGGGGGTGTGGGGGGGCACTGAGGCGCTTGAGGCGGCCAGAACGCTCACAGGTACCTCAGCCCTCACGGGGGGACCCCCGAGCCTCGGCGTTTGGTAACTTGCGCTTTATACTTTGGGATCAGGGAAACGGGAAGAGACGGAGTTGGTTTGTGATCGTTTCTCTACTCCACAGCGGTGCTGCACAACAGCCAATGAGAGAGCGGATACAGTGTAACCACTGACAGCCAATGAGAGAGCGGATACAGTGTAACCACTGACAGCCAATGAGAGAGCGGATACAGTGTAACCACTGACAGCCAATGAGAGAGCGGATACAGTGTAACCACTGACAGTCAATGAGAGAGCGGATACAATGTAACCACTGACAGTCAATGAGAGAGCGGATACAATGTGACCACAACAGCCAATGAGAGAGCGGATACAATGTGACCACAACAGCCAATGAGAGAGCGGATACAGTGTAACCACTGACAGCCAATGAGAGAGCGGATACAATGTAACCACTGACAGCCAATGAGAGAGCGGATACAGTGTAACAGTGACAGATGACTTTCCACGTGGCGACTCCCAGAGAGACTGAGAGGCATCAAAACTGCCCCCAAACCCCCCCATTACCCCCGGGTCAGCGGCCAGACACCCCCAGCCATCCCTGGGCAGGTAGGTGACACCAGGGATTTCCCCCCACCCCCTGTCCTCTCCCCCACCCCTTCCTCCCCAACACCCACCCTTCCCTCCCCACAACCCACCCTCTCCTCTCCCCCCCACCATTCACTCTCAACCCCCACCCTCAAACCTCTTCTCCCCCCTTCCCTCCTCTCAATCCAAATTTACACTCCATCACCCACACACCCACACACACCCTCTCCTCACCCACCCCCCTCCCCCCCCCCCATAGCACCCAAATTCATCCTCTCAACCCCAACCACCCTCTTCTCTCTCTCTCTCCTCTTCCCCTTTTAACAGTTTCTCTGTCCTCTACTTCCTCCATCACTAAACAGGAGCAGAAGCTGTATAAACAGTTACAGTTGATGTGTGTGTGTGGGGGGGGTGGGGTAGTTGGTGTGTGGGTGTGTGTGTGTGGGGTGGGGTGGTTGGTGTGTGTGGGTGTGGGTGGGGTAGTTGGTGTGTGGGTGTGTGTGTGTGGGGTGGGGTAGTTGGTGTGTGGGTGTGGGTGGGGTAGTTGGTGTGTGGGTGTGTGTGTTTCCACGTGTGGAAAAAGGGAAGGGGGGAAAAAGAGAGCGAGAGAGAAAGAAAGAAGAAAGAAATGTGCTCTTTACCCACACGGTGGGAGAGGAAACTGTTTGTTAGTATTTGATACGTTTTATTTCTTCCCCCAACTTTCCGTCTATATTGTGGCCACTTTCTTGGCTCCTCGAGAGAAAACCAAAGTCAGTCTGTGTGTGTCTGTGTCTGTCTGTGTCTGTCTGTGTGTGTCTCTGTCTGTCTGTGTGTGTCTGTGTGTGTCTCTGTCTGTCTTTGTCTGTCTGTTTCTGTCTGTGTGTGTCTCTGTTTGTCTGTCTGTGTGTGTGTGTCTGTGTGTGTCTCTCTCTCTGTCTGTGTGTGTGTCTGTGTGTGTCTCTCTCTCTCTGTCTGTGTGTGTCTGTCTGTGTGTGTGTGTGTCCAGTGGTGGGGGGAGTGAGGTTTAAAAAAATAACAAGGAAAAGAAATAGTTTGAAGGGCTGGATTGGGTCTGGAACAATTTTAAAAGTGTTCTCTGTAAAGGGAGAGCGGGTGGGGGGGGGGGGGGAAGCTTTCAGAGTTTATGTGTAAATAATAATAATAATACTTGCATTTGATTTTGGTTGTTAATCGATTGGCTGATCACTTTTACGGGGTTAATAGTCCCTTTTATTAAAAAAAAATGCCGTCACTCGCTCCACGGCTGTTTGTGGGGTCGTCGCTGTGCGCAGTTGGCTGCCGCGTTTCACCTCACAAAATGCACAGTCACTACACTTTACAGTATGTGTGTATATATATATATATACACACACACACAGTCAATTTGCTTTACGGTACATCCTGTGAAGCTTTGAGACGTCGTGATGAGGCGCTACGTCAAATGCAAGGTTTATTATTGCTATTATTATTATTATTATCGCGTCTTCGTGACGTCTCAACGCTCTTCACAGAGTTACGCTGTAAAGTGAATCGACTGTGGATTTTGTGGGCGAAACCACAATGTGTAAAGACTCGGTACTTAGATATAAATGGACGGTTTATTTTAGCTCTACCTGCAGTCAATATACCCTTTGTCACTCCCTGTAAAGGACTGGACTTTCACTTTGACTCATTTTGTCGTCAAAAATTTAAGATCGTGTAAGAATCAAGGAAAAGTCTTCCCGGTCGCTCTTTTTTTTGGGGGGTGGGGCACGATTTTAATACCGTAATAATAATAATCCCTGCATTTAGATACAGCGCCTTATCACGTCTTCGAGACCTCTCAAAGCGCTTCTGCAAGGATTATTAATCTTATTATTACTGTAAAGTCTTAGTAATTGTATTTTGTGGGCGGAACTACAGCGACGTCCCCACAAACACTCGTGGGCTGAGCGACCAAACGACTATTTTAGTGCTATTCGATAATAATAATAACGTGAAGAAGAATTTGCATTTGACGGCCCTCGAAGAGCTTCACAGATTTATACTGTCAAGTGTTTGCGACTCGGGTCGTTTGTGGTCTCTTACAGCGTTGCCACCATTGCACTCCCGGCAATTTGTCCGTGTCACGAAGGGTTAACCTGACTTGCGGATTGGCGATCTCTCTCTCTCTCTCTCTCTCTCTCTCTCGCTCCTGTGTCCATCTCGGCTGATGCAATAAAGCAGCAGTCGAGAAGTTATCATGGCTTCTGGTTAAGCCATGTGCTGCTGTGTGTGTGTGTGTGTGTGTGTCTCTCGTTCTGGTCCAAACGCTCACTGGGGTCGGGGGGGGGCAGAAGGTAAGACGTGGAGGTGTGGTGGTGAGAGAGAGGGGAGCATTACCTCCTTTGCTTGCGACCTTATATTCCTGGTGTTCCGGGGAGTTGGTTTGGGGTGGGTGGGTGGGTGGGGGGCGGAGGGGAGGGGAGGAATGTCGGGAGACCTTTGGGAATTCACCTCATCTCTGCCGTTTGGCGGAGAGAGATACTGAGCCTTTCGGTCGAGGGTTTACTTTGTGAGAAGGGAGAGCGAGAGAGACTTTGCCGAGTTTCCCATTTCCTTGTGGTGAAGGTGCAGCCCCTTCCCCCTCACTCTTCCCCCTCAGTGAAGTCCCGTAGCTCAGTGGTTAGAGCACTCGCCTCGCAAGCCAGAGGACCCGGGTTCGATTCCCTTACACCACACACACACACACGCCTCTGTTTACCAGCAGACGGTTAGAACCCGCTTGTTAGTCGATTGGGGGATGGCTTTCCCGGGGGGAAACAGTCCTTTCAATAAAAGTTTAAATTAATAATAATAATAATAATGTGATCACTCGATCCACGGCTGTTTGTGGGGACGCTGCTGTGCGCAATTGGCTGCTGTGTTTCGACCACAAAAATATACAGTCAATCGTATCCTGTGAAGCGCTTTGAGACGTCTCGAGGACGTGATCAGGCGCTGTATCAAGTGCTCGGATTATTATTAGTAGTGGTAGTATTATTACCATCGCAGTTCACAGTCACCACAACCCACCACACGGGAAACACTCTTGAGACATATCGAACGGTGCCACGAGGCGAGGCAGTAATTGTGACAGATGTACCCTGTGCCTTATTTCACCTTCCTCTCCACACACCAGAGCCTGTCTGTCCCTGTCACCCTCAGCCCTGCTCAGAGTCTACCCGTTAACCCCCACCCCCCACCCACCCGCCCTCCCGGGAAGGAGGGAGAGGAAGACTAAAGCGAGAGAGAGGGGGAACGACCAAACCTCTCAGAAATATAACAATCCTCGCATTTGACACAGTGCCTTTTCACATCTTCGAGACGTCTCAAAGCGCTTCACAGGACATACTGTGCAGTGTAGTGACTGTGTGTTTTTGTGGGCGAAACGCGGCAGCCAATTGCGCCCAACGACGTCCCCACCAACAAGGGGTCGGGAATATGACCCAAAGTGTTCCATATCGGCAACAACAACAACAACAACAACAAGATTCCATTGACCTCGCTTTGCTGCAGCTGCGGCTGCTGCTGTTGTTGTTTGCTCGATGAGCCCCAGGGTTTAAGGGAAGGAGGGGGTTAATCCCACTGAACTGGTTGGTATCTGGTTACAACAAGCAAAGGCGTGGTAGAAAGCGGGCGGGCAAGCAGTCGGTCTCGGTCTCCTGGCTTGAAATCCACGAGATTAATCGGTCGTTCACCTTGTGGTTGTCGAAACCTTTCACCCTTTCTATTGACAGAGGCTCTATCAATGTCACCCACTTCCCAGGGAATTACCGTCAAGTGACTGAATGCTTGTACGCAGGCCAGGCTGCAGCCCATGGGGGTGGGGGGAAGGGTTGGAGGGGGTGGGGGGAATTGTCAGCCAATACACCGAGAGGGGGAGAGAAAGAGAGTGAGAGAGAGAGGGACTCCCTTCGCTTCACAACAACACATCCAAGATCGTTTTAACATCCCGTTCACAGGACGGGAGATATTTATTCATTCTATTAATAAGTCGAATAATAATAATCATCCTTGCGTTTGACACAGAGCCCTATCGCGTCCGTCGGGTCGTCTCAAAGGGCTCGACAGGACAGGACAGGCTGTCAAGCGTAGTGACCGTGTGTTTCGTGGGGCGAAACCCGGCAGCCAATTGCTCTCTGCGATCAGAGCTCTCTCTCTGGCTCCGGCTCCGTTGGTATTGGATAGTTGCCATGTTGGCACCTCTCGTGTGGCCGGCCAGTGGGTTTGGGGGTGTGGGGTGGGGGGGGGATGGTTATTAAGCGGGGAGGGGGGTGGGAGAGCGAGGAGAGGGTGCCATTGGACGAGCGAGAGGGGAGTGAAATGTGCGTGGGGTGTCCTGAGATTATGTGTGTGTCAGAGATAATATAAATAACTGCTCTGGAACCCAACCCCCTACGAATTCTCCGCCACTGAACTTGGAAGGGTTGGGAAGGTGGAACTTGCTCGTGAGTTAAAGCTGTTTTCTTCCTTTCGTTTCCAGCGGAAACTTAAGAAACTCAAACGCCTGTTGTCGAGAAAACTTATCCCGTCTTCGAGACGTGTCAAAGCCCCTTCGCGGGACGCACGGCTCGAGAGCATTGGCTGCGTGTTTTGTGGGCGAAACGCGGCAGACAATTGAGTCAGTCCGGGCCCCGAAGATTGAACCGGGGGACATCCGGCTGCGTATAGTTTCCCTCCTGCGGCTCGTCAGTCAGTCAGGTAGCCCTGTCTGTCTGTCTGTCTGTCTGTCTGTCTGTCTGTCTGTCTGTCTGTCTGTCTGTCTGTCTGTCTGTCTGTCTGTCTGTCTGTCTGTCAAGCGCTCTGGGACGCTACGTAAATGCAAGTTGTTGTCAGTCTGTGTGCGTATGTGTGTGTCTGTCCGCGTGTGTGTGTTTGCGCACCTGTCTGTGTATGTGTGTGTGTGTGTGTTTGCGCACCTGTCCGGTGTGTGTCTCTGTGGGTGTGTGTGTGTGTGTCTCTGTGTGAGTGTGTGTGTGTGTGTGTATTGGGTGTATACTGTGTGTGAGCAAAATAACCGTTGTATTCGCATAAAGATCCGCGCGGCCATTGTAATCGGAAGCATTTGCTTTGAGGTGTGTTCTTGTTACGTGGGCGTTGTATAAAATACGAGGATTGTTGTACATACAGGGTCTGGCTCAAGACCGAGCTGTTTGACCGCAATGATCCCCCCACCCCTCCCCGCACTGGCTCAGTGCCCCTCCCCAGGACTCTTGGCAGAGACGGACAGAAAGAGAGCGATAAGGAGAGGGAGAGAGAGAGACGGGGGTGGTGGTGGGGGGGGGGGGGAGAGAGAGAGTGAGACGGGTGTGGGGGAGAGAGAGAGAGAGAAACTGGAAGTAACCGCCATGTTTATCGTCAGGGCTGAAAATAGATTGGAAACCCAACTTGTCCAATAAAAGGAGAATTTGCAGCAACTGTGTTGCTATCCGTACAGAACCGCTCACCCAGACTCCCCGACCCCATCACTCCCACCCTCGCCCGACCCCATCACCCCCACCCTCGCCCGACCCCATCACCCCCACCCTCGCCCGACCCCATCACCCCCACCCTCGCCCGACCCCATCACCCCCACCCTCGCCCGACCCCATCACCCCCACCCTCGCCCGACCCCATCACCGCCACCCTCGCCCGACCCCATCACCCCCACCCTCGCCCGACCCCATCACCCCCACCCTCGCCCGACTCCACTGGCTCCCCATCCCCCAGATGATCCAATTCAAGATCCTCTTCCTCACCTTTAAGGCCATCCATGGCCTCGCCCCCTCCTACCGCTCTGACCTGCTGACTCCCTACCAACCTGCCCCCTCCCTCCGTTCATCGGGCTCCGGCTGCTCCATGTCTCCCGCCCGACCCCCCCACCATGGGTGGCTTTCAGCCTCTCTGCCTCCACACTCTGGAGCTCCATCCCACGGTCCCTTGGCCTCACTTCCTCACTTGCCTCCTTCAAGGGCGGTCTCAAGACCCTCCTCTTCGACCGTGCCTTTGGTCTCCCTCCCACACTCTCCCCTGCACCCTCTCCACCACCCGCCCCCACCCCTGGCTCGGGGGTTCAGGCTCTGCCACCGTGAGGCGCTCCGAGGCGCAAATGCCATCGAACCCACTGCCTGAGCTGCCGCGTGTTCCCAGCCGACTCCTGTTTTTATGTTGTTGTTGTTGTTTCAGGTCTGGGCGAGTGAGGAGTGAAGTGCGTCCGAGGTTGGTGGTGGGGGCGAAGAGGGGGCCGGGAGGCGAGCGGAGTGGGGGGGGTGCGGCAGCTGCCCGTTGCTCCCCCGATGGACAAGGTGGATCCCGGGAATGAGGAGGAAGGAATGCCGGTCGGCTCGGGGCTGCTGGAGGCGGAGGGAGAGGCGGAGGCGGAGGGGGAGGGCGAGGGACTGACCTCCCGGCCGACCTGGGGCAATAAACTGCAGTACATCTTGGCCCAAGTCGGCTTCTCCGTGGGCCTAGGGAACGTCTGGCGATTCCCCTACCTCTGCCACCAGAACGGGGGAGGTGAGTCCTGGCCCCCAGCGCAAAGCTTCCCTCCGAGCCGCATCCCACACACCGGACACCGCACGTGCACACTCAAACACGCGCTCACACACACCGGGCACCGCACGTGCACACTCAAACACGCGCTCACACACACCGGGCACCGCACGTGCACACTCAAACACGCGCTCACACACACACCGCAACGCACAATCGTTCCCGAACTCAAACGGACGGACGGGCGGATGCGTGCGTGAATTGACAATCGCGCAGACACATGTGCGTGGGGGTGTGTGGAGGGAGAGAGGGAATGTTCCTGTCGGGAGCCGGCTGGTTATTGCTGTTCCGTGTGTGTGTGTGAGTGAGGCTGTGTGTGTGTGACACTGTGTGTATGAGGTTATCATTTGCTATTCCTCTCCCCAGGAGCTTTCCTGATCCTGTACCTGTTGTTGCTGCTCCTGATGGGAATCCCGCTGTTCTTCCTGGAGTTGGCCGCTGGCCAGAGTATCCGGCAAGGGAGCATCGGGGTGTGGAAAAGCATTAGCCCCCGGCTAGCCGGCATCGGCTTCGCTAGCTGTCTGGTCAGTGCGCGCGAGAGGCTGTGTGCGCGCGCGAGAGGCTGTGTGCGCGCGCGAGAGGCTGTGTGCGCGCGCGCGAGAGGCTGTGTGCGCGTGCGAGAGGCTGTGTGCGCGTGCGAGAGGCTGTGTGCGCGTGCGAGAGGCTGTGTGCGCGTGCGAGAGGCTGTGTATGCGCGCGTGCACGAGTGTGTGTGCACGACTGTGTATATGTGCGCGAGAGAGAGAGAGTGTGTATGTGTGCGCGCCTGAGTATTTGTGCATGTGTGTTGTTCACACGTGTGCGGTAAGTGTGTGCGTGTGTCTCTGCGTGATTTCCAGGTGTGTTTCTTCGTGTCCCTGTACTACAATGTGATCATCGCCTGGAGCCTCTTCTACTTTGGTCACTCGTTCCAGTACCCACTGCCCTGGGAGTCCTGCCCGGCCCTGCCCAACACCAGCGCTGTGGGTATGTGACTATCAGGGCACCCCCTCCCTCCCTCCCCCCCTTCCTCCCTCCCTCCCTCCCTCTCGCCCTCTCTCTCTCTCTCCCTCCCTCCCTCCCTTCAGCCCTTCAGCCTCTCCGCTCCCACTCTTTGGAGCTCCATCCCACAGTCCCTTCGCCTCTTCCCCCCACCACCACGTCTGTCTCAAGACCCTCCTCTACGACCATGCCTTCGGCCGCGCCCCCCCTCCGCCCCCACCCCTTTGCTCGGGTCCTCCCGACGTGTGTAATTTACTTTAATGCCCCTCCTGTTGCTGCAGTGAGGGAGTGCGAGCTGAGCTCACCCACCACCTACTTCTGGTACAGAGAAGCTCTGAACATCACGAACTCCATCAATGAGAATTACGGGCTGGATCCCACGATGACTGGCTGCCTGTTTGCGGCCTGGCTCATCGTCTGCCTGGCCATGATCAAAGGCATCAAGTCCTCAGGGAAGGTAATGACAACGACAGTTTGCATTTGTACGTCCCGTAGCTCAAGTGGTTTAATTAGAGCCCTCGCCTCGCAAAGCGGGAAGAACCGGGGTTCGATTCCCGGGCGGGTCAGGTCGGGGCGAAACCTTAGGCAAGATTACTTACTACACACAGAGACACACAGAGACACACACACAGAGACACACACACACACACACACCTCTGTTTACCAGCAGTCAGTAGGAACCTGGTTGTTAGTCGATTGGCGGATGGCTTTTCCGGGGTTAATAATCCCTTTAAAATGAATAATTACTGATAATAATTTGGCCACTGTTTGTGGGGACGTCGCTGAGCGCAATTGGCTGCCGCGTTTCGCCCACAAAACACAGTCACTACACTTTACAGCGTATCCTGTGAAGCGCTTTGAGACGTCTCGAAGACGTGATCAGGCGCTGTGTCAAACGCGAGGATTATTATTATTATTGTCATAATCACTGCAAGTTGTTGCTGCTGCTGTTCTTGTTCTCAGGTGATGTATTTTAGCTCCATCTTTCCTTACGTGGTGCTGCTCTGCTTCCTCGTTCGCAGCCTCCTTCTGGAAGGTTCCACAGACGGCATCCGCTACATGTTCACTCCCAAGGTGAGACTGAGAGCAACGCGTGTGTTCAGGTCGGGCTCGGTCACTCGCGCTCTCGTTCTCTCCGTCCCCCTCTCTCTCTCTCTCTCTCTCTCTCGCTCACTGTCTGTCTCCCACTCTCTTTCACCTCCCCGCCCGCCCGCGCGCGCGCGTGTGTGTGTGTGTGTGTGGAGCGAGGAAACGTTTCGTTTCCCCCCGCCCGGGGGTCTTACCCAGGGCCTCTCGCTTGCCAGGCGAGGGCTCGAACCCCTGAGCTACACGGACTCCCATGTGATATACTGGAGCCCCAGATAGTATTTTCTAATGTTGATGATGATGTTTCTGTTGATGATGATGATGTTGGTGCCCAGATTGAGATCCTGGCTGATACCCAGGTGTGGAGACAGGCAGCCACGCAGGTGTTCTTTGCCCTGGGGCTGGGGTTTGGCAGTGTTATCGCCTACTCCAGCTACAACATTCGCACCAACAACTGCCACTTCGACGCTATCCTTGTCTCCTTCATCAACTTCATGACCTCGATCTTTGCCACCCTGGTGGTCTTCGCTGTGCTGGGCTTCCGAGCCAACGTGCTGACCCGCAATTGTGTGGCCAAGTGAGTTGCACCCCCTCCCCTGACTCTCCATCACCATCGACATCCTCTCCCTCTCTCTCTCTCCCTCCCTTCCTCGCTCTCTCCCTCTCCAGCTCTCTATCCATCTCGGCATTCCCCTCTCTCTCTCTCTCTCCCCCTCTCGTTCGATTCTCGGCCGAGTGGGATAAAACCTTAGGCACATTTCCTTACTCCGCACACGCACACGCACACGCACACGCGCGCCCCTGTTTACCAGCAGTCAGTAGGAACCCGCTTGTTAGTCGATTGGGAGGATGGCTTTTCCGGGGGTGATAATCCCTCCCGAAAACAAATAATAATAATAAGAATAATTTGGTCACTTCAATCCACCACTGTTTGCCGGGGGACGTCGCTGGGCACAATCGGCTGCCGAATTTCACCCACAGATAGTACAGGCGATCCACTTGACGTCATAAGGCGCTTAGTACCGAGGATTATTATTGTTAGTATTTATTTATCATTGCCGTTGTCCTGTTGTCTGACTGTTTCTCCCGCTCATTGCGACAGGAACCTGGTTTTACTGCAGAACCTGAAAGACACCGGTGTCCTGAACAGCTCTGTGCTGCCGGACACCCTCAACCTGACCTCACTGACCCCCAAGGAATACAGGCAATGGTTTGACTCGGTGACGTCCCAGGTGGTGCCGCTCAGTGTCTCCCCCTGCAGGCTGGAGGAGGAGATGCAGAAGGTGAATTCAATGCTCGAACGCATCCCAATGGGGCAGAACTGGGATTGCCGTTGGGAGTGTGGACAGTGGGAGTGCATGGGAAGGGGTTTGGTGTGAGGAGCGTGCTCCCACATACCCCACCGCCATCGGTGGTCAGGCCTTCAGTCTCTCTCCGCCCACCACACTCTGGAACTCCATCCCACAGTCCCCTCTCCTCGCCGTCTCTCCTGGCGTCCTTCAGGGCCCGTCTCCTCTTCAACCGGACCTTCCGTCACCCTCCTACTCCCACCCCCCACCACTCCTGATCCCAACCATCCCCAGCTCAGGTCCGTGTCTTGGGACTGTCCTCGGCTGCGCATCCACTATAAGGTCCAGCGCCTTGAGACGTCCTCTGAGGTGAAAGGCGTTGTGGTTGTGTAGTGTTGTTGGCAGTGAGTGGGAAGGGGTTTGGGCCTTTGGGATTAAAATTGAAGGCGGGTTCCGAAGGTGCGTTGGGTTCCTTGGGACACGCGGAAGGCGTTGTCCAAATGTAATCTGTTGTTGTTGTTGTTGTTGTTTGTGGGCAGGGTGTGGAGGGCACGGGGTTGGCTTTCATCGCCTTCACGGAGGCCATCACTCACTTCCCAGCCTCTCCCTTCTGGTCCATCCTCTTCTTCCTGATGCTGCTGAACCTGGGAATGAGCACCATGTTCGGGAACATGCAGGGCATCCTCACCCCACTGCTGGACAACTTCCCCTTCCTGTCCAAAAGGAAGTCCATCTTCACAGGTAAACCCCCCTCCCCCCCCCTCCACCCTTCTCTTCCCCCTCAGCTGTGCGTCCGCTATAAGGTCCCTTCTGTGTGTTGGGCGCTGTGTGTGACTGTGTCTCGCTGTGTGTTGGGCGCTGTGTGTGACTGTGTCTCGCTGTGTGTTGGGCGCTGTGTGTGACTGTGTCTCGCTGTGTGTTGGGCGCTGTGTGTGACTGTCTCGCTGTGTGTTGGGCGCTGTGTGTGACTGCGTCTCGCTGTGTGTTGGGCGCTGTGTGTGACTGTGTCTCGCTGTGTGTTGGGCGCTGTGTGTGACTATCTCGCTGTGTGTTGGGCGCTGTGTGTGACTGTGTCTCGCTGTGTGTTGGGCGCTGTGTGTGACTGTCTCGCTGTGTGTTGGGCGCTGTGTGTGACTGTGTCTCGCTGTGTGTTGGGCGCTGTGTGTGACTTGTGTCTCGCTGTGTGTTGGGCGCTGTGTGTGACTTGTGTCTCGCTGTGTGTTGGGCGCTGTGTGTGACTGTGTGTGACTGTGTCACTCTGTATTGCAGTGATATGCTGTATCCTGGGGTTCCTGATGGGATTACTTTTTACCCAGCGCTCTGGAAACTACTTTGTCACCATGTTTGACGACTATTCGGCCACTCTGCCTCTCATCGTCGTGGTTTTCTTCGAGCTGATCGCCGTGTCCTGGATCTATGGCACGGACAGGTAAGGGAACGGCAGCCGGTAATCCTTAACACGCAATTACTCGTTCACACACACACACACACACACACACACACACACACACACAGTCACGACACTTCACAGTAAACCCCGTGAAGCCCTTTGAGACCTGATAAGTGGAGTCCTATAGCACACAGGTTCGATTCCCGGCTGTGCTGAGCAAAACCTTAGGCAAGTTTCCTTACTCTACACACACAGACACACACGCGCCTCTGTTCACCAGCGGTAAGTAGGAACCCTGTTGTTCGTCGATTGGCGGATCGCTTTTACGGGGTAATAATCCAAGCTCTGGGACGCTGCCTGAGGGGGCGTCTGCAAACGGATAGTTCTTGTTGTCGTCGTAATCCATTTGAAAAAAAATGCGACCGCTCAAATCCACTGCTGTTTGTGGCGGACGTCGCTGAGCGCAATCGGCCGCCGCCTTTCGCCCGCAAAACGCACAGTCACTACACTTTAATCTAGTAAAGCGCTTTGAGACTTCTCGACGACGTGATGAGGCGCCGGGTCAAATGCCAGGATTATTATAAGGCCGGGTGGGGGGGAGGGGGATGTGTGGGTGAGGAGGGTTTGGGGGGGTATGTGTAGGGGTGCGTGCTCGGGGGTTAGATGCGGGGGGAGGGTGGTGTGTGTGTGTGGGGGGGGGGGGTGTTGGGGGGGTGTGAGTGGGGAGGGTTAGGGTTGAGGTGACTTGTGACGGGGAGACTCTTGAGTGGAAGTTTCCATCGTGTGTTTTGCTCTCCAGGTTCATGGATGACATCGAGGACATGATTGGCCGACGGCCTTTCGTTCTCTACAAGTACCTCTGGAGGTTCTTCTGTCCCGTCGCCATGTTGGTGCTGCTCCTGGCCAGCCTCATCCAGATGTGCATCCAGCCTCCCACCTACCGCTCGTGGAACAAAGAGCAGGTAAATCCCACCCACGGGTGGCCTTTCCTTGGTATTATTTAGTGACTGTGGACCGTTATGGAGGGTGGTAGTGAATTTGCCGTGAAGTGCTTTCGAGACGTCCGCGCGAGGCCAAAGGCGGTGCTTCTGGGAGTAACGCGCTCTTGTCTCTCGGCCGTTCCCAGGCTCAGGAAGTATCTCTGGAATATCCCGACTGGGCTCTGGCCCTGCTCATCTCCCTCATCGTCCTGGCTTCCCTCCCCATCCCGTTGTTCTACCTGAAGCAGATGATCAAAGATTGGCACGAGCGAGAACCCGTTTACACGGAGTGTGGCCTGGCCGACTTGTCTCCAGCCCCCCCCGGGGAGGTGGGGGGTCCCCAGGGCAATGGCTACATCAAGGTGGGGGACGGGGAGGGCGAGGGGGAGGCGGCGACCGAGAGTGAGAGGCTGTTGGACGCGCAGCAGGAGAGGAGAGACGACACAGGCTCAGAGCTGGACTACACCAACCCCGAGAAGAGCGAGGGCTTCAGCAAGTACTCCAACACCGGCAATTAGAGGCCGTCCGTCCGTCCAACTGACCGCTCGCTCGCTCTGACCGACTCAGTCCCAGGGAGAAGCCGAACTGGTCCTCGATGGAGCGGTGAAACAACAACAACCAACACCACAAATCAGGGGCTGTAATACTTGTAACGTCGGTCGGAAAAACCCTAAACCTGGGATTGTTTGTCTGGGGGGCTAAACAGGGTGGGAACAGCCAGGGGAGAGTGGGGGGGGGGGGGGTTAATGAGGGCGGGGATCATGGGGAGAAAGGGGCGGAATTGGGGTTGGGGCAGTCAGTGGGAGGAGGGGGGGGAATGCGGCTGTGGGGTGGGGGGGGAGAAGAGGTCTGGCAAGGGTCAGCCTTGCTGATTCTCACCAGGAGGGACGGGAGGGCGAGAAGGAACCCGGGTGGGGGCGGTTGGTGGGGGGAATAAATTTAAAAATATATATATATTTTTTTTTTAAAAAAGCCCCCAGATCCAAATGATCAGTTTTCCTTCTGTTTTGTTTTGAGGAAGAGTTGCCCCGGGCGGGCGGGCGGGCGGGCGGGCGGGCGGAGGGAGCAATGTTTATTTTAATTATTGACGTTTTTAGTACTGTAGTTTTATTTTTATTGTAAAGTTTTATGGGGGGGGGAGGGAAGAGACCCTGTTTAAAAGGCTCCCTCGCCACGTGAAAATTGTTGTATCAAATGCAAGTATTATTATAATTTTTATATAATAATTATGATTAAAAAAAAAACCACACACACACCTTCCAAATCAAGAAGAGACCTGAAAGATTTTCCGCTGCTTGAAACCATCTGAAGATCAAACGGTTTCTGGTGGCGGAGGGGGTGGGGGGGCAGTGTGTGTGTGTGTGTGTGTGTGGGGGGGGGTGGGGGGGGATTTAATGCTTCTCAAAGTGGGAGGGCGGAGAGAACAGGTTCATGATTGAGGTGAAATTCTTGGTTGGAGTCAGCTCTGAAGCCCGAGTGGCGTGTTGAGAGGCTCGAGGTTTTTTTTCCCCCCCTCCCACTTGGCTCCGGTTAAGCCAAAGCCCTGAGGGGTAGGGTGGTCCTAGCTGGACACGCAGCGGGAAAGCTGGCACTCTCGATGGGAACCGGATTGTTAGTCAATTGGCGGGGGGTAGTAATCCCTTCCCCCCCCAAAAAAAAATAATAATAATAATTTGGCCACTCAACCCACGGCTGTTTGTGGGACAGACGCTGCTATGTGCGCAATTGGCCGCCGCGTTTCACCCACAAAATACACAGTCGATTCACTTTACAGCGTATCCTGTGAAGCGCTTTGAGACGTCTCGAACACGTGATAAGGCTCCGTGTCAAAATGCCGGGATTATTATTATTAAATTCTCTTCTCGATCCCTCTCGTCTCTATCTTACACTTCTCTCTCTCTCTCTCTCTCTCTCGTTCTGTCTCTCTCTCTCTCGTTCCTTGTCGAAAAATGCCAAGTCAAGTGTGTGTTTATTTTTTAAAAGGGTCTTTACACATTCTTTAAAAGGGGAGGGAGAGAAAAGGGAGGATTTTAAAAGCATAACCGACAAAGATACTCAGTGCGTTTTCACAGATCCTCGTTGAGAACTCGTTGACCCCCCCCACCCACCGTCTCGCTCTCCCGCCTCGGAGTCTTTGCGGCTTCAAGCCCCCGACACGCTTGTCCGAGATTTTGAACTCGATCCAGTACAGTGACTGGGGGAGGGGGATGTGTCCATGTTATCTGCTGGTCCATGTTATCTGCTGGTCCATGTTATCTGCTGGTCCATGTTATCTGCTGGTCGAGTGATGGAGGCGGAGGGACTGTGGGATGGAATGGAGAGGCTGAAGGCATGCCCGCCGATGGTGGGGCAGGTCACAGCCCCCAGATGGTGAGTGTTGGAAGTTCCTTGCTGTTGGAGTTTGGCTGGTGTCTCCTGTCTCTCTGGGCGTCGCGTCGCGACTCATGAGGATTTCCATTTCACCACCAGGACCGCAGTGAGCACCCCCAGGGCAAACACGCAAACCGTCTGCCAGCACGGCATGCTGACGTACGACATGACCCCTTCCTGGATAAACACGGACATTGCATTGTTAGCACACGCTCCGTCAGGCCTCCTGGTTCCTCTAACAGTGCAGCACTCTTCCCCCACCCACCCCACAGGCGCTGCATTGGAGCATCGTGGAGATCTGTAGCTCAGAGGTTAGTGCGCTCGCCTCGCTCGCGAGAGGACCCGGGTTTGGTTCCCGGTTCAGGGTGAAACGTTGGCCAAGTTTCCTTAAGCCACCCCCCCCCCAACCCCCCCCCCCCCCCCCACACACACACACACACACACAGGCCTCTGTTTGCCCAACAGTAAGTAGGATTGTTAGTCGATTGGCGGACGGCTTTTCCGGGGGTGACAATACATTCAAAAATAAATAAAACAATAACAATAATAATTTGGCCGCTCAATCCACGGCTGTCTGTGTGTGGGGGCCGTCGCTGGGCGCAATTGGCCACCGCGTTTCGCCCGCAAAATACACACAAACACACACACAGTCACTACACTTGACAGCGTGCGCTGTGAAGGGGTTTGGAGACGTGTCGAAGACGTGTGATAAGGCCTCGGGTCAAATGCGAGGATTATTAGATGAGAATATACGCGCCTTGGGTGGTCCTGACCTGTCCTGGTGTGAAAAGCGCTGCGTAAATGGCGATGTAATTTGTTGTTGTTGTTGTGAGATGGTCACTTACCCAGCCACCATGGTTTTGGATCCACTGCAGGACATATCTCTGCATAAACTCCATGGTCCAACTGATGACGGTTTGGATAATGTTGGGGATGGACTGGGTCAGCGCCTAGGAGCACAGCGAAGGGCATCGTCAGGAGAGGGGGAGGGGGAGAGAGAGAAGGGAGAGGAAGAAAGGAAGGAGAAGGGTGGAGAGATAGAGAGAGAAGGAAGGTGGAGGCGTGATGGAGAGAGGAGGAGAGGGAGGAGAGCGAGAGAAGGAAGGTGGAGGCGTGAGGGACCTGGAGATGCTCTGCCCTGTGACGCCCACCTTCAGCACCAAGATGCAGGCGAAGATGAAGAGCATGACCACTCGGCCCCAGTTGACGACGCCGTCAGAGAAAACCTCCTCGGCCACTTTGAAGAAGGTTTCCTTGGAGCAGTCGCTCATGTGAGCAATTCCCCTGTGTGGAGGCATCGCGTTAATACCAGGTCTCACAGCGCAGCCACTAACTAACCTAACTAACTAGCTGGCTAACTAACTACAGCGTAAGAACTCGCCGGAGAAACAAGCGAAACAAGGCCAAAGGCCCATCCAGTTGACCTTCTACCATGCCGGCCATCGCTGGACATGTCGTGCCCCAGACTGTATCCCCCCCCCCCACCAGATGTTACTCTCCGGCAGAAATCTTATCTCACTTGTTCTGGACCCCCCACCCCGACCCGTCCAGCGAACATGGGATGTCTTTCCGATTCCCGGGCGGGTCGGGGCGGGACAAAAGGTTGGGCAAGTTTCCTTACTTCACACACACGCCTCTGTTTACCTGACAGCGAGCGGGTTATTAAGTCGATTGGCCGATGGCTTTCCGGGGGTAATAATAATGCCTTGATTATTATTATTATTATTAATTAATTATTATTATTATTTATTATTATTAATTAATTGGGTGCTGCGATCCACCCGCAACATTTTTAATAACAAAAATAATTTAAAAACTTTATTATCATTAATTAATTATCATTATTATTAATTATTATTACTATTACCACCCCGGCTGTTAGCGAGACGTTACTGCATGCAACCCCCTCGCGCCCCCGCACTCACTGCTGCAGCTTGGTGTCATTGCTGAGCAAATCCCCGATCCTTCTCAGAGAATCGCTCATTCCCTTCAAGTGGGGGTGGGCGGTCCCCGTGTCCTGCGGAAATGGCCCCAAGTTAGCCAGGGACACCCCGAACTGCTCGGTGCTTCTGCTCAGGCGCTCCATGATAAAGCTGGGAAGCGAGTCGTCAACCACAACCACAACAACGAGAATTATTATTATTATTTACAATCCACATCGTCAGGACGTCTCAAAGCGCTTCACGGGATACACGGTACAGTGCGGCCACCGCGTGTTTTGCGGGCGAAACGCGGCAGCCCACTTGCGCCCAGCGACGTTCCCCCACAAACAGTCGTGAAGTAAGCGATCGATTTTATTCGGGAAGGGGGTGGCGGGGGAATTAACAGCCAGGACACTGGGGTGGGGGGGGGGGGAGAGAGGGAGAGAGAGAATACTACACGGTGTCATGGTGACTTACTCGCGAAGCAGGACTTTTCCAATCTCCAGCAGAGGCTGAATGGCGGAGTCTGTAACAGAGAAACACAAAATGTGTGTGTGGCTGCGTGTGCCCCCCCCCCCCACCCCAAGAGCCTCCTGTTCGACCGCGCCTTCGGTCACCCTCCCACCCCTGCCCTCCCCGCCCTCCACCCGCTTCCTGATCCCAACCACCAGCTCGGGAGCAGATCCCTGACTGTGCAGTGGCCTTGGGATGTCCTCCCGACTTGAGAAACACCGCGTAAATGTCATTAGGTGTTGTTGTAGTTCTGTGTGTGTGTGTGTGTAGGAACATAGGAACAGGAAGGGGTCATTCAGCCCCTCGAGCCTGTTCCACCATTCTATAAGCTCACGGCTGATCTGTACCTCAACTCCAATTACCCCCTTTTGCCCCGGATCCCTTGATCCCCCGACCTCACAAACCTCTCTCCACCTCAGGCTGGAAAATGCCACTCCATCAGCCATAAACCACAGCCTTTCGGGAGGTGGAGCCCGATCCAGATTTCTGTCCGTGTACCTTTGTGGGTGAATCGCAGCACCCGATTACGCACAGGAATGTCCCCCACAAACCGCCGTGGGTTGAGTGACCCGATTATTAATTAAGTCAATTATTTCAAGGGGTTATTTCAAGCGATCCGCCAATCGACTAACAACCAGGTTCCTTCCTACGTACTGCTGGGTAAACACTGGCGTGTGTGCGGAGTAAAGAAACTCCTCTAAGGTTTGGCCCCGACCCTGGCTGGGTTTGACCCTGGCTGGGTTTGACCCTGGCTGGGTTTGACCCTGGCTGGGTTTGGCCCCGACCCTGGCTGGGTTTGGCCCCGACCGGGTTTGGCCCCGACCCTGGCTGGGTTTGGCCCCGACCCTGGCTGGGTTTGCCCCGACCCTGGCTGGGTTTGACCCCGACCCTGGCTGGGTTTGGCCCCGACCCTGGCTGGGTTTGGCCCCGACCCTGGCTGGGTTTGGCCGCGACCCTGGCTGGGTTTGGCCCTGACCCTGGCTGGGTTTGGCCCTGACCCTGACTGGGTTTGGCCCTGGCTGGGTTTGGCCCTGACCCTGGCTGGGTTTGGCCCCGACCCTGGCTGGGTTTGGCCCTGACCCTGACTGGGTTTGGCCCCGACCCTGGCTGGGTTTGGCCCTGACCCTGACTGGGTTTGGCCCTGGCTGGGTTTGGCCCTGACCCTGGCTGGGTTTGGCCGTGACCCTGGCAGGGTTTGGCCCTGACCCTGACTGGGTTTGGCCCTGACCCTGACTGGGTTTGGCCCTGACCCTGACTGGGTTTGGCCCTGACCCTGACTGGGTTTGGCCCTGACCCTGACTGGGTTTGGCCCCGACCCTGGCTGGGTTTGGCCCTGACCCTGACTGGGTTTGGCCCTGGCAGGGTTTGGCCCTGACCCTGTGTGAGTGACTTACCCTGAGGGGGTGCCTTGTCCCCCTCGGTCCGCTCTGCGGCGGGAGAGCAGGCGGTTTCCGTGACTTCCTGCATCTTCCTCCCGCGCTTCCCAGTTCGGTGCTTTGGCTTTTCTTGAGAGGGGCAAAAGGCACTCTCCGGGAACTCCACACGAACCGTGGCCGGTGGTGCGGGAACCCTCCGGGATGTCGCTGCTCACTGCTCACTGCTCGCGGAAAGGAAACCGAAATTAAAAGCAAAACTAAACCACACGCACAAAAAAACAACACTCCCACACACAGCCACAGCCACAGGTGTCTTGTGAGAATTAACCGGTGGGGGGTGGGGGGTAAAGTTTGTCTCCTCGAGTCCCTTACCTTGGGGGGGGGAGGGGAGGGGGGAGGGGGGAGGGGGAGAGAGGGGAGAGGGGGGGAGGGGGGGAAGGGGAGGGGGGAGGGGCAAAGTCAACTAAACCGCAGGGAAACTCACACCTAAACTCTGCACTTTGTGCAAAAGTCACTTCTCGTAAACGCGGCCGTGACCCTCAACGTTATGTACCCGAGTCTCGAGTTTCTCTTCCCTGCGCTGAGCAGCGCTCACCCCACCCCCACCACTGCCCCCACTCCCCCTCCACTGCCCCCCCCACACCCCCTCCCCCCACTGCCCCCACCACCCCTCCCCCCACTGCCCCCCAACCCCCCCCCCATTGCCCCCCACACCCCCTCCCACCCCCACTGCCCCCCACACCCCCTCCCCCCCACTCCCCCTCCCCCACTGCCCCCCCCCCCCCCTCCCACTGCCCCTCCACCCCCCCCACTGCCCCCACACCCCCTCCCCCCACTGCCCCCCCACCCCCCTACCCCCCCACTGCCCCCCACACCCCTCCCCTCCCACTGCCCCTCCCACCCCCCCCCACTGCCCCCCCCACTGCCCCCCCCCCCCACTGCCCCCCCACTCCCCCTCCCCCCCACTGCCCCCCCCCCCACTGCCCCCCACACCCCTCCCACTGCCCCTCCCACCCCCCCCCACTGCCCCCCACTCCCCTCCCCCCCACCCCTCCCCCCCACTGCCCCCCCACACCCCCTCCCACTGCCCCCCTCACCCCCCCCACTGCCCCCCACTCCCCCACTCTGTGTGTGTGTGTGTGTTGGGGGGGGGGGGGGTTCATGACGTAAGGCCCTCGGGGGAGCGGGGGGTATGACGTAAGACGTAGGGGCGTGGCTCTGTGGGGGGGCGGGACCTTCCGGTCGCTATAGCAACAGCAGCTGCCGCTCAAACCCCCCCTCCCCCCTCCCCGGGTCTGTGTGAGAGGGACCGCGCGGTTGAGGACACTCCGCGCTCTCCGCCGCCGCCCGAAGTAAACGGGGTTCGCCGCCCGTGAGGGGGAGAGTCAGTCAGTCAGTCAGTCCCCCCCCACCCCCACAGGCCGCGGCCTCCCCGTGTCCGCGCGTTGGGTCGCACAGCCCCCGGCCTGAGCCGCCAGGAAAGGCCGGGGATCGAGCCCGTTGGTTAGGCCGCTCCCCTGTTAGTTCCCCCTCTCGCTCTCGGGGAGGGAGGGACATGGCGGAGGCGGGGGCCGGGGCCGGGGCGCCCCCCCGCGGGGCCGGGGCCGGGGCCGGGGCGCCCCCCCGCGGGGCCGGGGCCGGGGCCGGGGCGCCCCCCCGCGGGGCCGGGGCCGGGGCCGGGGGGCAGGTGAGAGGAGCCGAGGCCCAGTGCAGGTCCGGGGCGGGAGACGGACTCCGACCAATGGGTAAGAATGGGGAGTGGTTGTTGAGGTGTAGTGACTGTTCTCGGCGCCTCTCAGGGACGTTATTTTGAGGGACCGTCTGCGCTGCGGTCGACGGGACCTCTCTTTTGAGACGGACTCTCTCTCTCTCTCTCTCTGCGCCTCCGTCGTTCTGAATCGTCCGCTTCAGTGACGTCGCGCACTCACTTGGGTTTGTTTTCCCCTCTGTTCAGATGTGGTGAGTGAGGACATCATGAAGACCGGAGCCATCCTCCTGCGGGGGTACGTGAGGGGGGGGAGGGGAGGGGGTGTGTGTGTGGGGGTGTGTGTGAGTGTGTGTGAGGGGTTGTGTGTGTGTGAGGGGTTGTGTGTGTGTGGGGGGGGTGTGTGTGTGAGGGGTTGTGTGTGTGTGGGGGTGTGTGTGTGGGGTGTGTGTGTGTGGGGGGGGTGTGTGGGGGTGTGTTTGTGGGGGTGGGGGTGTGTGTGTGTGGGGGGGTGTGTGTGTGAGGGGTGGTGTGTGATGGTGTGTGTGTGAGGGGGTGGTGTGTGGGGGTGTGTGAGGGGTGGTGTGTGTGGGGTGGTGTGTGGGGTGGTGTGTGGGGGTGTGTGTGGGGGGTGTGTGTGAGGGGGTGTGTGTGTGGGGGTGTGTGTGGGGGGTGTGGTGTGTGGGGGTGTGTGTGAGGGGTGGTGTGTGAGTGTGTGTGAGGGGTTGTGTGGGGGTGTGTGGTGTGTGATGGTGTGTGTGTGAGAGACACTGACTGTACATTGTAACCTGTGGTTAACCCCATCCCCCGGTTCTGCACATACACGACTGACATTTCCCCGACTGCTGTGAGCTGTCGCCACAGGGAACGGGTGGATGTGGATCACCAGATTGGGAGGGCGGAGTCCTGCAGCTCAGTGCCCCCCTCCGCCGCTGCTATAAGCGCTCTGAGACGCTACCCGGTGCGGAGGTTGTTGGTGCAAGTTGTCGGTGCTGTTGTTGGTTAGAGCACTCTCGCCTCGCAAACGAGAGGACCCGGGTTTGATTCTCGGCGGAGCAAAACCTAAGGCGCTAATATCGACCGCAAGGATCATTATTGTATGAAGCCCCGAAGCCTGTGGGTCCTCGCCTCGCGCTGCTGCTCGGCTTCAGGTCGCGCGTTGACGGGTTGGCTGACGGTAGTCTCCTGATCTAAACCTCAGGTTTATCATGGATCGCACGCAGAGAGGTGCCGAGGACTGCGAGGTGCTCGTCACCGTGTCCGACCTGGGGGGCCGGGCAGACGAGCTGAATAAACCCTGCTTGAAGAGGCTGGGTGTCTGCCTGCGACAGATCGGGGATGAGCTGGACGGCAACGTGGAGTTGCAAAGGTAACCTCAGCCCAGTCTGCCTTGTTAAGTCACTATATCAAATGCAAGGATTGTCGTCGTTGTTATTACGATTGTTTTACACTAATCAGTCCTCAGTAGCCTGTAGCGGAGGAGGCTTCCTATCTGTACAGTGGAATCCTGTAGGTTAGAGCTCTCGCCTCTCACGCGAGAGGACCTGGGTTCCCGGGCAGCAGGAATTCAAGATTCTGGGGGAGTTTAGAACTTATTACTGTTTATAATCGGGGTTCTGTGGCTTCAGCCACTTGTGGATTGTCTCTTCTGTCCCAGACTCTAAGATCGACCCCTCCTGTTGTTCACTTTAAGGACCGCACTGTAAACCCTGTCCCTCGACTCTCTTTGCCCACCACACACAGGATGATCAACAGGATTTCCACCAGCTGCCCCAAAGAGACCTTCTTCCAAGTGGCCAAGGAGCTGTTTTCCGATGGAGTCATCAACTGGGGACGAGTGGTCACTCTCTTCTACTTTGCCTGCAAGTTCGTCGTCAAGGTGGGGCCCTGTTTCCTGTGGCTCGGGGACAGTCAGTCAGAGAGCTGCCGCGTTTGCATCGTAACCCCTGCGATCTAGACTCCGTCTGGCGTGGAGGGCGCTATGTAAATGCAAGTTGTTGTTGATCTGCGAGCTGCCTTGTTACTCCCCTCTTCTCCCCCCCCCCACCGGTTGGTTTTGTACGTGTGACCAATGTCTGGCGTCTCCGTTTGACAGGCCGTGTGCCAGAAGCTCCCAGAGCTGATCCAGACCATAATCACGTGGACTCTGGAATACATCCAAGAGAATATCCTCCAGTGGATCCGGGAGCACGGTGGCTGGGTGAGTCTCGCTGTCGCTCTCACTGCGCGTTTCATTCCCGATGCTCGTGGTCTTCGTGGTTCAGTGTCGGCGCTCTCGCCTCTCCGCGTCGGACACTTTGACGTGCTCGGTGTGGGTGTCTGCAGGTTCCCGGGGCGGGACCACAAAACACACGGTCACTTTTGCAGTGTATCCGGTCAGGCGCTCTGAGACGTCACAAAGACACGATAAGGTGCCGTGTCAAATGCAAGGATTATTATTACGTCTTTTTCGGGGATTTTTTTTTCCTGAGCCTTATTTTCGCGTCTACAGCGGTGGGGCTTTGGAACAACAAGGAAATGTTTTTCGGTGGGAGAGAGGATAGAGAGAGACAGACGGAGGGTGAGGAGGAGAGAGTGGGCGGGAAGAGGTCAAGCCTCGTTGGGGGCCCTCTTAGTTCCCGGACCCCCCAAGCGATCGGATTTGCTGTTTGCAAAATGATCTGCCTCGTCTCTCCCCCCAACCCACACGTACGCACAAATAGTCGCTGCGCTTTGGAGAAGTCCCGAAAGGCCGTACGTCAAACACAAGGATTGTTGTTATTTGTGATGTCGAACAGGAGGATTCCGAACGTGTCTGTTCTTGTTTATCTGTTCCCCAGGATGCTATCCTCGGCACCCCGACCTGGCAGACTGTCAGCATCTTCATCCTGGGGGTCATCACTACCCTCGTGGTGGTGCGGTGGAAGTCTTAATGCGTGCGCGTGTGTGTGTGTGGCGGGGAGAACCTCAAGCGCACACCCCCCCCCCAACCGCAATGGTGAGAGGCGTGAACCTTCGTCTGCCCCCCCCTCCATCGTGACCCCTCGCAGCAGCTGAAGACGAGCTGCCAACAGCGAATTTTTCTAATCGATTTACAGCCCCAAAAGCCATCCCGATCCCGACCCTCCGCCCCTTGTTATTGCTGAGGGCAACGACGCCGGCACCTCGGCCTCCCACACACAACAGTGATGGTCCCTTTACAGGACAACCAGACAACCGTCACAGAGCCGACCTCTCTGCCGCACTCCGCCTTGCATCGGGGAGGGAGGGGTGGGTGACCACCTATTGATTGACCGTTTCTTCCCCCAGTACCTGCTGACGTGAGCAGGGTTCACTGTCTAACCTGCTGCCTTATCTCACCGCTCCTCTTGTTGGTGCCAAGGGCGCGGAGTAGGATGTCTTACTTTTATATACGAGTGTCTCTGTTGTGTGTGTGTGTGTTATTTTGTGTGTTGAGAGCGCTGCAGTAAGGAGGGGGGGGTGGGGGAGGTGCGATGGGGGAAGATGTCTGGTGCTATTGTGCTCTTATTGCCTTCCCGGCTGCCCCTCACCCTCCTCTTCCCCCCCCCCCCCCCCGCCAACCCACCAGCCCACTCAGTGCAGGGAATAAACTACAAGCTGCCTGTTTTGTTGTATGTGGTATCAACGTCAAACCGTGCCTTGGCGTCCGGGGGCGCTCGGAAGCACAGGCTCAAAGCCTCTCTCGGTGTGGGGAGGACTGAAGCCGTTTGGGGGGGAATCATCGGGGCCCACAAGAGGATTTAAAGGGACGAGGGAGGGGTGGGTTAAATGAATGGGAATGCCTCGCAAGTTGGCTTGTTTGCTGAGGGGTGGGGGGGGGGGTAGAGAGGGAGGTTCTCTGTGCCCTTTAGGTAACGACCACCTGTTTTTTTATTTTAAGAGACGATTTTTTTTGAGCGAATTTTTTTTTCTCTCTGTTGTGTCGCGGCGGAGCGAAGGGCCTGAGCTGGGGGGGAATATGGGGTGGGGGGGGAGAGCCTCAGAGAGCGAGCGTGTGTGTTTCCTCTATTGGAGGGGGGGGGGAGAGATGGGGCATAGCGCGCCCTCGTTTGTCTCTGGATGGGCGGTGGGTGGGTACACTTTTAAGAGCTACTGATGGTGAGTTGGGGGGAGCAGAGAAAATGGTAGTGTTAAATATACCTCATTTTTTAAAAAAAATTATATGCAGTATTTTGTAAACCTGTTTGTTTTTCTCTTCTCTCCCTCCCTCTCTCCCCCCCCCCCCCACACACACACACACACACACACATTCCTTGTTTGGACCCTTTGCCCCCAGGTATCGCGGGGCTGGTTGGCTGAGGGAAGCCGCGCTTTAAGAGTTCGAGCTCCGGAAACGTTAACTTAAACCTTAATCAGGTCCAAGTGGATTGACAGAAGAAGAATGAATTGATTGAACCCTAAATCAATCATTTGATCCTATCGGGCAATGTGGCACATCCACAGTGTAGACTTGGACTCTCCCGTTAATCACAGAGCCGTGTAGGGTTTTGCCTTCGTAGGTTTTTGTAAGTACAGTGTTTTACGTTAATTCAGGGGCGAGTTCCCCTCTTATCTCATCATTTCTCTGTTTACTAACCCCCCCCCCCCCAAGTACATTATGTTGCCTTTAAAATATATAGTTGTACCGTTTCGAGTAATAGGTCTGTACTGAAATTGTGTAAACTCGTCAGTATGAGAGCGGGGCATTCCTGTGGAGCCTCCCATCTCCCATCACACGGGAGCGTGTGCCTGTGGTACAATAAACACCCTCTTTCTCTCCCTCCCTCCCCTCGTTCCCCCGTTCTCTCTCTTCCTCCTCCTTCCTTTGCCGCTATTGCCCCACCAATGTCGCCATCAGAAGCCTTGGGGACATGTTGAATCTGGATTGTGGTATGTGCGTGTGTGTGTGTGCGTGTGTGTGTTCGTTCCCTGAGCCGTGGGTTGTGCAGCTGCCTCAGTGCCCGGTTATGTCCTCTCGTCGGGACGCACAGACGGCTGTAACTGCATCCTCCAACCCCATCGCCTTCCACCAGCCGGTGTGCGTGCGTGCGGGTGTGTGTGTGTGCGCGTGTGTGTGTGTGCGGTCGCAGTATCGTTGGGTTGTGTTTGTCTGTCTCCGGTGTGCGGGTGGGGGGTTGGATTGGATTGGGTTGGAGTGGAGGTCACTGTCTGCTCTCTCCGCGCTGCGAGGTTTGTCTCTGGTGCTGTTTGTAATAGAGTGGAGCGAGAGCCACACCGTCAATTCCGCGACACAGTCTGCCGGTCGCCGGTGCCTTCGGTGAGAGCGACGACGGGGGAAGTGAGCAGAGAGCACCGGGCACCTCACTTTCTGCCTCTGGTTTCTGCAGAGTCGCCTCTCCTCCCCCTATATATATATATATATCCTGTGAAACGCTTTGAGATGTCGTTGTCTCGAAAACATGATAAGGCTTTATATCAAATACAAGCATTATTAAGGATTATTACACACGGAGTGACCAAACATTAGTGATAACTACCCTGTTATCTCAAAAGAATATCCTTTGTTTAAGGCTTTATTAGACATTGTAGTGGTATCACAACTTTTCGGTCGCCCTGGGCTTATATATATATATATATATATGTGTGTGTGTGTGTGTATTTATGGTGTCAGCGATAAAATAGCTGTGAACTGAAACTGACCAAAAAAAAGAGAGACCACTTTGTTTTAGAATGAAATGCGCGCGAAACCCCCCCCGCCCCCCCCAGCCACCCACACACACCCCAAGCCCTCTTCGAATGGTAGCTAATACAACTCATGGCAGAAACTTCCACCAGGAGTCTGGTTTCTTCAGGGTTTTATTTTAGTTGTTTGTGGGCAATAAGGAAACTCGTGCCCTGTGTTTTTATATAGACCACAAAGCGCCAGGCCAACAAAAACTTGAACGTCATCTAAGGGCTCTTTTCTACCGCGGTGAATTTCATATATTTTATGGTTTCGAGAATAAACTTGAATTGAACCAAGCGGTTTACTGTCTCATCCTGATTTTTTTTCTTCCCCTTCCTTCCTTCCTTCCTCTCTCTCTCTCTCTCTCTCTGTCTCTCTCTCGATTGGCGTCTTTCTGCCTGTGCGGGTGGATGTTAAAGATCTCACACGACACTTTTCGAAAAGAGAAAGAGTTTCTCTCGGGGTCCCGGCTGACCATCCCCCCCCCCACCACACCCCATATAAAACCGGTCGCTCAATCCACGACTGCGTGCGGGGACACTGCTGTGCGCAATTGGCTGCCGCGTTTTTCGCCCACAAAATACACAGTCACTGCACTCTACATCCTGCGAAGAGGCTCGAGACGTCTCAAGGGCGTGAAACATGACGAGGCGCTGTTATCAAATGCGAGGATTATTCTTAGCGACTCGGAACCGGCTGATTTTTTTCCCCACCGCGGTGAGTTTCAAACGTGTGGTTTCGCGGACAAACCTGAACCCCGTGGCTTTACTGTTATTTTGATTTATTTTTTTGGGGCTTCCTCTCTCGCACTCGCACTCCCCCCTGCGGTTGGCGTCTGCGCTCGGCACGCCGTGTGCGTGTTTGAGAGGGGAGTTATTTTTAATAGTAAGGGTTGGTGTGAACTCCCAGAATCCGCCTGGAATTCAGCTCTGGTCTGATTTCTCCCCTCACCCCCCCCGCACCCTTCCTCGGGTCTGTTCTCCGTCTTGTTGTGTGAACCGCCCTTTCAGTTCTGCAAGGTTCGTTACATACATGAGCGAGAGAAAGAAAGAGAGAGAGAGAGAGAGAGCAAGGCAGGAGGGGTGGAGGCTTGTGTGGTGAATTAAACAGCGGCAGGCAAATTGGATTGAGCCGCCTGTTTCTGTGTCCCTGCGCCTGGAGTCGTCCGATTCGCCCCCATCTCGCTTTTGTAATCACAACCGTCCTTGCCTTTCGCACACGTCCCAAGATGACGTCTCAAAGGTGCTTGAGGGGATTAATCAAAATAATAATAATAATCCTGGCATTTGATACGGCGCCTTATCACCTCTTCGAGACGTCTCAAAGCGCTTCACGGGATACGCCGTAAAGTGAAGGCACTGTTTTTGTGGGCCAGGTCCATCTCTGGTAAAATCACGGTGCCTTTTGTTGTGTGCTTTACCAGTCTCGTTTTTTTTTTAGGGTAACCTTCGGTTCGAGACTCTTGCGATGCCTGGCGGACAAAGTCCTCAACTGTCAGGGGGATGGGGTGGTGTGGACCGAGAGAGACATTGACCCCACGACTTTGCAGGCCAGTTTGCTATCGCCTGAGCCAGGCTGTCCCATTCCTGCTCCTGTTTAAAAAGCGGGGAAAGGGTTACTGATCTGCAGGCGTTAATTATTTTTTCACTCCTCCCCCTCCCCGAGGGCTTTCGTCTGGATTCTTTTGTTGGATGATGACGGTCCCTGTTGACAGCGGGTGTGTGCTGCCCATTCAGTCCAGTCCTGCCGTTCAGCACAATAGGACTCTTCGAGAGGGCCATATATATCACCCGTGAGCGAGCGAGTAAGTGAGACGCTGTTTATTTTTAGATCGCTTGGTTTCCCGTTCGCAGTCTCAAAACTTACTTGAACCCTTCTCTCTTTTCTTTCTCTCTCTCTCTCTCTCTCTCTCTCTGATTGTGGAGTCCCAGTATCTTTAGTGGATCGAGCACTCGCCTGGCGGGTGAGAGGATTCGGTTTCGATTCCCGTCCGGGCAGGGCGAAATGTTGGGACAAGTTTCCTTAACCCACAACACACTTTACTTAGCAGTAAGTAGGAACCCGGTTGTTAGTCGATTGCCAGGATCACTTTGCCGGGGGGGGGAGGGAGGTGATAATCCCTTAAAAATTATAATAATAATAATACTAATCTGGTGTGTGTTATTAATTAGCTGCTGCGGTTCTGTGCGTGTCAGACACTCTCTCTCTCACAGTGATTTGTGTAAGGTTATTTAGGGTTTAGCGAGTTAGTGATCTGATGGCATTTTAATGTAATGTGGAGTTGGCTTGATGCCTTGAATGCTCTCCTGTTGCTATGTTCATCCAAGTACCTCTTTGTGTGTGTGTGTGTGGAGGGGGGGGGGGGTCCCATTTACATTGGCCCATCATTCGGAAGAGACATTAAACCGTCTGCTTGTTCAGGTGGACATTAAACAACAACAACAACAACAAGATTCCATTTATAAAGCGCCTTTCACGTCAGGAGGACGACCCAAGGCGCTGAAAAGATTAAAGATCTCCCACGGGGCTAATTGAAAAGAGAAAGGAGTTTCTCTTCCGGTGTCGTGGCCAACGATCCCCTAATATAACTCGCTCCACGACTGTTTGTGGGCACGTCGCTGGGAGCAATTGTTCCGCCGCGTTTTGCCTACAAAACACACACAGCCACTGCACTGGACAGTGTATCCTGTGAAGCGCTTTGAGACGTCCCGACGATGTGATAAGGCGCTGTGTGAAATGCGAGGATTGCAGTTATTGATCTTTAACCCGTAAGGGAAGTGCACAGTACAGTAATCGCAGCGAGATTAACCATCGGAACATCGGGCCCCCCCCACCCCCCCCCTTAAAGGCGTGACTTATGTTCGTAGGGTGCCTGTTGCCAAAGGAATGTCTCTCTGAACTGTGTTCCTCCCGACGTGAACCCCACACAGACACACACGCATCCTCTCCATCTCTCCCTGGCAAGTTGTTGTTGGAACGTAACAACACAAGCACTTGCCGGGCGAAACAAGACCAAGGTCCGTCCAGTTCGCCTTCACCATCCCACGTGTCGTGTCCCAAACTATACGCTGGTACCCGTAAGAACATAAGGTGTTGCTTTGCTCCGCTGTACAGAGCTCCGAGACATTGCCCTGCGCTGCAAGTTGTTGTGCCTGAAGACTTTCCTGTTTGACTTGTGCCCATCGCAGTCACCTCCGTCACTCTCTCCAACTCCCCCCACCCCCCGGCTCGGTGCTGCTGCTGCTGTTGTAAAAGCTGCCGCTGCTTTGTTAACGGTTGTTTATCATTCGGATTCTCGGCAGCAGAGAAACCGGTCTGTGCACCGGGAACGGGTGTCGGTTTTCCCAAACGTCACAGCTACGGTCTCCAAAGAATGTTGGATTGTGGGCGTTGACACATTCACGACGTCACTCTTACAGTCGGGTGACTATTAACCTTTGGGGTTCCTCTTTGGGGAGTTATTATCTGTCGGTGTGTTTTGCGGGCGAAACGAAGCAGCCGATAGCACACGGCAGGGGACCCCCGCCGGCAGCCGCGGATTGAAAGTGACCGTTTTCAAATAAATAAGTAAATAACTGAATGAATAAATTAAATTTAAAAAAAATTCAAAACAAAATTGTTCGGAGGGATGATTGCACTCGAAAAGCCATCCGCCAACCGACTTAACAACCAGCAATTGACCAATGAGGAAACCTGCCGGGGCTCAAAAGTTCTTGTGTCCAAAAATTTGATTTGTTTAATATATTAATGATAATAATCCTTGCATTTGATCGAGCGCCTTGTCAGGTCTTCGGGACGTCTCAAAGCGCTTCACGGGATGCACTGTAAAGTGAGTTGACTGCATGTTTTGCGGGCGAAACGTATACAGTAAAATAACTCCCGGTAAATTTGATGGAAGGGTTTATTTTCGTACGGACGTTTCATATCAAAAGGGGGCAAAGCCCCGGTGAATGATTGGCATGTAGTGTGTAGTGTGGAGCCCCGAGAGAGAAGAGGGTTCAATCCCCACAGTGAAGGGAAGGATCTGTGGACAGATATTCCCCCCTCGCCCCCACCCCCGGGGTTTAGATTTACATTGAACCGTGATGAGCAAGGAAGACTTAGCACAAACAGTCTGTGCCGGTGTTTGTACTCCACATGAGACCCTCACCCCCTCCCCTAATATTCCCCTCTCCTTTTCCATCACATTTCCTCTTAAGTACTTTTGCTTGAATCACAGCTTCCAGCAGAGAGATCCACCTTCTCGTGGCCTCTGTGTATGTGTGTGAAGAAGTTCCTCCTAATCTCCCTGTTATACTGTAACCGTCTGTTTTATATCTCACTGGCACTCATTCACTCTCTCTGTCTCTCTCATACGCACAGACGGACAGACACACAGACCCACACACACACTCATTCTCACTGACACACACACTCATTCACTCGTGCGCACACAGTCAAACAGATGGACACACAAACACTCATTCACAAACACATACACAGTCACATAGATGGACACACACACACTCATTCACACACACAGACACACAGTCACATAGATGGACACACACACACACTCATTCATAAACACACAAACACGCAGTCACATAGATGGACACACACACACACAGTTAATTGTCTTCTGTCACTTTGCTCTTTTTCAGGTCGTCCGGTCCGAAAGACATCGGCAAAAGATTTTCAACCGTCATCTCTTTGTATGTGCCATCTGGTGCCGACAGGTAAACAACCCAATCAGTTCCAAACTGCAGACAAGGAAGTGGGGGTCAGGGAGGGGGAAAAATACAGGAACCATTGACTTCAGTGATTTCTCACAAACGAGAGCAGCCAATTTGCACACAGCAGTGACCCCCAAACAGTCATAGATTGTCATCGACTAAATTATTATTATTACTTATTTTGAAGGGTTTATTACCCCCAGAAAAGCAGTTCGACAATCGACTAACAACTGCTTACCGTTGCTTACAACTGCCTACTCACTGCTGGTAAACAGAGGAGTGTGTGTGTGTTTGGTAGGGAAACTTGCCCAACATTTCTCCCTGTCCGGGAATCGAACCCGGGTCCTCTCGCTTGCGAGGCGATTGCTCTAACCACTGAGCTACAGGGAACACCACATCACCACCACCATCATCATCATAATAATAATGATAATAATGGACCTACCTCTCTCATGACTTGTCTACAGGCTCCGCACGGAAAGATAAACTGATCCTTCAAGTCACTGCAAGAGAACAGAGCGGCACTGGGGTCAGAGCAGAAGGTACGTTGAAAGCGATCGGTAATTAAGAGGGTTTGTAAGGAAGATTTATATATTGTGTGTGTGAAGAAGTTCCTCCTGATCTCCCTGATAATTGCAAAAGCGGGTGATTGGAGTTGAGGTACAGATCAGCCTCGATTCTTATAGAATGGCGGAACAGGCTCGAGGGGCTGAATGGCCTCCTCCTGTTCCTGTGTCCCTTCATGTCGTTTTAACAAAGGCTGTTCACACCTTGCGATGGCAATCGCCTCGAAGTTTAAGTGACCTTCTGAAACCGCCTTCTGTATGGCTGCTCTCTCAGCACAGATTCCCAGGTTGGAGGATGCGTTCTCTACATTGCAGCCTGGAATCAAAAGTATATAAAGTCACGTTATTGTATGCGTTGCTTAAGAGTCTCCAAACCAAACTGAGGATTCCAGGCGTTCCCACCTCCACGTGGAAACTCCACGGAAACCGTGCACGGAAAGCCCTGTAGCTCAGTGGTGAGAACCCTCGCCTCACAGGCGAGAGGACCTGGGCTCCATTACCAGGCGGGACAAAACCTTAGGCAGTTTCCTTACTCCCCACGCACGCCTCTGTTTACCTGGTAACTGGTAGGTTGTTCGTCGATTGGCGGATCACTTTTCTGGGGATAATAATCCCTTTAAAAAAAAAAATTTTACATTTTTTTATATTCACTCAATCCAAGACAGTTTGTGGGACGCTGCGGTGCACAATTGGCCTCCGCGTTTCGCCCACAAAATATAGTAGTCTCAACGTGGTTCTCAGGAACCTACTGTAAAGTGTGGTGACTGTTTGTTTGGTAAGTGAACGAGGCAGCAAATTTGCACACAGCAAGTCTCTCCCACCCCCCCACCCCACACGTACATACACACACACACACATGCACACACACATTTATACATACATATATATACACATACACACACATACATACACACACACACATATAATCACACACATACACACACACATACATATATATATACACACAACACATACATATATACACACACACACACTTACATACACACACACACACACATACACAGATATACACACACAGATACACACACACATGTATATACACACACACACACATACAACAACAACAAGATTACATTTGTATAGCGCCTTTCAAGTCGGGAGGACATATATATATACACACAGATACAAACACACACACAGCTATACACTCACATACACAGATATACACACACACACATATATATATATATACACTCACACATACAGACACACACACGTGTACACACACGCTCTCAGTCTTTGCTTGCATAGCGCCACGGCCTTTGTCCTCACCGGCTCCCAACTCTTTACAGATTGACAGAAAAGGCCTTTCAGGAAACTTTATGTAAGCAGCGAGGGAGGGAGGGAGGGAGGGAGAGAGGGAGGGAGGGAGGGAGAGAGAGAGGAGCGGAGAGAGTATGAGGTACACAGAGAGGGAGAGTTGGAGAGTTTCACCGAGGAAGCAAGTCTGGGACGCTCGCTGCCCTGTGTGTTGGGCACTGTATAAATGTAAGTTGCTGTTGTTGTTACCGGTGAATACTTTGCCCGCGCTGGTCAGCAAGGCAGCTCCCACACGGAACTTGCTGTAAGGGCAGTAGGCAAACCCCTTGGCTTCCTTGCTCCTGCGGATCAGCTCGGCTGCCTGTCCCTTCCCCGGGGCGAGGCCAGAGTCTGGGCCTGTAGACATCCCAGGGGCCTATGGAGAGGTTGGAAATAATAATAATAATAACAACATAATAATAGAAATAATAATCCTGACACAGCGCCTCATCGCGTCCTCGAGTCGTCTCAAAGCGCTTCGCAGAAGATGCTGTACACTGCAGTGACTGTGCATTTTGTGGGCGAAACGCGGTGGCCGATTGCGCCCCGCGACGTCCCCACAAACAGCCGTGGATTGAAGTGACCGCATTATTATTTATTTATTACATTTATTTTTGTTTAGACGGGATTATTACCACCGGGGAAAGCGATCTGCCAATCGACCAACAACCGGGTGCCTACTGAGCGCCAGGTTCCTCCCGACGTGAAAGGCGCTCTATAAATGTCATTTTGTCGCCGTTGTTGTTGAGTAAACAGCGACGCGTGAGTTTGTGGAGTCAGGAAATTTGTCCGCGATGCGAAACAATACAAAATTACATTTGCGTAGCGCCTTTCACACCAGGAGGAAGGTTTCTCCCTGCCCGGGAATCGAACCCAGGTCCTCTGGCTTGCTATATAAGTGCAAGTTGTTGTTGTTGTTGGGCCCCCACCCCCCCCCAGCTCCATGAACTCCCTGGATAGTCCCACTGACCTCCCGGTGGCTGACCTGTGTGCTCTCTCTGGCTGTCTCTGAGGCTTGCGAGTGCTCCAAATCGCTCTCTCTGTCCCACCAGTAAAATCGTTCCATTTCGTGTCCTTGTTCGCTTCCCCCTCTCTCTCCATCCCTCCCTCCCTCCCGCTCTCTTCGCTCTCTCTCTCTCTCTCTCTCTCACACACTCACACAATCCTTTCTCCCTTCTCTTCTCTTCTACCGTTCGCCTCAATTACTCCTTGCGGTACACCAGTCTCTGAGTAAAGAAGTTCCTTCTGACTTCCCTATTTGATTTTTTGGTGACCATTTGATACCTTTGGCCCCCGGGGTTGGGCTCCCCCACAAGTGGAAACATCCTCTCTGTGTCTACCCTACTTCGCTCTCTCTCTCTCTCTCTCGCTCTCTCACTCCCTCCCTCTCAACACGTCAATACAGCGTCCTTGTTTGCCTCAATCTCTCGCTCCCACTCTTCTCTTACTCTCTCTCGCACACTCCTTTGTCTCTTTCCTCCCTCTCTTTCTCTCTCTCTCTCCTCTCTCTCACACACATACGTACTCTTTCGCACCTGCTCGCTCTCTCTCACACTCCTTTCCCTCTCTGTCTCCCCCCCTCTCACTTTCTCTCTCTCTATCTCCGAGTGTCAGAGGGTCGAAGGCTGTCCTACCTCTGTGGTCTGGGCTCCCTGGCTGATCCGTGCTGAGCTGTGATAGCCAGCAGTACTGTCTCGCTGTTAAGTCACTGGGAACCACCCTCCTCCGCGCCCTGATTGGAAACACAGCCGTGCAATGGTGTCATTCCATTGCACAATGTGGTTGCCATTTTTATCAGCTGAGTCCAGGCAGGTGGGTGGGGGGGGGGAGAGGAGAGTCACCCAGACTCTCGTCACACGCACAAACACAGTATTCCTGGAAAAGGACAAAACATTAATCTCAGCCGTACAGAGAAACTACATAGAGCAAAGAAGCTTCCGAAACCAGCGATGGCTGTCAACCCGATCCCCGTCACCTCGGTTATATATCAAACCCACACTTCACGTTGGCTGGCGGGGAGGGTGGGCGGGTGGGCGGGATGAACCCTTTCACTGGGTTTCACTGTCCAGAGCAGATTAATCCTTTGATCCAGAAACAACAACATAACATACCATAACATGTAGGAGCAGGAGGAGGCCATTCGGCCCTTCGAGCCTCTGCCCCGCCTTTCAATCGTGGCTGATCTTCTAATCTAACTCCGGCTCATAACCTGACCCTGCCTTATCCCCATGTCCCCCACCCCAGCCTCCCCCCACTCCCCAGCCTCCACCCCGCCCCTGCCTTATCCCCATATCCCCCACCCCAGCCTCCCCCCACTCCCCAGCCTCCACCCCGCCCCTGCCTTATCCCCATAACTCTTCATCCCTTTTGCAATAAGAAATCTATCTCTCTCAGTCTTGCATATGTTCAAGAACTGAGCGTCAACAGCCCTTTGGGGTAGTGAGTTCCATACATTCACCCCTTTGAGTGAAGAAGTTCTTCCTCAACTCAGTGCGAAAGGGTTGGCCTCTGATTTTTAAGGTTGTGACCCCCGGTTTTAGTTTCTCCAACCGGGGGACACAATCTCCCACTATCCACTCTATGCCCTTTGATGAGCTTATAGGTTTCTATACATTACTTTCTATACATTTCTATGCATTACTTCATTGCCGGGGAGGGACGAGATGGAGTGTCCATTGTGGGGGAACGTGTATTCCAACAACAACAACGACATTACATGTGTAAAGGCCTTTCACATCAGGAGGACGTCCCAAGGCGCTGGACAGACAGAGCTGGGGGTCAGGGTGGAGGGCAGAGGGCAGGGGGGGAAGCAGGGAGATCGAAAGCATGGTCGAAGAGGAGCTTCTTGAGAGGGGTCTTGAAGGTGGCGAGGGAGGGGGCGAGGCGGAGGGACTGCGGGATGGAGTTCCAGAGGGCGGGGGCAGAGTGGGCAGAAGGCCCCGCCCGCCGATAGTGGGGCGAGCGAGGAGGTGGGGGGGGGGGTAGTGAAGCAGGCCGGTGCCCGCTGAGCGGAGGGAGCAAACGGGGTGGTAGGGGGTTAGGAGGTCCCAGAGGTGGGGTGGGGTGGGGTGGTGGGGGGCTGGGGGCGGGGGGAGCAAGATCGTGGAGGGGCTTTGACGGTGAGGATCAGGATCTTGAACTGTCTCCTCCTGTTGTGCCATTGTGGCCAAGATTAACCCTTTCACTCACCGCTTCCAGGTTTAGTTAGTAAAATTAGGAGAGATTAACCGTTTCGTTCAGATTCTTCCTCATATTTGACAGACGGACGGACAGGGCTGGGAGTCCTGAAGACGTGATCGGTCGTGGCATTGCTTCATTGCCAGGGAGGGACGGGATGGAGTGTCCGTTGTGCGGGAACGTGTATCCCAAGAGCAAGATAGAGTGTCACGCCTGGCACTGTTACAGCAGAACCACCCCGGGGGAAGAGGACCAGCCCAGCGAGGGAGCGGGCGAGGGAGGGAGCCGGGAACAGGACGGGCAGCGGGCAGCCAAAGGAGGTGAGAGCCACGGTGAGAAAACGTTCTCCAGGATCGGGTTAAGTGCTGTCGACGACTGGGAGAGGAGAGTGTGCGCCCCATTCCAGACCGGGGAGAAATTGCCAACTTTCACGCTCCCTCTCTTATCTATCTCCAGCCCCCCCCACACACTCTGTCTTTGTGTGTGTGTCTCTCTCTCCCTCTCTCCCTCCCTCAGCCTCCCCCCTCGCGTTAATAATAATAATATAATAATAATAATCCTCGCATTTGATGTAGCGCTTTTCACGTCTTCTCGACGTCTCAAAGCGCTTCACAGGATAGACCGTAAAGTGAATTGACCGTATGTTTGTGCTATCTCCGCTGTGTGTTGTACAGAGACGCTCAGGGCCGGGGGGATGGAGCAGGATTGCCCCCTGTGCGGCCTGCGATTCCCGGCTGCCGACATCGAGGAACACGCGGCTTTCTGTAACGGCCCCAGCTACAGCCGGAGCCCAGAGGAGGAGGAGGTGGCTGGGCGCGCCGAGGCTCAGCGGACCGGGCACCTCTTTTGGAGGTAAACGAGGTTCACCTTCACCCATCTGGTTCACGCACGCACTCGCCTCGCAAGCGAGAGGACCTGGGGTTCGATTCCCGGGCGGGGACCGAACCTTCTGCCCAATGTCGGAGACGCCACCACCCAGATATCACTTAGTATTGTGTTAGGTTGTTTCCTCATTACACACTCACAAACACGCACACTCTCACACACACGCATACACAATCACACACACACATGCGCACACACGGGTACACACTCACTCGCACACACGAGTACACACACACACACACGCGCGCACACACACACAGATGCGCACATACAGACACACACGCACACACACACACGCTTGTGTTTACCAGCAGTAAGTAGGAACCCTGTTGTTAGTTGATTGGCGTATTGCTTTTTCAGGGGTAATGATCCCCTCGCAAAGCTAACTAAGTAACGTGGTCACCCAATCCCACGGCTGTTTGTGGGGACATCGCTGGGCGCCATTGGCTGCCGTGTTTCGCCCGCAGAACACGCACAGTCACTACACTTTACGGTACGTGCTGTGAAGCTCCTTGGAAAGTCTCAATGACGCGATAAGGCGCTGTGTTAAATCTAAAGGTTATTGTTGTTGTTCTGATTGTTATTATTAACGTTCTTCCGGCTCCTCTTCCCCTCAGCTACGTGAACAGAGATCGGAGGTTGGGACGCAGAGGGGCAGAGTGTGCGAGGCGGGAGCCCGGGGGCTCGGTGTCGGTGTGGGGCCCGGTTGGAGCCTCGGGGGGCTGTGAGCAGGATATCTCGCAGGAGCTGGCGGTTTTCCAAAAGTTCGGACAGGATCTCGAGCAGAATCCTGAGTTCATCAAGTGAGTTTCTCTCCACAAACACACACTCGCGCGAGTTTCCTTACTCCACACACACACACACACACACACTCGCGCGCACACACACACACACATACTCGCGCGCACACACCCACACCTCTGTTTACTGAGCAGTCAGTAGGAATCCGGTTGTTAGTCGATCGTTTGGCGTATTCGCTTTTCCGGGGATAATAATCCCTTCAAATAAGTCAATAAGGTGGTCACTCAAAACCCACCGCTGTGCGCGGGGAACGCCGCTGTGCGCAATTAATCAATCGGCTGCCGCCTTCCACCCACGGAACGCACAGTCGCTCCACTCGACAGTGCGTCCTGCGAAGCGCTTTGAGACGTCTCGAGGGCGCGATTAAAGGCGCTGGGTCGGAGGCGAGGGTTGTTGTCGTTGTCATCAGCCTGCGCTGTCTCCGCACAGAGCTGTCAAGTCTCTGCTGAGCAAATCCAAGAGCCCTCTGGAAATGCTGAAGAACGTGTCGATGGCACTTTTCTCAGCAGGTGTTGGTGGAGGTGGCACCGTCTTCATGTTCTTCCAATTGGCTAAGATGTTCTTACCGATGGTGAGCAACGAAACTGACCAGCGGCTGAGTGTCTGTGTGTGCGTGAGTGTGTCTGTCTGTGTGTGCGTGTATGTACGCTAAGCTGTTTGTGGGACACTGCTGGCTGCCGCCTTTCGCCCACAAAATACACAGTCACCACATTAAACCTTACAGCGTGTCCTGCGAAGCACTTCTACACGTCTCAACGACGTGATCGGGCGCCGGGTCAAACCCCGGGATTCCTATCGTTATTGTTCATAGGATTTTTGTGCCGTGACAGATTCTGGAAAGCGAATCCTTCGTGACCTTTCAGAAGTGGGCAGGAAGCTTTATCCTGACGACTGTGGTCCCTTGGATCGAAAGGATAGGGGGCTGGGTGAGTATTTGGTGGAGGTGGGGGTGGGGGGTGCAACTGTGTGTATGGGTGCAGTGTGTGGTGTGTTCCAGGTTCTGCGATGGGGTCTCGTACACGGGGTGACCGAACAGTCCTGATACCGTCACAATGTCATTAAAGAAAGGATGATTTTCTTTAGATAACACGAAAGGTGCTGCGTAAATGTCATTTGCTGTGGTCTCCCACTTGAGTCGCTCACTCACTCTGCTCTCTCTCTCTCTTCCTCTCTCCCTCTCTCTCCTCCGCACATAGCCGGTTGTTCTGGCCATGATGGGAGCGGTGTTGGCTGTCGGCCTGTTTGCCGGCTTCATAAAACTTCTGCAGGGTCATTCCTCCCAGTGACCGGCACTCGGAAACGGTTTGCGGTGGTGGCGGTGGCGTGTGGATGAATCTCCGCGGACTGCGTTATCTGGACCTATTTTCCGACGAGGGACACCTTCGGCCCATCGGGTCCGCTCGCTCACTGCCTGTTGCCGGTGCTTGACCAATTTGCTCGGCGCATCCGCCGTTCTAGATCACTGCCGGCTGATCCGCGCCTCAACTTGGAAAAGATTAAAAGATTCGCAAACCCAACCCCCCCCCACCCACCCACCCCACCGGGGGAATCAAAGGGGAGTGGTGGGGGGGGTGGGGTCGAGGGATTGTGGTGAAGGTTTGGGTGTGGAGTCGGTACGTGCTGTGTTGACGGCTGAGTTCAGGGCCGGGATGGGTTTGGCAAGTAATGGGATTAATAATAATAATAATGGTAATAAACGTTGCATTTGAACGCAGTGCCTTATCACCTCTTCGAGGCGTCTCCCAAGCAATATTACCGTTAAACCGTAGCGACTGTCCCATCGAGTGGGGAGAAAGGCGGCAGCCGACTGCCCACACGGGCGGCCGGGCTCCCGCGCCCGCACAATCGGGAAGCGCTTCGAGACGGCTCGACGACGTGATATAAGTCACGGTGCTCTGCAGGGTTACTTACACCTCGACGTACCGACGACGACAAAAAAAAATAATTGCTGCCTGACTGCAGGCATTCTCGAGCGTGAACCGAGTGAATTGTGTAGTTGTAAAGTGTTGTCTCTCTCCCTCTCCCTCTCCCCGGAGTTGCACAAAGTAATGAAGTGTAAACCACTATTTTTATACCTCAATGGGTTTTTTATTTGTCTCGAGGAAGTGGCCTGACTTAGCATCGCCGCGTCAGACGCCATCTGTGATACAGTACTGGGCTTACAGCGTAATGTCAACAGCACGGTTAATGTCGTTTGCTTGCCACGCGCGGGCTTTCTCTCACACACACACACTCGGACACAAGCGCGAGCTCAGAGCTGAGGGTCCCCCTAAACACACACCGGTGGCACTGAGCAAGAGTTGGAAAGTGCATGTCGTCGCCGTACGGAGAAGTGCTGAAGGGCCGAGAGGCGCAACGAAGGGCACTGCGATCAACGCAGCCGGTCGTGAAGAGCCGGGGACGGGTTTCCCTACAGATCTACTCCAGGTCTGATTTCCGACAGCCTCCCTCCTCCCCCTCCTGATCCCCAACCCCCCTTCCCCCCCCACCCCAGCAGCTCGGGTCCAGACCCCTGATTCCAGCATCTTGGGACGTCCTCCTGACGTGAAAGGTGCCGTATAAATGTAATTATGTTGTTGTTGTCTGACCTCCGCACAGGGGCAGGAGCTCTCTGGACAAGCAGCAGGAAACATTGGGCTGATTTCCCCCTCTCACTGATCCAGGGAGGAGGTGAGTTGGGGGGGTGGGGTGCAGGGGCGGAGGGGGGGGCGGAGGGAGGAGTGAAGCCTGTACTTGACTGTACGACTGCTATCTCAGCACAGACCTGGATTGCAATCTTAGATTGGTGGGGGGGGGGAGGGGTTGGAAGACTCCCCATCAGTTCTTTTTCACCTACTAGGAAATCGGGAGAGGAGTGGGGTCCGGGTGAGGTGAGGAGGGAGGGCAGGGGTGAAAGACCACTCCCCCCCCCCCTCCCCCCGGGGCTGACCAGCAGCTTGTGATGTGGTGTCTGTTTGGCTCCGACTGCGATTGGAATGAGGGAGTAAAATAGGTTATTCCTGGTTGGCTGCATCGCTAAATGGGTCAATCTGAAAGGTGGGGAGTGGGGGGGGGGTTGCAGGGTGGGAGGGGCTTTGCAAGGTGGGGGGGGGGGGGAGGTCATATGTCTCTTGAGAAACCTTAGGATAGAGAGAGATATAGAGATCATCGCTTTGCATTGCACACAGGGACCCATCGAGCAGCCCTAACCCCCCGAGGCATTTATTGAGCGCCTTTCACGTCAGGAGGACGTCCCAAGGCGCTGTAAGTTCGTTGCCAAAGTGCATGTTTTCTTAAACTTTTGCCATTTCATTTGCTGAGTTTCATTATCGTAGGATCGTACGGCACAGAGGAGGCCATTCGGCCCATCGTGGAGTCCTGTAGCTCAGTGGTTAGAGCACTCGCTTTGCAAGTGAGAGACTAGAGTTCAATTCCAGGCAGAGGGCGAAACCTTGGGCAAGTTTCCTTACTCCACACAGAGCCTAATAATAATCCCTCCAAAACAAAACAATAATAAATTGGTCATTTTCAATCTACGACTGTTTGTGGGACATTGCTGTGCGCAATTGGCTGCCGCGTTCGCCCACAAATATACAGTCAATTCACTTTACAGTGTGTTCTGTGAAGCGCTTTGGGACGTCCTCCCGACGTGAAAAGCGCTATATCAAATGCAAGGATTATTATTATTATTATTATTATTATCGTGTCGGTCAGTTCCGGCTCTTTGAAAAGAGCTTTCCAATTCAATCCCGCTTCCCCGCAAAGCGCTTCACAGAATACACTACAAAGTGGAGTGACTGTTTTGCGTGGGCGAGATCAGCAGCCAATTGCTGGAGGCTGTGTCCTGTCCCACAAACAGTTGTGGATTGAGTGACCAAATTATTATTATTATTATTATTATTATTTTGGGGCTAAGTGTTTGGGAGTAGCAGCAGGATTGAAGCTTAGACTTTTAGTCCTTAACGTCACCCTAAGAGGACAGTCAGGGCGGGGTGGGCGTTGGGGGACGGAGGTAGTAACTACACAAATAAATGTTGCCAGGATATTGACGTATGATTACTTGCGCGGTAGTGACACGTCAGCATAACTCCCCAACGGTGACAAAGGGCAGAAGGTCCCAAAGCTCGGGCTTAAAATTCCACATTCGCCACAGATAAAAGGTCTGCGCGGCGACAAACAGAGAGGATAAACGGAGCTTGCGGCGGCCAGGACGGCGCAGGATAAGCTTTCCCGGAAATAAATTCCTTTTTTTTTAAAAAAAAACAAACGAGCAACTAAAAAAATGTTAAGCTTCAGAGAGAAAACAAAGCCGTTTGGGTCAGCGCCTCGCGTGACCCCCTCCTCCCAGGCACCACAGCCACACGGGAACAGGAAGGGGAGGAAGGCCATTCAGCCCCTCGAGCCTGTCCCGCCACTCTTATCGGGTCGTTGAGGCCGACCTGTACCTCAACGCAAAGCTCGTCTTACATCGGGAGGATTGGAACCAAACCATAGACGGTCAACTTGAAGGGGCGATTAGCTGAGGACTGGACGTAGGGGGCGGGGAGCGGGGATGGGGGGGGGGGGTTTAGAGTGAGCCGGTCACTTGGTGGGACACCAAAGCCGCACGAGGAAGACGAAGAAAGAAAGAAAAAAAAGCCTAAGTGTTCTGATCGAGGTCCCGCTTTTGCTTTGATTGTTTGGCTACGAGCAGAACGAAAACCGCACAGAAGGCATCGCTGGTCAGCGCAAACACACGCGGGTTTACACGCGAGACGAGAATGTGTTCCCAATGCAACTCCCGGCCGCGCGGAGGCAGTGGGTCACACAACCCACTGTCAGTCAGTCAGTCAGTCAGTCAACGTCAAACACAGCGACTCGCACCAACTCAACTGAGGGACGCCATCGCGTCTTTGAGATCCATCCTTGAGGCGTCTCAAAGCGCTTCGCAGGACGTGCACCGTAAAGCGTAGTGACCGTGTATTTTTGTGGGCTGAAGCTGAACCCGCTCCCCGACACCCAGGTGAAGCCTGCAGCGAATTAGGTATTTTTTTTTCCGTCGTCGTCGTCGTTGTCGAAAGAGTTAGAAATGTCTTCGGTTCTGTCTTTGAGCAAAATTCACTCGACGTTTCCCAGTTGGGGGTTAGGGTTGGGGGTGGGGGGGTTGTTGGTGAGAGCAGCAGTCAGACACAGGAGCCCCTCTTACTCCCTCTCTCTCTCCGCCGCCCCCCCCCCACCCCATCTCTCTCTCTGTCTATCGGACATTAATTTCGGTTTGGAAGATGATGGATACGCGGTTAAAAAAAGTCGTACTGAAACACCCATTACTGTAGCAGCAATAAATCTAAACGTCCTCCAGTGGCGCTGGAGTCCTACCGCCTTTCAGAAAAACAAAACAAAGCCAATCTAAAACACTACGAGCAGCACAAAGCCCCCACTCTCCCCCCCCCCTCCCCCCCACCTCCGAGCCAAGCCTCCTGTAGGAAAAGGGAGAAAAGCATCCGAAGTAAACGGCGCACACGTAACTTTCAAAGGAAGACGTGGAATCGATCGGATCGGGTCTAGGTGACCAGATGGGTCCAGTCGCTGGGACGTCTCCCGTACTGAAAAAGAAGAAAAAGGAATGATGTGCACTCCGTGTCTGTGCTGTGCCAGTGTGGTGGTCAACAACAACAACAACAATAATAATGATAATCCTGGCATTTGCTACAGCGCTCTATCGCGTCTTCGAGACGTCTCAAAGCGCTTCACGGGATATACTATAGACAGAATATATAATATTCAATGCCCAGTTCCATTATCCACAAAATACGGTTGATCCAGAGCTCACCCGCACTAAACTCCGTGTCCCAGTCCTCGTCAGGTTCCCTGTCACACACACTGAACCCCATAGCCCCCCATCACCCCAGTCCAATGCTGTTATCGTTGTAGTCTGTCTCCCTCCAAATCCCCCCACCCCCGTTCCCAGACTCACCTGAATGTCTGTCAGTTCTTTAAGGAAGCGTTTTGCCAAATCCGGACCATTCTCCATGGTGGGAATATGATAGTTCTGAAAAAACAATACATAAAGATAACCAACATTCCCAGAACTTATTCCCGTCGCCGGGAACTCGAGGGGAAATGTATTACATTTTCCCAAACGGTACAGGGGTCCACCATTAGGATTGTCTTAAAATTAACAAGATTTGCCCACAGTCCTCAGCAAAATAGCATTAATAATCCTCGCATTTGATATAAAACCTTATTACGTCATTGAGATGTCTCAAAGCGCTCACAGGATATACTGTAAAGTGGAGCGACTATTTTGTTGTGGGCGGCAGTCAATTGCGCACAGCAGTGCCCCCCCACAAACAGTCGTGAACAGATCCCAAGGTGCTGGATGGTCAAGCTCCTGAGCTGGGGCTGGGATCAGGAAGGATGGAGGGCAGGGAGGGGATAGGAGGGTGACCGAAGGCTCGGTCGGAGGAGGATCTTGAGACGTGCATTAAGGGAGGGGGCGAGGGGGACTGGGAGGGAGGTCCAGAGGGGGTCTGGAGGTACCTGGTCGCAGTAGAGGATCTTGTTGATGGGACACACGACACAGGCTGTTCCTGCTCCGAACACCTCTTTAACTCGCTTCTCCTGAAGCCCTTTGATCAGGTCGGGAAGTGTTAGCTTCCGCTCCACCACTTTAAACTCCCCCTGAAATCAACGCAGGACAGTGTGGGGACTGCAGACATAAATAAACACAAAATAATTTCCCGGGCGAAAGACCAGGGTCCATCCAGTTTGCCTTTCACCATCCTGGCCATCGCTTGACATGTCGTGTCCCAAACCAGACACTATCTGTGGGTAGTGTATGTGTGTGTGACAGAGACACACAGAGAGAGAGTGTCTGTGTGTGTGTGACTATATACTGTATCCCCCAGAGGTTATTTTCTGACAGAAAGCCATCTCGTGTTCTTGAAACAAACACTTTCTGCTCCCACCGTCTGTCTATCCGTCTGTCTGTCTGTCTGTCTCCCTCCCTCCCACCCTCCCTCCATAGGGGGAGACATACGTTTGCTATTCTCACTGAAGTAGTGTTTGTTCCGAATTTATCCCCCCCCCCCCACCCCCGCCGTCAATCGCAGGCCGTGTGTGTCCTCTGGTACAGACAAGAGAACGGTTCCGAACAAAACCCACGTTCAGTCAGAAAGCCTTAGAAAAAAAAGGAGATTTTCTTCGATCTCGGGTCCAAACTTGGGGGGGAAAGAATAATCATTATCATAATCTTTGCGTTCGATATAGCGCCTCGTCGTCTCGGAGCGGGTCACAGGATTTACTGTCAAGTGTCGCGTAATGATAATCGTCAGCCAGGACCCTGAAGAGGCGGACGGGAACTTGGGCTGCTGCGACTGGAGTCAAGTGTCTCCTCCCAATTCGTGTGGGTCGTAAACAACGGCACAGAGGGGCCGGGCTGAACGGCTGTGCACGTGCGGAGAGCGGTGTCGAGTGCCAACGTACCCATTTCTTTCCCAGGTCCAGTAAACTCTGTCTGGTAACACCAGGGAGGATCGTGCCATTCAGCGGTGGTGTGAGCAACTCCAACACTAAGAAAAAAAAACACACACACACCAGAGAGAAACTCACTCGTCAACAGAAAGGCTGATGTGTCGATCACACGGGACACCGTTTGTTTATTCTCAACGTTCCTTCGTTAATAGGAAATGATGATAATAATAATAATAATAATAATCCTCGCATTTGATACGACGCCTGATCATCTCGTCGAGAAGCCTCAAAGCGCTTCGCAGGATGCTCTGTGAAGTGGAGTGACTGTGTTTTTGTGGGCGCGGCAGTGGATGGAGTGTTTTTTTTAAGGGGTTAGTTGAGGATGGTTTAATTCCACGTTTAATTCCCCTCCACCATACGCGGGCCCCGACCCCTGACTGTCCAGTGCCTTGGGACGTCCTCCCGACGTGAAAGGCGCTCTGTATAAAAGGCATTTTGTTGTTGTTGTTGGGGGTGGGGGTGGGGTCTCTTGGAAGCTAATCTCCCGGCCGCGCTGCCACCCACCTCCCTGCTCGTTGTTCCAGTAGACGAAGATGTTCATGGTTCCCACCTCGGTGATCTCGTGATCTTCCCCATACAGCCACAGCACCTGTTGGCAGCCGCGCTTCAGTGCCTCGCTCTGCACGTAAATGGTGGGGCCGTAATTTCTACGGTGGGGGGTGGGGGAGAGAATAATTAATTCAGGGAGGGCGCAAAAGTTAGCGACAACAGGAACAGATTACATTTGTATAGTGCCTGCGCGGGTGAGTGGGTGCCAGGCGGCAGGGAGGGAGGCAGGGTGGTAGGTTTCTTTCATTCATACTCCCTTTTCTTTCATTCGTACTTTTTTTTTGTGGGGGGGGGGGTGGGGAAACGTGGCTGAGACGTCTCAAAGCGCTTTGCAGGCTACACTGCAAAGTGTAGTGACTGTGTTTTGTGGGCGAAACGTGGCATCCAACTGTGGATTGAGTGGCTGTTATTAGTAGTTATTATCATTATCATCAGTGTGTTTGAAGGGATTGTTGATCCGAAGTCCTGGTAAGGAAGAACGGCTCAAAAATGACAACTAACCACCTCTCGCCCCTGTTCTTTGCCTACGTACCCTCCCAACTTGCAGTCGCCGACTCCTCCTTTCCACGCCCGCACGTACATGGGGTCAGCGATCAGGGAGATGGGGTTGAAGCTCCCTGTGGAGAAGTAAGGCCCCACCGGCCCTAGAATAACAAAGAGCAATGCGTGGTTCGACTGCGAGACTCCTAGAGACGGCTGAGGAGGGAGAGAGAGAGAGAAAAACCTCAGGTAAACGTGATGTTACAATCCCTGACTGTCCAGCGCCTTATAATAATGATAATAATCCTCGCATTTGCTACCGCTCCTGATCACGTCCACCAGACGTCTCAAAGCGCTTCACAGGACACACTGTAAAGTGTAGTGACTGTGCGTTTTGTGGTTGAAACCCAACAACTAACAACCGGGTTCCCGCTGACTGTTAGTAAACAAGAGGCGTGTGGGTATGTGTGTGTGTGGGGGTGGGTGGGGGTGGGTGTGTGTGTGTGTGTGGGTGGGTATGTGTGTGTGTGTGTGTGGGTGTGTGTGTGTGGGGGGGGGTGGGTGTGAAGTAAGGAAACTTGCCATGTCCTCTCGCTTGCGAGGCGAGTGCTCTAACCACTGCACTACAAGCCTCCACACCGAGCTACCGGACGCCACACTGATGTTCAGGGAGGGTCGGCAAACAAGGAGAAGACCCAGAGGGTAAAAAAGCTTTGTGTTCCTACCTCAGTGCCGATGAACGTGGGTCGGATGTAGAGACTGGCTGAGGTGGAGTAAGGCACCCACTCTCTGTCCACCTCAATCAGCTTCCGAATGCAATCCAGCAGCTCGAGCTTGTCAAAGGCCTGGGGGGGGGGGGGAGCACAAACATGAGAAATAGGAGCAGGGCGGAGGCCATTCAGCCCCTCGAGCCTGTGCCCCCGCCATTTGATAAAGATCGCGGCTGATCTTCTCGCCAATTCCATGGACCCACCCTGGTCCCCGTATCCCTTTAAAGCCCTTTAGTTTTTAAACAATCCGTCCATCTCGGCTCTTGAACCCGTTCGGAGACTGACTGAGCGTCTGCAGCCTCTGCAGCAGAGAATTCCAGAGCCCTCGACAGTGGCGGAGGGAGCACAACACCGAACTGAGTTGGGGGTGTGGGGGGGGGGAGTGGGGAGGTGACTGTAGGCACGACCTGATGATGGGGGAGGAGGGGGGGGGCAACGGCGGAGGGACTGACTGAGGGAGAGAGCGGCGGAGTTTGCTTGTTGACCGGGCAGGGGGTAGGAGAGGCTGGGGGGTACCGGCAGGCAGGCTCGCAGGGTCGAGCGGAGCATCCTCTCCATGTTCAGGTCCGGCCGGAACATCCGGATCTTGTTGTCCACTCCCCGGAAAGCCTTCATCCCCTCAAACAGCTGGGGGCCAGAGAAAGAGAGAGAGACACGTCCTGTTACTGCAGAACACTCAATTTACCTGAATTCGCTGCTGGGATATTTCAAAATAACGACAACAACAACAACAACAGTAATCCTGGCAGTTGGGGACCCGGGGCTTTACCACGTCCCCCAGACGCCTCAAACACTGGGCCGAGGGGGCAGTGGAGGTAACGACAGCAAAATGTCGTGGACAGTGGCGCTCTTCGCGTCGGGAGGACGGCCCAAAGCGCTGGGCACTGGGAGAGGAAGATCGTCGGGCTGGACCTGAAGATAGGGAAGAAAAGGGAAGGGGAGGGAGGGAGGGATTCATTGATTACAACTACTGTGTTACCTCCACGGAATAGTGCAGAGCGGATGACGCGGGGTGCAAGGAGAGGTTCTGAAAGGGTTTGATGTGAGGTCTCTGCCAGCCTTTCTCGCTGTTCCACCCGACCGTCAGCATGTGGTCCGTGAAGGACTTGCCGAACACCAGGCTGTCGTTGTCCGGCTTCACCTTCGGCTGCTTGTTGATCTCGATCTGCAAATCCGCGGCCTGTCAGGGGCCCCAACCAAACAACGCAACGTAAGTCTACATTTGACGACGGCCACCTTTCCGCATACAGAGGAAGCCCTACCAACCACCCCCCCCCCCCCCCAACAACCAAAAGAAAACCGTGGAAGTAATGACCCCGGCGTTTGACCCCCAGCGCCTGATCACGGCGTCGAGACGCCTCAAAGCGCTTCACGGGATGCGCTGTAAAGTGTAGGGGCTGTGTATTTTGTGGGCGAAACGTGGCAGCCAACTGCGCACAGCAGCGACCCCCCCACACACAGTCGTGGATTTGAGCGACCAGCTGTACACCACCACGTGCGTACGACTTGTACCCATTTCCTCCCCTTGTACGGACCTTAAACATGGAGCTGCCATTACGCCAGGAGCCATTGCAAAACCTGTGAGTTGGACACAGTTGTCTGGACAAAGCCTGCAAGCAAACACACAAATAAATAATATTATTAATAATAGCAAAGTCAATTGACCTGTGCAGTTTGTGGGCGAAACGCGGCAGCCAGTTGCGCGCAGCGACGTCCCACAAACGGTCGTGGGTTGAGTGACCGAATTGTCAGTCATTTTTTAACTAATTTTTGAAGAGATTTTTTAGCCTCAGAAAAGCAATCCGCCGATCGACCCACTACTTACTTACGAGGTAAACAGCGGCGCGAGTGTGCGCGAGCGTGCGTGGAGTGAGGAAACGTGCCTGAGCCTGGCCGGGAATCGAACCCAGGTCCTCCCGCTATCACGAGCTCTCTCTCTCTCTCTCTCTCTCTCGCTGCGGGAGTCGGCTAAGACCGTTCCCTCCCATGCTGTCCAAGTCTCGACAGAAAGCCTCGTTAGGATGATTAAAGAAAACAAACCCATCGGAGCAGAACACGGGGAGTGACAAACCAGCCAGTGCTTTATTAACCAGACTTTGACTTGCCTCGTACTTGGCAAATACCTCGCTATCATTGGTCAAGAGGGGACCAGGGAGAGAGAGAGAGAAAAAAAGGCGTTTGCATTTCCACCAGCTCAGCAACTCAAAGACGTTCTCGATTAGAAAGTCCTCTCCGGTCAGTTCAAAGTACAGGACTCTCTGGCGCACACACAGGCTGAGGAGGTTATGAGAGACAGGCTCCCTGGGGAGACAGACAGTGGAAGCAGAAAGAGTTGATTCTTTCAAGAGCGAAGGACAAATTTCCGTCAGGAAATAATATCTGGGGGAAGACAGTGTGTAGTCTGGGGTCACGACATGTCCAGCGACGGCAGGGATAGCGGAAGGCCAACTGGATGGACCTTTGGTCTTCTTTCGTCCAGCGAGTGCTTAAGTCGGAGTTGGTTCTAAAGGACACGAGTCTACAAAGCCAGGCCGGACACTCCTCAAAGCTTGGATTAAGCTGCGATTTTCCTGCAGTTTTCAGAAGATAAGCCTTGGAAACCCTCCAACCTCTCTCCCTCCCTCTCTCTGTGTCTCTCTCTCAGGAGAATCAGCCCTCCTCACGGTAAGAAACCTTTCCTCTTGCTTTTGTATTGAAGGCACAGTAAGGGTATCCAGCACTCTGGGACTCTATTATAAATGCAAGTTGTTGTTAAACCGCCGAGTACTATTTTCCAAACTATGGCTGTCGCTTAGAAAAGGGAGAAGCCAAAATATCTGCTCCTTGTTCTGGGGGGGCGCGGAGTGGGGGGGGGGGGGGGGTGGATGCTCAATGAAGCAGCACTGAGAGGATTTCATACTTTTCTTTCTGTTTAAGAGGGAACCACGAGACGAGTTACAAAGTCCATTCAGAGACTGTGTGTCAGAATAATAACAACCCCTGCAACTGGCACAGCACTTGTCACGTCTTCTCGACGTCTCAAAGCGCTTCACAGGAATATAATAATAATAATAATCCTTGCATTTGATATAGCGCTTCTCACGTCGGGAGGACGTCCCAAAGCGCTTCACAGAACACACTGTAAAGTGAATTGACTGTATATTTGTGGGAAAAACGCGGCAGCCAATCGCGCACAACAGCGTCCCCACAGACAGCGGTGGATTGAAAATGATCAATTTATTATTGTTTTTTTTTTGAGGGATTATTATCAGGTGTGTGTGTGGAGTAAGGGAACTCGCCCAAGGTTTCACCCTGACCCGCCGGGAACCGAACCCAGGGGTCTCTCGCTTGCAAAGCGAGTGCTCTGACCACCGAGCTACCCTACCGCCTCACAGGATATACCGTGAAGTGTGGCGACTGGGTATTTTGGGGGCAAAATGTATTTAGGGACGTGCGCGGGGCAAACGTTGCTGTTCGGAGTTACAGTCCCCAAGCACTGTCCTGCACGGCTGGCTTTGATATTTCACCCTGCGATTAGCTGACTGGTACGTGAGCTGACGAGTGAGCCGAGCATTGAATGCGAATCAGCTGCCTTAGTGCTTCATTCTCAGCCCCGCCCGGCCCCGCCCGGCCCGGCCCCGCCCGGACCGGTCCGGCATGTTCCTGCTGTCTCTGTGGATAAGTACTTAATACGCCAGCGCTGGTTTCTTTGTCCAATCAGCACTTGCACCACACGGAATCTGGGTGCGGATTGCGCCATTTTCCCCACCGCAGCCATCGGCAAAACCGCAGCTGCCCGCAGACGGCGACAACAACTTGGGACTGACACCGCGCCCTCTAACGCCGTCTCAGAGCGCTTTAGAGCGCACGCACAAGGCAGTTCTAAGACGCTCGCGTCAAGTCCCGGTGAGGGAGGTTTCGGTGGCAGAACGGACTCGGGGTTGAGACTCGAGGAGCGCGAGGACCTGGGGTTCGATTCCCAGTGCGGGAGAGCGAAACCTCAGGCGAGTGGCCTTTACGCGGGAGGGGAGGTACGCGCTCTGAAACGAGCTCCACTCCCCGGGGCTGCGGAAACACATTCCACTCCAACCCCCACGTTGGGAGGACTCGCGTCCTCCCGACGTGAAAGGCGCTCTAGAAATGGAATCTTCTTGTCGTTGTTGTTGTTGTTGTTGTTGATGACTCCCGTCCGACCGTTTGTTGACTTTGGAGTGAGTCGGGTTTCGAGCCATAACAACAACGGTAATAATAATTATTATTATTATTATTATTATTATTATTATTATATGGGTAATAACAACCCATTAATAGGATAATAAAATAATAATAGTCATAAAACAGTAACAGTCAAATAAGCCAATTTGTGCTCAATGGTGTCCTACAATTTTATTCGGGGAGGGGTGGGGGGGGGGGGTGAGGGGGGGTGTTAGCCAGGACACTGGGAAAGAGAGTGAGCGAGAGAGAGAGAGAGAGAGAAACTTTTCTTTTTGAATAGCCCCGCGGGGGGAGATCTTTAACATCCGCCTGAACCCCCCCACCCCCCAAACACACACACAGTCGCCCCCACCCACCCCATACCATTCCCCCCCCCCAACCCGCTCCTATAGTTATAATTCCAGGCAGAGGGCGAAACCTCGGGCAAGTTTCCTTACTCCACACAGAGCCTAATAATAATCCTCCAAAACCAAAAACAATAATAAATTGGTCATTTTCAATCTGCGACTGTTTGTGGGACATTACTGTGCGCAATTGGCTGCCGCGTTCGCCCACAAATATACAGTCAATTCACTTTACAGTGTGTTCTGTGAAGCGCTTTGGGACGTCCTCTCCCGACGTGAAAAGCGCTATATCAAATGCGAGGATTATTATTATTATTATTATTATTATTAATCCCGTACTTCACTCCCGTCTCCCGCTCGGCTGAGAGCGCCGTCGACTCCGGCCACACACTGCCCCGTCGCTCCCCCCCAAGTGATGTGGGGGTGGGTGGGGGGTGGGGTGAGGGGGTCAGGGCGCACAGCGTCAATTTACACCCCCCACCCTCCGCTCCGCTCACACTCGCTCTCTCTCAAACAGGCCGACTCTCTACCGACCTTGTTTACCCCACACCGGCCCCCCCTTCCCCCCCCCCTCCCACCTTTCCCGGGAACCCCACCCTTCAGCAGCAACGACAACAACAACAACAACGACGAAATGACACTTGAAGGGCGTCTCTCACGTCGGGGGGGGGGGGGGGGGGGTGAGTGAAGTCAGAGAGCTCTCTCCTTTTACACTCTCTCTCTTCATTTACACACTCTCTCTCTCTCCTTTTACACTCTCTCTCTTCATTTACACACTCTCTCTCTCTCCATTTACACACTCTCTCTCTCCATTTACACACTCTCTCCATTTACACACTCTCTCCATTTACACTCTCTCCATTTACACACTCTCTCTCCATTTACACTCTCTCCATTTACACACTCTCTCTCCATTTACACACTCTCTCCATTTACACACTCTCTCTCTCTCCATTTACACACTCCCTCTCCATTTACACTCTCTCCATTTACACACTCTCTCTCTCCATTTACACACTCTCTCTCTCTCCATTTACACACTCTCTCTCTCCATTTACACACTCTCTCTCTCCATTTACACACTCTCTCTCTCTCCATTTACACACTCTCTCCATTTACACACTCTCTCTCCATTTACACACTCTCTCTCTCTCCATTTACACACTCTCTCTCTCCATTTACCCCCCCACTGTCTCTCACTCCCTTCCCTCCTTCTTTCTCTTTGTTACTCACTCCCTCCATCGCTCTGTTTTTACTCTCTCCATCACTTACTCTCTCACTTTTTGTTTCTCTCACCTCCTCCCCTCTCTCCCCCCTCTCACTTACTCCTTCACCCCCTTCCCCCTCCTCCTGTACCCTCTCCCCCTGTCCCCCTCTCTCCCCTGTCCCCCCTCTCCCTCTCCCCCTGTCCCCCCTCTCCCCTCTCTCCCCTGTCCCCCTCTCTCCCCCTGTCCCCCTCTCTCCCCCTGTCCCCCCCTGTCCCCCCTCTCTCCCCTGTCCCCCCCTGTCCCTCTCTCCCCCTGTCCTCCCTCTCTCCCTCTCCCCCTGTCCTCCCTCTCTCCCTCTCCCCCTGTCCCCTGTCACCTCCTCTCCCCCTGTCCCCCCCTCTCCCCCTGTCCCCCCTCTCCCCTGTCCCCCCCTGTCCCCCCTCTCTCCCCTCTGTCCCCCTCTCCCCCTGTCCCCCCTCTCCCCCTGTCCCCCTCTCTCCCTGTCCCCCTCTCTCCCTGTCCCCCTCTCTCCCTCTGTCCTCTCACTCACTCACTCACCCGCCTCAGTCCTGTCGCCGCCATTGCACCGTCACAACCCCTCCCCCCGGAACCCGCCCCCGGGACAAAGGTTCCGCCCCAACAGCCCAGAGACAGACTCCCCCCACACCCCCTCACACACACCCCACACACACTCACCCCCACACACACACCCTCACACACACACACCCTCACACACCCCCTCACACACACACCCTCACACCCCCACACACACACACACTCACCCCCACACACACACCACACTCACACACAACACACCTCACACACCCCCTCACACACACACCCTCACACCCCCACACCACACACACACTCACCCCACACACACACAACACCACCCACACACACACACACCCCCACACACACCCCACACACACACACACACACCCCTCACACACACACACCCTCACACACACACAGCCCTCACACACCCCTCACACACACACACACACCCCCACACACCCTCACACACACACCCCCACACCCACACACCCTCACACACACCCACACACCCCCACACACACACACCCTCACACACCCCACACACACACCCTCACACACACCCACACACACACACCCTCACACACCCCACACACACCCTCACACACACCCTCACACACACACCCTCACACACACACTCACACACACACCCCCACACACACACACCCTCACACACCCCCACACACACACACACCCACACACACACACCCCCCCCCCACACATCCCCCAACAGCCCAGAGACAAGCACCCACCACACCCCCAACAGCCCACCCCACCCCCACACCCCACCCACATACACACACACACACACACATACCCACCCCCACCCCCCTCACACCCCCCCCCCCACACACACACCCACACACACCCCACTCCTCCCACACATACACCCTCACACACATCCACTCCCTCACACACACACTGACACACACCCCCACACAAAAACACACGCAGTCACTACAATTTACAGTATATTCCTTGGAAGCGCTTTGGGACGTCTCCATTAGGTGCTGTGAGAAACGCAAAGATTTCATATAATAATAATAATAATCTTCGTATTTTTATGGTATAAATGTTTTTATTTATTTAAAGAAATACGTAAATATCTGCAACACTTAGGTACATAACCTGTATATGCCTGTGTGTGAGTGTGTATCTGTGTGTGAGTGTGTATCTGTGTGTGAGTGTGTATCTGTGTGTGAGTGTGTATCTGTGTGTGTATCTGTGTGTGTGTGTATCTGTGTGTGTATCTGTGTGTGTGTGTATCTGTGTGTGTATCTGTGTGTGTATCTGTGTGTGTGTGTATCTGTGTGTGTATCTGTGTGTGTGTCTGTGTATCTGTGTGTGTGTGTGTGTATCTGTGTGTGTATCTGTGACTGTGTATCTGTGTGTGTCTGTGTATTTGTGTGTGTGTATCTGTGTGTGTGTGTGTGTGTCTGTGTATCTGTGTGTGTGTGTGTATCTGTGTGTGTGTGTGAGTGTGTATCTGTGTGTGTGTGTGTGTATCTGTGTGTGTGTGTGTGTGTGTATCTGTGACTGTGTATCTGTGTGTGTCTGTGTATTTGTGTGTGTGTATCTGTGTGTGTGTGTGTGTGTGTCTGTGTATCTGTGTGTGTGTGTGTATCTGTGTGTGTGTGTGTGTGTATCTGTGTGTGTGTGTTGTAAGCACTTCCGGGAACACCTCGACCTTTCGTGTGTTCGTTGTGTGTGTGTGTGTGTGTTTCGGGCTCGGAGGACAATCAATGTGAGCTGTTCTGGGGAGAGGGGGGGGTGCGGGGGGAGAGGGGGGTGCGGGGGGAGAGGGGGGTGCGGGGGAGTGTCTCCAGTCCTGCGCTGTGACTGGCTTCGGGGGAGAGGTGTGGATGTGGCGTTACATCATCAGGAACGGTCAGTCCGAGCTGAAGGGGACAGAAGGAAGAAGTGGGAGGCTTTGAGAAGACCATCCAATTGGCCAGCACCTCGCGTGTGCGTGTGTGTGTGTGTGTGTGTGGGGGGGGGTGTGTGGGGGTGTCTCGTGTCCCAAGCGTCAATGTCGCTCGTACTCCCCCTCCACCCCAACCCCCCCCCCACCGTTCCACATACCCGGGTCCACAGTCATTTCTATTTCGGGAGAACATTTAAGACGTAACTCCTGACACCTCGTGGCCTCGCTCGGCTGTGGGCTACTGACCTGCTGCGTTCCGCCCCGCAAAACACACAGTCACTACGCCTCACAGTGTGCCCCGTGAAGCGCTTCGAGACGTCGTGACGACGTGATGAGGCGCCGGGTCAAACGCCGGGATTTTATTATTATTATTATTACTATTACGATCATATTGACGGTGCGAGTGGCTTAAGTGGTCGGCGACCGGTTAAGTCAGGGTTGAGTTATCAGGAGTTTGCTTCATTGACAACAGTTTTTAATAGAATCCACTGTTTGACACATGTTCGTTTGTTTTCATTTCAGGTGACACTCGACCCTCACTATGTCACTAACGACGACGACGACAACAACTTGGCATTTACTCCCGAGGGTGGAACGGAGGAGGGCGCGAGCGCGAGGGAGGGCCGGAGCCAGTTCGAGCGGAGGCAACGGTTGGTGGGTCGGGGAATGAGCGGGTCGGAGAGGTCAGACCCCTTTGAGAAAGTGTGGGGAAGAGATGTGCAGCAAGGAGACTGCTCCCTCCCTCCCTCCCTCCCTCCCTCCCTCCCTCCCTCTACGGGGCAGAGAAGACCCTCATCTCTTTACCTCCTCCCGATGAAACGGCCATATTCAGCAGCTCCTTGCGCGACTGATCCAACAAGGAACACGCGTGTTCCCTGACACAGAGTCTCGGCTCACGGGCCGCCGCTGGGCAGGAGACCTCGGTTGGTTCTGAGCGCGGCGACGGCTTACCCTCAGCGCAGAGTGGTACGCGATCCCGATTGAACGACTCACCCAAAAAAGGCCCAATGGACGAACGTGTCTTGAGAAGAATCCAGCGAGCTCCCGCACGGGGGAAATCAGGTCACCATCTTTTCGGGGACGTTGTCCCGACACGGGGCCGGGTGGGGCTGGTTCAGCTGAAGCGAGCCAAGCCTTTGCTCGTCACCCGCAAGAGCGACCTACCTTGTGTTTAATTCCGCCCGCGTGGCTCCAGGGATGGAGCGCCGAGGAAAGCACAGGCACGATCCAGACTTGCTCCAAATCAGCGAGTGCCTCCTCG